TAATATTTTTCCCTAACTCTCCTGTATAATAGTAGAAGACGAGCATCTCTTCGCTCTCGCTCACGCTCACGCTTACACATTCTGCGTCGCGTCTCCTGCCTCACGGCCTCACCTGCTTTTTTAGCTATTGCTGCTACTGCTGCTGCTGCTTCTTCGCGCATTCAGCTGCCCTACCGATCTGTCGCCCAATCGCCGCCCACTGCAACCACAACCGCAAGCACTGCTGTACGACGACCTTTAGCGATCCGCAACCTTGCATACTTCCAGAAGCCCGGCCTGCAGCTGTATCTGGTAGCTTGCCGACAAAGACCTGAAACCTACTGTCCTCGCAGAAGAGACACACAAAGAGACGCAAGAAAGGACGCTGAGACAGACGCATCTCGGCGAAGAAACCTACGGCCTTCCACCCTGTGCAATCCTAAGACTCCAGCAAATCCGCCTCAAACATCATTCGCGAGATTGGGCATAAAAAGTTGCCATCATCCTCGCTTTCGGTGCCGCCTTCAGCTCTGCCTATTCACACTTATCGCCCGCTTTGAGAGTTATTACTGGTGACGCCTGCGCAAACTGTCTACGATTCGGCAGAAATCAAGGCCTCCCTGTAACATCGCCTCAACAACCTCACCAATCCCGCATCTTCCCTGCTATTAGCTCCCACAACCAGGAGCTTCACTCGTCGCACTACGACGGCCAATTTGTGAGTCAGACGCTCTGATATTGCTTATTCTGCGTTTCCCAGCTGCTGCCTTGGGGAGAGCCTGCCCTGTGCTGCCAAAACACCCACCACCCGCCCTTTCCATACCTTTTATTTATACGTGCACATTCATCCCCCCATACCGATATTGAAACCCCTTTCGGCCCGTCGGAACATTGGCTAACATGAGACCCTTTCGCAATACAGCATCACAACCCCTGTCTCACACAATCACACACGCAAAATGATTGACAGAGAGTCATCGATTTTCGCCAACCACGGCCGTGGTGCCTACGACACGACGGGAGTTCCGAAACCTCCTCCGCCCAAGCCGCGGTAAATGTTCAACGCTATGGCATGGGACCCGTCTACACACTATCAATTTAGATCGCGTGGAACTGGCCGCTCCGCGGCGCCTTTGCGCATCATCTGGCTCCAATTCGCTTCGAATCTACAAAATCGCACTCTACGGCACTTTTTAATGATGCGCTACGATGCGCCTTTTCGCGTGTATCAACTCTGTACTACCTCAGCCGACTTCATGTCTTGGATCGATCGATCTTGCATTCCGATACGCCCTTTTTAATCCGCATTCCTCTCGAATACATATTTTCGGCTCGCCGCCACTTGCTTCCCAGCAGCAAGCCAGGGGAAGACTCAGCAGATGGTCTCATTGGGCATTCGCAAGGAATTTCTTTTTTCTGTTCCGCACGGCGTTCAATTAGACTGGGTTTGGATTTTCGGTTGCGCGGTGGACTTGCTTCTGTCACTTATGACCTCTCTTTTTTTCACTTGTCTCCTGGAAGCGCATACCCCACCAGTCGTCCGCGCTCTTCGTCAAATTCCGCAGTTCTCGCAAACATCCCTTGGGTTCGCTCTCATTCCTACGCAAACAAAGACAGAACCCTCGAGATCTGCATCGGCATCGTCACTTCGCTTGACTTCGTTTCAATTTGGCTTTCATCATTTTGGGCAGGATAATGGCTGGGGGATAAAGAAAAAAAGCAACACGACTTTTTTTTTTTAAGGAGCCCTAATATTGTTTTTGCTTTTTGATTGCTTGGGACATCTGGAATGGGCAAAAGCAGGGCGAGGATGGGAAAAAAAAGATGTGCTTTTGAATTTGGGATGCATATAGACTTGCTTTCGGGTTTTCCTTTACCACACACTATTCCCCTTCCTTCCAGTGCTGATTTTTCTCTCTTCATTTGAGGGACGCACTTGGACTGTATCTTTCCTTTTCGACAACACTGTACCGATACTGCGGAAGAATCTGGACGAGCCCCCGAACGAGGACCATCCATCTGTGCCAGCTGGGCTCTGGGCGGAGACCAGATTCTTAGAAGATACCCCCCCGGTTTAGAATGTATCTGTATAGTACAAGATGTGCGCGCGAGCTACACAGCACCAAATTATCAGCTGAAAAATAAAGAAAAGACCCTTTTTCTAAAAGCTTAGACTCCTTGGCCTGTTCATTGTGTCATTTGCAAATCTATTGGCGCGAATCGCCTACGAAATGGGGGTAATTGGTGTGTGTGGGCGACAGCTCGAAAATGAGACAAGACCGGCATTGCTGTGTGGGACGACGAACCCGATCGACGCACGCTCGGTCAGGCGTTACGGGAAAAGTAAATCAAAACCACATTAGTGGTAGATCATCCTCTCACTTGTGGTCCCATGCGACAGCCGAGGTGGTTTGGCCCTCTCGGTGCGCCGTTCACTCCTTCTGTTTTGTGACATCTCAGGTTTCCAGCGAAAAGGAATTCGCCAAGCTGTATTGACGGGGAAGCTTCCGCCCACAGAGCAGCGGAAACCTTAGCTGCCCAAAGGGGGACTACTGCACACGCATACATAGATACCGGTAGTATTACCCTGCCAGACGGACAAACAAACTAGAGCTTTCCATGCTGCGAGCTACCGAGACTACAAGGTGCTTGTTCGTTCGAGATGCTGCTCTTAGTGACCCTTAGCGTATTGTGGGTGGTGTGGTGAGTGCTCATTACCAGAGGACCTGCATCATTCAGCCAGGATGTTCCCAAACAGCAGCGTCTGGCAGCGGCGTGCTTCCCTGCTTCCCTGCTTGCTTGCCTGCCTGTTTGACCGAGCTGGGCACACGCGCCACGGACTCTCTGCGCACGAGGGCAAAAAGAGCAAAGCAAAAAGGAAAACAGGCAAGTGGACGTGCTACCCAAGCTGGGCGGGCGCCGAGGTGACGAAACCCCCCTTGGCTCTGCCCAGGGAACTAATGCAAGTTTAAAGGAGTTGCAAGGGCATGAAGCCACCCGGGAACCGCGCCCTTGGGTCCCCCGACTCGTTGCGCCGGGTCAGTCCGCGGGCCAGTTACATCTCGTCCCAGTGTCGCGGGAGGTCCACAGCGCTTTTCCCTCTTGTCCTGGCTCGCCTGGCTCTGTCATGTCACTCTGGGGGGAGGGAGGGTGCTGCACGCTGCTGCACCCGGGTGCAAGTCGCCGTGGTGGAGTCGCTCTCTGCTTCTGCTACATATGATACTTCCTCCTTAATTGTTGATATTGATATCGTTACGAGTACACTGTAGGCACGCATCCTAGTCCCATGTCTAGATGGATCATCCTGTCTATGCTTCCATGTTTTCCGTTTCTTCCCTGCGACTATTGGGGCATCAGCACGCACCTAAACGGGCCGTCCGGTCCTCCTTTTAGAAAGAGGCATTTAACGTTACCATGCCTCACATGTCATGTCATGGAACATGGCTGTGACGCAGCGCTGTGTGTGTGAGTGCGTGAGTGTGTGTGTACTGCATTGTATGTGTGTGCCTGTCAAAGCTGGTCTCCTGCCCAAATTGGAGTCGGCGCGTGTGGGGGGCTTTCCGTCACTGGCCCCCAAGGAATAGAATCCCCTTTGTCGCTCTTTGGGGGGGGGGGGGGGGGCAGCACTTGGAGACTTGGGACCCCCAACTCCCCGTTTGGCTGCTGGGAGAGAGCGAAAGACCAGAACATTACCGCTTCGGACCACCTGCATGCAGGATGGGCCATCCTCTATCCTCGGCGATGTCCTCGTTCACGAGTGGGGGGGTGGATGGCAGCAAGCAAACATGCCCTGGCTCGCCTGGCTCCCCGATTGCTGCCCGCGTGGGTCACCGTCGCTCCCCAACGCGTTTCTTTGCCGTTTTGTTATATTATCACCCAGGGCCTCCATGCTATCGACGCCTATCTGTTCTGTTTGCCTGTCGTATCTTTTTCCTGACCTGTCATCCCACGCCAGACTCCTGCCATCCATGTCCATGCCGTAGCGTGCTGTTTCTCCCTGCAAGATCATGTACCTTGCGGCCCGGAAATGCAGCCACTCGCTTCACTAATAAGGCACAGTAAGTCGAAGGAAGTGTGCATGGTCGAGTCTCAGGTATCTACAAAATAGCTACACGCCAGCCTGGTGTCCCTGGGATATCCACGCGCCCCGCTGCATTTCCAGTCTCCTGGGTCCTCCTAGCCAGCGAATCCGTTTGCTTACGCGCCCTGTACCGTACGGTCGCCCCTGGAGCATCATTACCCTTCTTGCAGCTCTACGCCGCCTCCCGAGCTGCTGGGAATGCCTTCCCGCCCAATGGTTTCGGCTCCACTTCGCGGGTGGCTCCCCTTTTTCCTTTTGTCTACGCACCTAGCCGTTCATGTACACAAATGTTTCTATGTCGTTGATGTGTTTGCCTCTCAGGGTGCCAATCCCGGGTGAAACGGAGGCTTCCCTCTGGAACGGGCTAATCGGATCTACCGTCTACGGGGAAGTGGGATGGTATGGGAAATGGGACGGGACGCGGGTGTGGCCAAGGGCGCTGACGACTCATGAGATTGAGGCTCAGCTTCACAGTCATGAGACAAATGAAACCACGGGCTCCACTATCGACTTTGATATTGCACGTTTTCCCGACCCAAATCCGGCCTTGCTTGAGAGACTTATTCTTGTCTAGGTACAGCATTGCAATGGTCGGAGGTACAGTTTCAAGACGCTGCTCGACTACGCGACTACAATGACATATCATATTTCAGGATAGACGTCCCTATAAGCGCGGCCATAACGTCAGCCACCTTTGCTTTTTGGGCAGAAATTTCATAGCAAATAGATCATAGCAAACAAGGTCCAGCTTCATGAAAATGTTGAAAAAAAAATTTAAAAATTAATCAAGGTGAGGATTGCTGAGCAGTGCAGGGTATCATTCAGAAGCAAGCAAACCCATCCCCGGGGCGAACAAACGACTGCATGCGGTTGCAGAGCTGCAGCAACGAGGCCGTGATGGGGAAATCACAGGCGCAAGAAGCAAAGAAAGGAGGGAGACTCACGTCCTGCGAACCAGAGGCATGCTTTCTCTTATTCGGTCCCACTCGCCCAGGTCGACGTCCACCAGCCCAAGCTGCCCGACCGCGCCGTCCTCGACGCTCCCGTCGTCCGCGATGCCGCCCAGCGCGCACAGCACCTTCCCCCACGGGTCGACGGCCATGCTGCGCCCGTAGCTGACGCGCTTGCCGTTGTGGTTGCCCACCTGCGCCGCGGCAACCACGTAGCTTTGGCTCTCGATGGCCCGCGCTCGGAGGAGCACCTCCCAGTGTGCGCGGCCCGTGGGCACCGTGAAGGCGCTCGGGTAGGTGAGCAGCTGCGCCGGCTTCCACCCGGAGGAGGGCGGCGGGTGGGCGAGCCGGATCGCGGGCTCCGGGAATCGCAGGTCGAAGCAGATCAGCGCGCCGACGCGGCCCACCGGCGTGTCGAAGGGCTGCACGATCGAGGTGCCCGCCTGGGTCTGCGTGGACTCGCGCAGCGCCCCGTAGTCGAACAGGTGGAGCTTGTCGTAGGTCGCGGCATCACGCACCGTACCGTCAGCGTCGATCCAGATGGTGCGGTTAAAGAGCTTCGTTCGCGGCTCCTCCTGCTGTGTCGAGACTCCCGCGCCGGCCCCGGCGCCGGAACCCGCCTCGGACTTCGGTACGGTGGGGACTACCGGGTTGCTGGTGATGTCGGCGGCAGCCTTCACGGCAACAGGCACATGGATGCCCACATTGATATGTAGATTGTGCTGCTTGGCTGCTGACTGTAGGCCGAGTACAAAGGGTGATTGTGAGACAGGTCTCGCGAGCGATAGAGACTCTTGCGGGGAGCTTGCGATGTAGTCTGATGCTTCGGGGAGAAAGAGAACCTGCCCGGTGTTGTTAGATTGTAGTTGACCATGTTCTTTTCGTATGACAGAATGGGTAGCTCTTCCCCAAATGCTGATCTTCCATATGTCTCGCCGTTGTGGCTTTTGATATTGGGATGCTCTTGGGCCCACCTGAGGGTCTGTAACTCCTAGCAGCCTTCCAAACATACAAGCCTAGGGCGCAAACATGCTTCACTTGCTACTTGCCATGTATTTTGACATGAGGCCACTCGGCTCTGAAACGAATTGAATACGAAGGAGTACAACCTTTGCTCCAGCTGCTGCTGCTTTGCTTATCAATCGGACACACTGCTCTAAGTTGTGTGTCATCGACGATGTTGAGCAGATCTGCCCAATGCCCTGCAAAACATCAGTAAAACGTAACAGAGGAGCTGTTGGTTCACAATACCGCTATCGCCATTCTCTAATCCTGGTCAGCTCAAGTGCCGACGAGCGTTTGTTTCGTTTAAGATAATGGTTCTGACGTCCAAGGGCGGTCCCACAATCCACAACTCACAGCACGTCACTGGCAAGTGCGAGGATCGGCGGGGACCGCGCAAACTATCTTATCGTACAACAAGCGCATTGAAGTGTCAACAGAATCATGTAGAGTATGATAATAGTAGTGGAACCCACCCTCCATTCACCTTTCTTAATGTAGTATTGAATAGTAGATATTGTATGTCAAATACGTACTTTGTCTTCAATATCGGACACGATGATCCCACACATGTCATACAAAACACGGCAGGAAGATAGCTCGTTTTCATGGCCTCTATGGCATTTTTCGTAAGTCTACAATGTCCGCTGCCCCTATTTACTACCCTCTGATGGTCTGCTCATCCTATCAACTCTATGACGACAGCGGAACATGGGGCTTCATCGAATTATTAAAGACCCCTTTCCCCGTCTTGTCTGTGGGGAGCTAAGAGTAGACGCCTTTTTGTACCTCAAAGCGGTAAGATGCCTGCCTCCCCCTTTGCCGATGCCCTGTGGTAAACGCCTGGCTGAAAAGTCCTGAAAAAAATACAACATGAGGAGCACGTGTCCTCCGAAATCAATCGTCGTCCTCTCGCTGGCGACGAAGTCGGCGCGATCCCAATCCCTATTTGGGCTCCGACTCGTCCAATTTGTCATAGGCAAACTGTAGAGCAGCCTTCTCTCTCCCATCTCGCTCAAGGACAACGACCCAGTCTCGCAGCTGGACGTTCTTACCCTTCTCGCTGTACTCTCTCCACGTGCCCAATTTATGTCTCCCCTCCTGAGTCAAACGGGTGTCTTCGGGTGCCTTGGCACTGGGAGTAGCTCCAGGAGTGCCAGGAAGTCCCTGGGTCTGAATCTTGGATGGTGTACTCGCGCCGCTCGCGCCTCCTCCGGACATCCAGCTGTAGGACTTGCCCTTTTTCTTGCCCATGCCGCCAAGGAAGGCCATGGTCGTTCTGTTGACGTTGGCAGCATTCGACGCATCAGCGAGCTTAGCCTGGGCATTCTTTTTGAGCTCTTTCTTGGTTGGTGCTTTCTCCGGCTCCGGCGCCACAGAACCAGGAGTTGCGGGCGCAACTGATCCGGCGCGTGAAGGCGCAGTAGACACATCCCCTTGTTGGCGTTTTTGACGCTTGCGCAGACGTGCCTCCTCGGCATCACGATCAGCTTTACCAATTTCTCTCATGGCCTGGGCCAAGTAGTTGGCAGCATTCTGTGTCGCCTTTGCCTCAGTAGCTGAATTCTGACTCTGGCTGGCTTCAAACGAGCCTGATTAGGGGTTTTAGCATATTGTAGTGCAAAAAGGCAAAAGAAGTCAGGAACTCACGTTTCAGTGGATTCGTCCGGGGGCTGACCGCACTCTCCACGCCTGTTCGAGGGCTGGCTTCACTTGCAAGGCCAGCGTCAATACCGGTCAAGGGAGCAGCAGCATCAGCCCATTCAGCTGGAACAGCACCGTGTGAGGTCTGTTGACGTGTAGTCGCAATCTTGTCAGCATCCTCGACAAGCTCACGAATGCGTTGCTTCGCGGCCAAGGACAAGAGCGCAAGCTGGTCAATCAGGTAAGCTTCAGGGGGCAGTATTGAGCCGTACGTTGCAACCATGGCACCGTCAGGACCAACGCTTGTTTGAACGGTAACCTTCGGCGGAGGGTAGTCCATCACGTTTCTTGCCTTGACCGGTCCTTGAGGATTCTTCTGATCAAGATTAAGGGTTAAGCCATATTCCTTTGCAATCTTGTCTGCTTTAAAATGAACTGTCGCAAACTGCAGGAAACGATTGTTCTGTTCCTGCGCTCTCTGAGTCGCGAGACGGACAGCAGACTCATTCCAGGCCCGTTCAGCAGCAGCGGCTTCAGCCACCTTTTGGTTCACATCTTTTCCGGGTTGGGCTGTCTGATTGGCAAGCCCAGAGCCAAAGAATGAGCCTCGATCTCCCGGAGCGTTTACTGGAAAACCAGTCTTTGCGTCGTGTCCATATGTTCCAGCATAATACTCTGCCAAGTTACTCTCCTCCTCACGAATGTTGATACCTGTTCCTGCGAGGGAGTCGCTCACGTCGTAATCTGACTCCTTGAGAGGTCTCTCTGCGGGTTTAGACGGAGGTCCCATAGCGCCTGGAGTCGGCGGCGCAGGCTGGAGAGGCGGTGCAGCAAAGGCGTAGGGGGTGTATGCAGGTTGCGGGGTTGTTGGAGTTGAGTTATTCGGAAGAATAGGAGGAGCGCTTGGTACAGGTAGAGGGTGTGGTGTTGAGGGCTGTATGGGAGTGCCATGGAGATTACCGCCGTTCATGTAAGGATGGTGGCTGCCGTCGTAGGAAGGTTGACGCGAGATAGACTGTGATGGAGGATACGAAGGTGAAGTCGCAGAGCCTGGTGTTGTGACGTTGCCAGATGGGCTTAACGGATATGATGGCGTACCATATCCCGACGGTGACGGGCCAGGCGACAACTTTTGCTTCTTGGCAGCAGGAATGGGAGCATATCCAGGCTGAGGAACAGGTGAGGTCACTCCTGGGTGCTGAGCAGGAGGTGAGTGTGCCGGCGTGTATACCCGCGGGGGGATGTGCTGCTGCGGTTGAGCCATGCTGAATCGCGTCTTCAGTATCGCCTCAGATGGGGAATAAATGAATCGTGTGTTTGGCGATGTCGCGGCCTTGAGGGGTGCCCTCAGATCACGGTCGGACCCAGGCAGAGGAGCCTGTTGAGCGGGTCAAACCTCCCTCAGTCGCGCCCATCCGATGCCTAATAGATACTCTCGACGGCGAGAAGTCTATGAAATACTAGATATCAGCCGTATGCGCACGTATTTGACGGTCGGATCTCGAAGATGGCGCGGGTTGCCGTCGCGAAGGCTGTGGGGAGTGGTGGTGAGTCTTGCCAAAATCGCAAAGCATCACAGAGGAGCTACCCCGTCGCGGAGCGAGATTGAACAGGTCACGTGGAATCGGCACTCCTTAGAACGTCCGTGCGCTGGAGCCGCATTTCAGGCGCGGTGACGTTCAATTAGCTGTATTTGCGGTCGGCTTTCTTTTGTCTCGCATTCCTCTAACCGTTCTTTGATGCCTGCGAGGACTTTGCTTCTCATGTTCAACTGCTGACTACAGTGCAACACATCCTTTTGGATGCTTGTTAGGTGCTAACTCTCAACCGCATTTTACAGAGCTACCAGCCCGAATTCTGCGATGGCGTCCAAGCGCAAAGCTTCCGCGATGGCGGCCTCGGTTACCGAGGAGCCTGTCGACCCTTCTGACGAGCTCATGTTCCTTTGCCTAGGCGGTGGAAATGAAGTCGGGCGGTCATGCCATATTATTCAATACAAGGGAAAGACAGTCATGGTATGACATGGATTCCGAATGACTGCTAGCCATCTCATTAACGCTTCATTCAGCTCGATGCTGGCCAACATCCCGCATATGATGGCCTCGCTGCGCTTCCTTTCTACGACGACTTCGATCTGAGCACCGTTGATGTTCTCCTTATCAGCCAGTAAGCTCGTTCCCCCACGTCCTTTCCTTTTTCTAGCGGACAATCAATGGCATCGCGAATGGGACAACTAGTATTCGGTCGGCCTCCGAGTTGGTGCAATGCCAGCTCGGCTGATATCTTTGGTTTTTTGGATATCTTGCCGACTACCCTTCAGCCATCGGCTACCTCCATGTACTCAGAGAACAATACAATATTATTCAGCCGTTGCCCACTTTGCCCATTCATGCCACGCTCTCGTGAACCATCCAGCAGTCGCAATGTAGCTCTCTACCTGCCCGAATCCTACTGATCGCTCAAAGTTTTCACATAGATCATGCCGCCTCTCTTCCCTATGTGCTGGCCAAAACCAACTTCAGGGGTCGTGTCTTCATGACCCATCCGACCAAAGCCATATACAAATGGCTCATTCAAGATAGCGTTCGCGTGGGAAACACGTCCTCAAATCCGACCTCGCAACTGATATATACGGAGCAAGACCACTTGAACACGTTTCCGCAGATCGAGGCTATCGATTACCACACAACACACACTATCTCTTCGATCCGCATCACACCCTACCCGGCAGGTCATGTCCTCGGTGCTGCCATGTTTCTGATCGAGATTGCCGGACTCAAGATCTTCTTCACAGGCGACTACTCACGGGAACAAGACCGACATCTGGTCTCTGCCGAGGTGCCAAAGGGTGTGAAGATCGATGTGTTGATCACCGAGTCAACTTACGGCATCGCATCACACATTCCGCGGCTAGAGAGAGAGCAAGCGCTTATGAAATCCGTGACTGGCATCTTAAATAGGGGCGGTCGTGTGCTCATGCCCGTCTTTGCTCTTGGACGAGCGCAAGAGCTTTTGTTGATCTTGGACGAGTACTGGGGCAAGCACCCAGAGTTTCAAAAGATTCCTATCTACTATGCTAGCAATTTGGCCCGCAAGTGTATGCTGGTGTATCAGACATACGTGGGAGCCATGAATGATAATATCAAGCGGCTCTTCCGGGAGCGCATGGCCGAGGCCGAGGAGTCGGGAGACGGTGCCGGAAAGGGAGGCCCGTGGGATTTCAAGTACATCCGCTCGCTCAAGAACCTCGATCGTTTTGAAGATGTCGGCGGCTGCGTCATTCTTGCTAGTCCCGGTATGTTGCAAAATGGTGTCAGCAGAGAGCTTCTGGAGAGGTGGGCACCGAATGAGAAGAATGGAGTCATTATCACAGGCTACAGCGTGGAGGGCACAATGGCAAAGCAAATAATGCAGGAGCCGGAGCAGATACAGGCCGTCATGTCTCGAAGCATGGCGGGAGCCAGGCGAGCACCAGGCGCAGAGGGCGAAAAGGTCATGATACCGCGGCGGTGCAGTGTCCAGGAGTTCTCCTTCGCTGCCCATGTAGACGGAAACGAAAACCGAGAGTTCATCGAGGAGATGGCCGCACCGGTCGTCATCCTCGTTCACGGCGAGCAGCACAATATGATGCGGCTGAAATCCAAGCTCCTATCCCTAAACGCCAACAAAGCCACAAAAGTCAAGGTCTACAGCCCTCGCAATTGCGAGGAACTGCGTATCCCTTTCAAGGCGGACAAGACTGCAAAAGTCGTTGGCAAACTCGCGTCTATCCACCCTCCAACACACTTACCAACCGACGACGAGCAAGCTCAGCTTATCACCGGGGTCTTGGTTCAAAATGACTTCAAAATGTCCCTGATGGCCCCTGAAGATCTACGTGAGTACGCCGGTCTGGCCACGACGACTATCACCTGCAAGCAACGCCTCCATCTCAGTGCCGCAGGTGTCGATCTCATCAAGTGGGCACTTGAAGGCACCTTTGGTAGTATAGAGGAGCTGCCCGAGATGAAAAAGGAGCAGAACGGCAATACCAACGGCACCGACGCCAACGGCGATGAGAATATGGAGCAAGAGGAGGAGGCTGACGAGGAGGTTAACAATCTCGTTGCGGCCTACCTCGTCATGGGCTGCGTGTCGGTGCGGTATCGCAGCAGCGGCGAGGTCGAGCTCGAGTGGGAGGGCAACCTGCTCAACGATGGCATCGCCGACTCCGTGATGGCAGTCCTAATGTCCGTTGAGAGCAGCCCCGCGGCGGTCAAGCGGTCGTCGGCTCAGCACCCTCACGACCACGGCGACCACCAGCACGAGTACGAGCTGCCCACGCGCAACCTACACGTCGGCCTAACGCCCGAGGAGCGTCTCGAGCGCCTCTTCCTCTTCCTCGAGGCACAGTTCGGCGCAGACAACGTCGCGCCCATTGCACAGCCCAAGCTAGCGCCCTTGCCCGATGATGGGGATAGCAAGAAGAAGAAGAAGTCATCATCCGCCGACGACGACGACGGCTCGGACGCGTCGATGGACGTCTCGGACGATGAGGACGAAGCCGAGCGCCTGCTGCAGCTGCGCCAGAAGACGGAGCTAGAGCGGCTGCACCGCCTCGGAATCCCGGTGCCCGGCGTAGCCATCAAGGTCGACAAGCTGGCGGCGAACGTTTGGCTTGAGGATCTCGAGGTTGAGTGCGCCAATAAGACGTTCCACGACCGTGTCAAGGCAGTGGTCGAGCGCGCGGTGGAGGTCACGGCGCCGCTTTGGGGCTGATGATGAATCATGTGTGGCCAGACTGTATTCCTTGACACGTCTACTATCTACGGGACTATTGTGCTATGCGTATAGGCGGCGTTTTTTTAATTCATCAAATTCATAGTCAGATCCATGGTCTAAGGGGACCAGACCCTGCGAAACGGGAACGACAGGCAAACAATGGCATTAGGCAAATACAAACAAGGACTACCTAGGACATGGTAGGTTACGTAGAGCAGATACATGATCAATTACCTATCACTCCATGACAAGTAAAAAATGTTTTAACAGTGATCTTGATTTATTCTATGCTACATTTGACTACAGATTACACAAGAAGAAGGGCAAGAGAGAGAGTTTAGCCCATGAACTCCTTCAGCTCCTCCGACTCCTCGAGGAACTGCTTGAAAGAGAACGGCGCGAACGGCCATCCTCCAAACTCTGCGAACTTGGAGAAGGACTCAACCCACGCCAGTCTCAGAGAGTGAAGCATAGCAGACACACCCTCCATGATGATCAGAATGATGCAGCTGAGAGCGAAAAACATGTAGAAAGTGACCACGACCATGATGACACCGGTGACACCGGACATCTTGAGGGCAGGGCCAAGCGTCATCGACCACAGCACGGCACTCAGCTGCTGATGGGCCAGCGACAGCGCCCAGAGACGGAGGTATGAAGCGGTATGGGACACGCAGTTCAAGCAGAATTCTATCCAGTAATTAGCTTTAGTGCGTCACGAGTCTGGTGGAATAGAACTTACCAATCGTGTGGATGACCTGGTGAATCATGACCTCGCTAAATTCGAATTCCTCGTGCTCCTCATCGTCGAGATTTTGGGTGATCATGGCAACGCCCTCGTCGTCACTGGCTACGCTATGACGTCCAGCGTGTCCATTCTCATCCTCATCGCCGTCTAAGGCACTAACACGTGATTGCTCGCCAATTCCGCGATAACCCTTGGCTCGAATACGGTTGTGCTCCCAGCGCAGGTAAAATGGCTTCAAGAACAGGAGGATTGGAACTTGGATGAAGGCGAGGAGCAAGAGAACAACCTGTACCTGCTTCTGACCAGGGTAGAGCTGAACATCTAGGACTCCAGGTTGAAGAAACATGTAGATCAACATGTTCAACAGACCAGGGGGCTGTCTCGGGTTGGTTGGATCAAACCAGTTGACGGACCATTTGTAGATAATGCAGACAACCAAGTATCCAAAAATAGACTGGAAGAAGATCATGCCTGGGATGAAGTTGCCGTAGATGTCGATAGGGCGCTTGAAGTGTCTTGCGTTGATGTAGGCGAAGCAGAGCGAGTAGGTCATATGAGCCCAACCAAGGATGATACTCATCTTCATCTTGTAACTGTTGCTGAATAGGAGATCGTTCTCAGTTCCATGCCACATCCAGTCGAGACCAAACGGATACCTGTATCCCTCCGTGTTGAGCTTGGCCACGACAGTCATGCCTTCCTTGTAGTCGGCAGGAACATCCCACTCCCATTGACTGCGGAAAAGTGTCATGGACTTTGAGAAGACATCGTTGTAGACCAGACCAGTGTAGACGGAGAAGACTGCCATTACCAGGGCGATGTATCGTCCATAGTAAACCATAGCGAACAGCTCGAATGTAACCTTCTTGAGTGGCTTCTCCCAGTAGATCATAGCCAGGGAAGCACTCAGCATGATACAAGCATGCCCAAAGTCACCGAACATGACGGCGAACAGGAAAGGGAACGTCACAATAACGGGGAGAGCGGGGTTGACTTCTTGGTACGTTGCAGTACCATAAGCGTTGACGATCGTTTGGAATGCTTCCGTAAACTTGTTCGTCTTCAAGTATGTCGGCGGCGTCTTGTTCGTGCGGATTTCATTGATGATGGAGGGGACAGAAAGGCCAGCACGGTTGTTGACATCTTGAAGAGTTGATCTGATCAGAGGTAGATCATTCGTCGGGCACCAACCCTCAGCAATCAGAGTCCGCCGTGCACGGTCGTAAGAGAAGAGATTCAGGGTGTTGTAGACCGACTTCTCCTTGTTGATCAATATCATCCAAGCGGCCAAGGATTGAGAGATCTGAGTAAGCTCGGCACTAAGGGTCTGCTGTGTGTTCCTCAGGACATTCTGAACATCGTTCAGCCTAGCGTTGACCTCGAAGATCTGATCTCGTCTAAGGTCGCTATTCTCGTCCACGTTGTAAGTCTCAGCACCCATAGACTCGGAAATTTTGCGGATCTTTGCGAGAATCTCCTTGCCGTGAGCGAAGATGACGAAGACAGTCTTCTGGACAGGCTCGTTGTTGGAAGGATCGATGAGAGGCTCCGGGATCTCGGACTGATTCATGTACAGGTTACCACGTAGCGTTCGCCAGAGAATACGCTCGAACGCAGCCACGCGGTCCCGTGCAATGACACCAGCGACAAACCCGATGTTCATGCCCGAGAACGAACGCTCAACGTCCGGGGCCTGGGTATGCTGCTCGACATCCTGAAGCAAGGGAGCATCATCATCGTCGGTGGAGGCTCGGATCTCCTCGACATTGCCATGTGCCCGGTCGAAAAATCCGCCAGCCTCGCGCAAGACCCATCGCCACTCCGTGAGCTCGACCTCGCGCTTCTTGAGTGTCTCGTAGCTGTCGTTAAGCTGGAACACGCGATGCTCCAGGCTCTGACTTCGCTCGGCAAGCTCATCAATCTCAGTGGTCGTCGGCGGAGCTAGGGTTTCGACATCAAGATCGAGTTTTCTCAACGGAATGCCTGCCTTTTCCATCTGGGCATGGAAATAACCTGGAGATTCTGTCAGTTGTTGGGAAAGGTCGAAGGGATGACCTCGCACGTACGGAGCTGCCTCTCGACGTTGTCAAGGCGCCGGATCTCCTGGGTGAAGGCCCTTTGGAAGGCACTGAGCTCGCCATTAAGCTGCAAAGACGGTATTAGTCCTCGGGTTCGACATACATCGATGAAAAAGTCTAGAGGTTCGACAGCTTACATCCCGGAATTGGACCAGACCAATCTCGCCCAGGGCGTTGACGACCTCGCGGCCAACTTCGTTGGAAATGTACAGCTGCACCATACTCATGTCCGCCGAGCGGAACGGAGTATCCCGTGCTGGAGCCATGGCGATGACGCTAGAGCTCCTGAGCTGCGCGGGTTTGAAGGAAAAGGGAATGAATGGATGCGTTCGTGGGTTGAAGCTTGGAATCCAGCTCTACGTATGCCTGGCTTGAGCGGCATTTCCATTGGAGCTCCGCTTCGTCTTGTGGCCTGAGGCCCCGAGATGCGCTTGCACCGCCACACATACTGAGGCGTGCACTTACACCACCTACAAATCGGAGACAGACATGATATGAATCCTAGATTATCGTCGATGACATTCTTGTAAACAGTGGACGATATAAATGGTCTAATTGCGGTATCATTATTGAAAGTTACGTAGCATTACTCCAAGTGCTGAAGTGTTACTTCTCTTAGGAGCTGGCACGACTTGATGAATACTGATATGCCTAATAGCACAAGTACGCATTTCTAAACATTCAACAGTAGTCATTTTGTAAAGTCATAGAAGTTAACTATGCTCGCCTCTATCATATCGTAAGTCATCAAATTCGCTAGCTCAACTTTTTCACTCCACCAGAAACTCCAGGCAATGCATCCGCAGAACGAGAAAATGCCTCCTCCATCATGCTAGTACTGACACATCTAAATGAAGCAAACCCCGATATCGCAACCACCAAAACCCACAACAATGCCGAGTATCTTGTGAGTGCTTTTCCGTGACCATCGTGGAATTATCTCCATCGTCGTTTCATTTCAGATCATAGCTTGCGCGCAAACATGAAGGAGCCATACATGCCTCCGACCTCGGCGCGCGCGACCGGAATCTTTCGCATGCCCCACGACTCTGCGCCCATCTTCCAGGACCGACGGCCATCGTCTGCCTGGAACGACTTGTCGAAGCCGTCCTTGTTCCTGACGATCCATGTTCGGCTTCCGAGTTCTGATAGTCTCCAGCCAGCCCGGCTAAGTGGGACAGGAGACTTGGTCAGACGCCGAGCTGCATCGTCGGCGACCTCGACAACCTCTAGCGGTATAGTATACTTGGAAAGAATCGCGCAGCTGTTTCCAAACAGCGTAGGAAGATCCAACTCCCCTCCCCACATGTCCGACAAATCCAAGTACCGTAGCGTGTGCGGAACCCAGTCTATTTGCTCCTCGATTTCGTCTTCGTCAGGCACAAAAAGTCCGTTGATGTCCTTAATATCAAGTGATCGACCCAAGGCAAGCTCCTCTAGAGATTTAGACAATGGTAGCAATTGTTTGATGTGAGATGGATTCATCTTGCTTCCCTTCAAGCTCAGGGACTTCAGCGTCTTGGGAAGCAAGGGAATGAGCTGGCTGAGATGTTCAGCGTCGAACAACTCGAAAGTCCTGGCATCGCTCGCGATGCTCAGCCAGACCAGAGAGTTTGCGACGGCTGGGTGTGACGATAGGAATTTGATGAGAAAGTCCGCAGATAGAGCTCTGCATTTTGCCAAATTCAAATGGGTGATTCTAGCCTTTAAGGGGATAGAAGCCAAAGCTGCATCCGTAACTCGAGTTCCCGCGACATCCAAATGCGTCAGACGTGGCATCCGTGGTAGAAGTGTCTCGAACACAGCTGCTGGAAGAGTCATGCATTTGTGTAGCGACAATCGCTCGATAGGTAGTTCCATCGGCCAGTTGAACAGGAGGGTAGAGGTGAAGGCATCTTTGAAAGCGGTAGAAGAGCAGCCGCAGAAATCCAAGGCCTTCATCCTGTCCAAGCCGAGGAAGAGTTTTCGCAAAACTTGACCATCAAGATCGTCATCAAGGTACTCCTGAGCGAGAAATTCTTGTAGGTAGGGCGTCAGCTCGAGGCATTGAAGAAGGGTGTCGGAGGTGAGGTTACGAGCTTGCGCCCGCTCACTAGCCGTCGAGAATAGAGTTGATGGGTTGAGATGCGAGAAGTCTAGACGACGGACAACGGTGCCTAGAGATGGGTAAGAAGAGATATGAACAAGGAACTTGTGGAAGATCCTGGAATGGGGAATTGTGATATGACGGTAAAGAGTCTCTAGAGTTGCTGTGTGCAAGGTCTTTGACGTCAAAAGAAGCGACATTAAGTCAACGTTTCGCCTTGCAATGCCATTGGGCGGAACATCGAGGACGAGAAGGTTGATAATAGAGCCTAGCAAGAGCTTCGTTAGTACATCAGACAAATCCACAGCATGTCAAGACTTACTCAAAACCTCAATGGGTAGTCTCTCAAAGGGAGCTTCTCCAGGACCATAGCCTGATAGTCGTCGAGTCAATGGTTGGCGAGGGCTCGGCTGGCTCCAGCTCTGGTTCAGCATATGCAAATCGCCGAAGCTTTTGCTCGCTAACTTCCCCCGAACGTTGATCTGCTTCCACCCCTTGAAGCTCTCAGACGGGAACCAGTAGCCATGAAGCTTGCTGTTGGGTTGTGTTAGCGGAGGAAGAAACTCGGCCTGGACCATGGTACCCATTGGTGGCGGCGAGGGCAACTCCTCCACAGCCTGCTCAGGAACCTGATAAGACGAGACCTTGGACAGGGTGAACGCCTGTGTAAGGTCAGAATCGGTCTCTCGAATGGAAGAGAACGAGCCACGGTCTGCACTGTCGGGCGAGCCGGACCGTTGCTGGTGGTGATCGCGGGCCATGGTTTTGGTTTTGTAGTCGGCGGGGTGGACCTTCAAGTTCACAGCCCCTGGTTGCACTGAGTGGTACGGGACGGCCATGGGTCGAGATGGTGGAATCTCAGTAGAGGATGTGCGTGATAGCTCCTGACCCAGCCGCAACGTCGACTCTTGTTCGAACAGAGCGCTCCAGGGGTTCACAACGCAGACAGACAAGCAGTAAGATGCTTTCTATTAGTCAAATGGTCGGAGTTTTAGGTAAGAAGATTGGAATGTTGATGCGGGGAAGAATCTGTGGCCTTGACCTGTGACACTCTGGACTTTGCTCACCGACGAGAGAGGCGCAGAGAGCAGAGAGTCGTCAAGGGGTAGCGGTATGTCTGTATGAGCGTGCGTATGGATGTATCTGTGCAAGTGCGCAGAGGTACAACGGCGAGCGGCAAGGGAGGCGGGCCCGGGAGGTGCAGCAAACGACGATGGATAGAAAGAAGGTAAGGTGTGGTATGCCTGTGCTACCACGTTGGTCGTGTGTATGTTGGCTGCGCAGGCCCAGCAGGGACGATTTAATATAGCAAAGCGTCGAGGAAGGTGGAAGAGGTTCCTTGCCTTGGATTGAGTAATGAAAACCGAGAAGCGTCCAAGGAATGGATACCTCTTTGTCACCTGGACGGCCGAAAGCCAGTAGCCCGACACGGACTTACGAGACGACAACCTCTTGAAAAGCTGGGGAACAACCGCTCTTGGCCGGTGCCGGTCCAGCCAAGCAGACCCGTTGAAATGGATTTGCTAATGGAAAATGAAGGAAAGCAACTCTACCTGGCCTTGGTGGCCTACCTTACCTCGCTTTTCAAGAGCAGAGCCTACCTACCTTACCTGGGGCGGCCTGCACTGTAAGTCCGCAAGTACCCTGATTGCCAGTCTGGCTGGTGCTCCCTGATGGACTTCGCCTCCTTGGGGTGAAAGAGGGCGGGCAGTTCGGGCAAGCGAAGGTGCGCCGTTTCGACGGGATGATGTGAAGCGAGAAAGTCTAAAAATGCTGGTATAGATGATATCAGAAAGCGAGGTACGTATGATGAAAAAGACAATTTTATGGCAAAACTCGGTGTTGCCATTGGACGGCGGGGCGACATGCCGTTTCCTGCCCGGGCTGAGAGGCAAATGGAAATGGACGTCACCAAACCGCTTCCGTCCATCTTCGACTCGCGCCTGGCCACTTACTGACAATCTACTTACTCTTCGCACTTCACTCTCACTAGACAGCCTACAAGAACAACAAAAGGGGAATTTGAAAACCAGGGCGAAAAGTGACACCTCGTGACCTTTTCCCCTTAGAGCTGCGCCCGGCGGTAACGTCGCAAGAATGGCGACTTGAAGCAGTCCAGAGCACCCCGAGGTCAGGTGGCCCTTCCATAGCCTTGGTGCTAATTCGCATACTTCTCCCCATTCTTGCGTGTCTATTACTCATTAGCAACATGGACTCAGACATCCATCTCATCCCAGTGCGAATAGCGTTATGCAGGCTCGAGTTTCTCTGACAAGAGAAAAACATCATCGGTGTGCAAGGCTCCATCTGTGCTGCCGACGTCAGGCAACGTAATTCACTATACACAGCCAAGCAGCTACAGCGATTCCTGCATAGCATTTGACAGAGAGACGGCGGCTGTCAGTTCTGGCGCAACCGCTCGTCATCCAGCTGCTGGATTTGCAACCATGTGCCGCCTTCCATTGGCCGTCAGCTGCTGACTGTGACTAACATGAATCGCCCGCCGCAGGGGGAGAAAACTCTAGGCTCGCACCAGCAGGAAAAAGCTCTGAAAGAGCCAAGACAAAACTCGTAGCACGAGTACTGCATAGTACAGCGAAACTCCGTCCGTAGTATCCTCCGGGCTCGCTCGATCCGCTCCACCACTACCACCAACCCCGGATGGCCTGGAAGGAAAGGCGAGAAGTTACTGACTGATCACGACTGCGATACCGCAACCTGCGCCCCTTTGCAATTTCCAATAGAACAACAATAGTCGGGCGTCGTGGCTGAAAGCTGAGTCACCAAACATCTACGCCCGATCTCGCAGCTGTCAAAACGACAGAGGATGATGAAGAACCTTGAAGAAGAAGCTTGGGCCTGTGGAATCAGCCGAAGCCAGCCGCTGCCGCCGCTCCCTCCTTTTTGCCTTCTCCGACACCTACGAGTAGGAAAAAGGAGGCTCACGAGCGCCCGTGTCATTCGACAGACGCCTCCTCCCATTAGCGCTGCGACGCAGAACTGCTGCACCCCGGGTTCCTGGGCTGGAACAGCAGCCAGAGCAGGGAGGTACTCTCGTACTGTACAGCACAGTACGCTAACAAACGTGCTAGAATCCTAGCTGGTCCTCCCCCGCATTTTGCGCGGCACACATCCGATAAAGTTACACAACCAGCCCGAGACAGGCAGCTTCTGGCAGAGCAGGCGTAATTAGGTACTTATGTGTAAGACGATGCCAGGCACAGCCGGACAACAGGCTACGGGATCAAAAGAACTCTTGGACAACCCCCGACACGCCATACCCCCCTGCGGATCGTGTCAATCTCATGTGCTACCCGAGTAGACACCTTGCCGCGTTTTTGCATCTCCGCGGCCGTTGGCAGCTTTGCCAAGTCGGTTGTACAGCCACATCTCCTGTCGTCTCCTGAACATGCCAAATGGAAGCTCTGTGACTGGTCCTGTCTGTGGTCCTACCTACAGAGATCTTCCCACACCTCACATGCCGAGAAAGTGATACTGACATAAAGTACCTACTTACCAGACTCGGCGAGACGGCAAGCTCCCCTTGACATTGTATTATAGGTACCACAAGAATTCAAACAGAAAGACGGCAACACAGTCGTTCATAAATGTAACATCCTTATACACAACGTTAGGCGTGCTACATGCTACTCATGGCTACCTTATTCCCGTTGCTGATCGTCTAGAGAGCAGCAGCTGCCTGACGATTTTACAGACGTACTCGCGTCCTACCTAGATCGAAAATATCCCATACCGTACGCCTCTCTTGCCCCCCTGTTTACATTTGCCTGGGGAAAAAACGCAAATATAACATGACGGGATGCTGTCGGACCCCGACTCCCTCTGGTATATCCAGAAGCAGTTCCTAGAAACAACTGTCTGGTCTCGCAAACGCCGATTCGTGAATGCCGCAAGAAACCCTCGTTGTCTTCACAACATGCGGGGTGTTGTCATGGAAGGAGAAAAATGCAAACAGTTGTCGTTTCATTGAGTAGACATGACAGTGTCATGTCCCGTTGACCTTCTTCCCGGGCTGCTTCAGCTGCTTCTTGCAGTCCTCGCAGTACCATTTCACTGTTCAGTGCGTTAGCAACAACATGTTCCTCTGCTGGCATTGCTGAGGGATGCTTACCATTGCTCTTGGGCGCAACCTTCAGCCCCACACACTCGAGATGGAACCACTCCCGCTTGCAGTCCGGCCCATCGCACCCGACCATCTCGCCGTAGCTCACGCCGTTGCAGTAGCAGTAGGTCGGCTCGTTCTCGTCGATCTCATTCTCCTCATCTTCTACGTGGCTGCTGTCGTTCTCCTCAAGCTGCTGAGCAAGGGCTCGCTGGGCGGCGGCGGCGGCGGCAGCCGATGCCCCTTTCTTGTGACTTCGCTTGACAGTAGTAGTGCCCTCGGAGGCCCGTGAAGGCCGCGATCGAGCCGCCTCCGCAAATGTCGCCAAAGCCGGCGTGGATGGCTTGCTAGCTCGCCCGCTCTTTGTAGTGACGAGAGTTGTAGTTGCGACAGGTAACGTCGGAGTTGGGTCTCCCACGGCCTCTACCTCGTCTGCTGGTTTGGAGATACTCTCCTTCCTACTCGTGCTCACGGGAGGCGGAGGCGCTGCAATGATAGCATCGTTTTCTGGCTTTGGCGTTTCACCCTTGATTGGCGCCCCCGGCTCCTTGACAACCTTCGTTTCCGCCGTAGGGCGAGAGCCATTGCTCTGTACCGCAATCACTTCAGAAGGAGCTGGCGCTGTGCCATTCGGCTCTTTGGAGGCAGACGAGGGCGGCCGTTGCTTTGTACTATCGACATTCGAGTGGACGGAGTTCTGTCGTGCTCTGGAGGATGCTGGCCTCGCTGTAGTAGATGGAGCAGGCGATGCTCGAGCAGCTTTGACGGTGTCGGGGAAGGCGCTAATGACTGGCGAAGAGGTTATAGACGGCGACATGGCAGCCCCACTACCTGATTTTCTACTTGAACGTTAGTATACCAATAAGTGTAGTTTCCTGGACAATAGATTGCTCACCCTTTCTTGGACTGGCTAGTTGATGTAGGAAGTGCCTTGCGCTTCTTGGCTGGCTCCGGTAGAGGTGTTTCTCGAGGACTGGCAGAAGGCTTTGCCTTGGGCGCGTTGTTACCAAAGACAGTACTCATTGCCCGCTCCATTGGCGCTCCACCATTGACTACCTTCTCGACCTTGCGCCGCTTGGCCGTGGGGTTGCCGTTAGCAGTCGCCGCTGTCGATATTCCTAGCCCAACAGTTGGTGTGGTCTCTGTGGGCGTAGCGGCGACCTTTCGCTTGCTGGTGCTGTGAGACTTTCTGTTGGAATCTCCCTTCTGTTTTCCATCATGTTCGTCAAAGTCTGACTCTTGATGCTGGTTTCGCTGATTTCGTTTGGCTGCGACAGCTTGCTTCCTCGCGTCGCTTCGCGCTGCAGCTTCCTCGGCCAGTGCTTGTGCAGCAGCAGACAGGCTCGCAGCGCCCTCTCGTCTGGTCCTCTCTGTCTGATTGTTCAGCGCGCGCGCAGCCCGATTCTCGGGATACGCCCAATGTGTTGTGCTGCCCCATTTCGCTTCGTCGCTGAACTCCTCTTGGAGGTGAGGCCAGACATTGTCGATGCGGGCAAGCTGCTTAGACATAGCTTCGTTTGCGGTGGAAATGACGTGATTCTTCTCTTCGAGTGACACTAGCATTTCTTGTATCTTGAAGGCAGCTTGTCGGAATAGTTGCCGCCGAGGAAGGTTGCCAGGGTCGAACACTGTGGTGTTGACCGACTCGGGGGCAGATGGCACAGGGGCGACCTGGCCGTTCAGGGCAAAGCCGCTTGAGCTGTTCTGAGCGCTCATAGGCGCCGAAGCTGGCGCGATTGTGCTGGCAGCATCATTGAGCGATTGTGTGGCCTCGGGGGGTGTCGACTCAAGAGCAGCTTCGATCAGCTGGAACAAGGTCTCCTCTGGCGCGAAGATCTTGGCGTCGACCTCTCTGAGAAGTGTGAAGTGTCGCACCAGCTCCTTAGGAAGGGCGGCAATTGCGTCTGCGAAGTGGGTGACAGCAGGAAAGATGTCGATGGGCTGGTTGGGATCGCTGGCGCCGGCGAGCGACTCGCGTCCGGTGAGCGACCGGCCGAGGGCAGACGCGGAGGTTCTGGGAGGGTTGGTGCGAGTTTGTCGGACAGGCTGGGACCTTCGGCTCGACGGGGTATCGACCGCAACCGGGGGCTTCACAGTCTTCATTGTTCGAATGGCAGGAGAAGGAGCTTTGGAAGGCGGAAGAGGGGGTGGAGGTGTGAAATGTGGTGAGAGGTTGAAGCAGTCGAGACAGTAGGGTTGTCGCTATTCAGTCAGACCAACGGATCTCGGCCAGTTGGTCCGTGTCGTTTCTGGTAGAAATGCAGAAAACTAAAGCTCTAGAAATTGGGGGTCATGCCATCACGGCGCAATCAAGCATTTTGAGCTGGCTTGACCACTGTCTGAAGGTGTTGCAGGAAACGAGGAGAAATTTGGTGGTGGGTGAGAAGACTGACTGGCAGGTCGGCGGCACCATCGCTGTCTGCGCTTTTCCTCCACAGCACAGCGTCGCTCTTCAGATCTGCCGACTGGGGGGGTCCTTCGGAGCCACCTGCGCACCGCTCGATGCTTAGTGTCCTCAGGCGCCAAAGCTGGCTCCCTGCTGATCGGGTGCCTGAGCGATAACGTCACTGATAAGATCCTTATCTTGCTCCCCATCAGCTCAGTCGAAAGTTCAGCAATTCGTCCGAACCTAAACCTGAGCTCGACAGCAATAAGAATTCTAGTAGACAAAGACATTATCTGGGTTATTTCAATTGTGCACATATATTCAAGAATTCGGTCTTCACGTTTCATCTGAATTGCCATTGAGTACGTCTAAATTAGAAGTTAGCAGCTAGTGATGATAGACCTCATATGTTGCCGTCTACACGGCTAAGAATAATATGAGTTAAAGTCCACTGTTCCAGCCAGTGATCTTTGATAGCCAAAGGCTCGGGCTATATACGATCACTCGCAGTACTCTAGATGGAGTGCCGGCCTTCAGCGCTGCTTGATTCGCCTTCGAGGCCGCTCTTCTCTCTCCTTCTGCTTCTGCCTCCATTGCCACTCTACCAGAACCGGGACAAAATGCCAAAGGTCAAATTCAGGCCACAGACACTTCAGAAAGAATATTTGGGTATCCTGATGGCATTGCCACAGCATAAAATCACTGAACCTCTCGACACCGCTAGTGCGGACGAAGATGTCTAGTGGAGGATCGCCCGCCGTGTACATGTGATTCGTCAGTGTTTCCGCCGTTATTGTCTCTGAATCGGGATAGATGGCAATATCAGATGCCTCGCATGAGGATCTCGAGGGTGGCGAGTCTACGTGAAGTGTGGCAGAGGAGGAAACGGAGTCGTCAACACCGTCTGATTGGGTCGAGGAGGGCGCAGGAGATGTCTCGCGGATGGTGGAGAGGGTCTCGACTTTGTCTAGGTGTTTAGACATGATCTTCTGCGTGATTCGCGTTTGCGAGAATGGTGTGTTCTGCGGACGAGCAGCTGTCGAGTATTCTTCAACCGTAGACCTGACCGCCTGTGTAATCTCCTCTCTAGAAGTGTAAGGGAAACAAATATTCAGGATAGCCCTACGAGGGATTGTCAGAAAGTCCAGATTCAGAAGGCAAGGGCGAAACGTACTTGTTGTTATGGGCAGTGGTCTTGACAGCTCGGTCAACGACTTCCTGCACGTCTGGTCGAATCAAGTCCCGCTGACCGAGTACTCGTACGCTCGCGCCGTATCGTTCCAGAATCTCGCCATGTTGTATCAATTGCTCAAGCTTCACCTTCGCAAGCTGCATCAAGCCGTCGACCTCGTATTTCGATCGATTAAAGTTCTCGATGCTAAAGGCATAGACCGTGACGACCCTCACACCACACTTGTAGCATATCTCCAGTACCTGGGACCTGTCAGCGCATGCTATGCAGAACAATCCGATAATCACTTGCCCTGGCAAGAGCTTCAAATCCTAGGCCGTGCCCTTCGATGGTCTCGATTTTGTGGCTTCTTGCAAAACGTCGGTTTCCGTCCATGACAAACGCGACATGTTGGGGGATTGGGCCTTGGCTCAGAGCTCCTATCAAAAGCTCACGGACCTGCCTAAGAACCCATTCCGCCGGCGGCGAACTCAAAAGCCAGTCTGTTAAGTGAGAGAGGTACAGGTCGGACATGGTCAGACCTTGAAAGGAGGCGAGCCCAGTGCGAGGTGGGTGTCGGATTTCAGAAAGAATGGAAAGATAGAGTCAGTTGTGATGACTTGAAAGATCAGAACATACGAAAGAGGGCGAGGGATGCTATGTTCGGGTGGTAATAGGATTAACGATTGTTGACAGGTGACGCTTCGCCTCGTCGCTGACGACGAAAGCACGTGCAATTAGTGTACCTGTCGGTCTGCCATTTTACCCACTAGGTGGATTTAAGGTTGTTCCAGGTACTCCATCAACCTGCTCCAGGTTTACAAGGTTAACTGCTTATGATATATACTTCAAATCTTTCTTCTTTGACTTATATTGTGAAGAACTCAAGACAATGAGGTTTTATAAGACGTTCTTCGTGTTTGAAAGTCATTTCACCGTTTTGTCAATGCATAAAACTCCACACTTGTATCCGTAGTTCGCAACACAATTCGATACGTCGTGCGGCTGATAATGGCTTAGCTTAGAGATTTGACAAGGCTCCAAATCCTTCTCTTGGCCAACTATGCCTAATTTGGGGCGGCGGTAAGCATGTTGAGGTGGATTGGAGGTCAGGAGGGATATCATGCAAAAGTCTCCTGTCAGAAACCTGCACAACAACTCGCGACAAGTTTGTTCGGGTGCCTCGACCTCCAGACTGGTAGGGAGGCTTTTCTCCTGCTATCGCGGTTTCCTCCATTCATCACAGCTCGGATCCAGAACCCATGTGTGTATTCTCAAAATTTACGTTGCGAAAGAATATGTCCGTGGTCTTTCTACTGACTGACTGATGTGTTTCAGCGGTGATAGTGACCGCGCTGGTGCAAGGCCAGTCTTACGCTGATGAACAATTGCGGCTTCACAAATAGACATTCCACTTATCGAACTTGTTCAATCGTCCTCGACAATCGGCACCCGTAACACTAGGATGGCTATCCCCAGCATGAAATACATTTTGGCATGCTTCTACTTGAGTAGAGCAGCGATAGCCTCGATCGAATTCACAATCGCAACAGGACCCTGTGATGACGGATCTGGCCTATACAATCAGTGCGATGACTCTGCAGCAGGAGGATTGTGCGCCTCTACTCCTGATGTTACCAAAAAATGGTGTTGTCCACCTGAAGCCTCGTAACTGTGCCCGTGTACTTTGGCCAAACCAGTACTGTTGGCTGATGTTTTTGGGATAGACAGTGTGGGACTTGGGGCGAAACATGCACCGGTAACGGGAATCTCGCCGGACCTGGGCAGATTTACTGCCAGAGCAGTGACGGAACCCAGAGTATGTGAATTCTGGTCATACCGTATTACTTAGCTAACTTTCTGGGTGTTACCAGAGTGGTGCTGTAATGCTAAGTACGATACGTGTATAGCGGATGACGATGCCTTCAATCTTTGCCGAACGCAGTTCGCGAACCCATACGCCAATACTACCGAGGAAGAGGCACTCAGCTTGAAATCAGCGTTCTTATCTACTGCGGGTACGTATAAAGACAACCGGATTGTCGTGTCGAGCATGCGTTACAATGTGTTGTGAAAGCATGGTTCAGCTTCGACCCTTCTCCTATTCAGAAACATAACTAACGTCTTTGCAGTAAGTAGCTGCTCTCGAACCAGCGGCAAGAATCGAATCATGAGGTTTCGAATATGTAGCTAAAAAATTTTCTTCTTTCTAGACATCTTCAAGCACCACAGACAGTGCAGCATCAACAGCAGCCATAAGGACAACGTCGACCTTAGCCTCGGCCTCAAGCACAGGTTCGAGCACAGCCGCGGGACCCTCTTCTAGTGCAGCATCAGATTCCTCACATACTGGGCTAGGAGGAGGTGCGATAGCGGGAATCGTAATTGGCGCCGTGGCAGGCATTGCAGCTCTTGCACTGCTAGCATTCTTCCTTCTTCGGCAACACCAAAAGAACAGAGCGTTGAGGCAACAACTAGATGCCGTCTCTGCGGCACAGGCGCAGGTACAACAGGCACCGGCATACTCACCAGCGCCCTGGCCACAAGTTCACGAGCTAGACCCCAAGGCACAAGTTAGTGAGATGGGACCCGGCGGACGTTATTAAATACCGCTCGCTTGTGAGCGATTGTACTATATGGCTGCCAGGGCCCGTGACCATGGCTGAAATCGTACTCATCACCGCAACCTTCCACATGGAGGCGGTCATAATACGTTACTGAGCATATATTGCCTTAAAGTTTATTGTGCTTACCTAGCCAAGGATTGAGTGTTGAGTGTTGGTTCAGATAGTAATAAATGTTTCCAGTATTCTGCAGCGGTATACTCTCCTGTTCAAGTTAATGTAGCTAGGAACGCACCCCGCTGCACGATGCTTCATATGTGTACGGTGGACTGGAGAAGAACGTATGTCCTGCCAAACATGTGTACTTTCCTGCCAGTGTCCGAAGGCCAGACATCAACACGGCAAGTAACCGTGGATTTCTAAGAACACCGGAAGAGACCAAAGGTGGTGGATTCCAGTTTCGTCAGCCTTGCGGCTGGGCCGGTTTTAGGCGGGTCGCCGCTACGGTAGCTGAGTAGCTCGCCCCGGGCGGGCATTTAACTTGGCCGAATCGTCAGGCTGAACACGACACCTTTCAATTAGCTTGTCATCCATCCGCACTCCTTCAGCCCGACGTCAACGAAGGCTTGCGTCTCCTCGGAACAACTGCCACCTTTGGACGTCCTCGCCCCTTTCTGACTTTCATCAGGGAAGCCCGACTCCTAGGCCGACCGATCTAATTGTCGCCGCAGTGGTAGACCGCGATCACGCAGTAATGCCCCGGTAGCTCCACGACATCCAGAATGTCCTTTACGAACGCCCCTGTCTCGAGGACCTTGGTCGTCGGCCTTGTCGCAGGGTCCGTAGCTGTGAGCCTTCTGGATATCAAGCACTACTTCTACATACTAGTCGACACGCACATTTGGAAGTACCATCAAACATGGCGGGCGCTCATATACCAGCTATGCTATACCAATTCGTCCGAGGTGCTCTTCGCCTCGATGACATTATACAATATGCGGATTGTTGAGCGCATGTGGGGTTCGAGGAAATATGCTGTACGTAACTACACTCGAGTACAGAAAATGGCTGCTAATTCTAACACGCTTCAGTCATTCCTCGTTGTTACCACGCTTCTTACAAGTATCCTTCCGCCAGCGATACTTGCTCTTTTCCTGCGGCCTGTAACGGCCGGTCTTTTCAACTATCTTCCGGCCGGTCCGACGCCGATAATATTTGCTGTTCTCGCGCAGTATCACGCTATGATACCTCACATCTACAAGTACCGTCTGGCGATGTCTGCTTCGCCCCCGTCGAATGACCAATTCGTTGGATTGACGTTCTCAGACAAGTCCTACAGATACCTGCTGGCAATTCAGTTGGCTCTTTTTCAATGGCCTGGTTCTCTACTCGGCGCGGCCGTTGGCTGGGTTGTGGGCTATTCCTGGAGGAATGACCTCCTGCCGGGCGCAGTTACTCGTTGGCGCATCCCAGGGTGGATGGTTGGAATCAGGTCGCAAAAGCGAACCCGGGAATTTGAGGGGCTACGACAGCGTCTTGAGGGAGAGAACTCGTCCAGTGCCACTGCGACCGGAGTGCAGGGCCCAGTTGATGGAGATGCTGGCAGACGCAGGCCACTCGGGCAGCAAGTCTTAGACCAGATCCGAGGGGCATTTTGATAGAACCCAATCAGGAACAGGTACCAATTAGATCACATATCTTCATCCTCTTCGCGCTACCTGCTGCGTCCTTATCGTGTCTAGACACAGACACCTGGGTGACTCGGTAGAGCTTCAGAACCAACGGGCCCCTGCATTCAGCAGTAGCAACAACGATAATGGCCTTGGAGTGTACAGCGGGTGCATCCCCTGGTATATTATACTGATCTGAGCATAACCAGCCATAATATCTCCGAGATGTCTACGTCAGGCCATTGATCAATGCACTGAGGAGGCAATGAACACCACTTTCCAACCCCCTGGTCCCGCGCTTGGGCGGGATGTGATAGGGGGAGTCGATCACCCTAACCAGAACGAGCTTGCATGCTCCATTGCCAATCTAAAATCGCGTCTATCGCGACCAGGAATCCACGCCACGAATTCCTGTGCCTGAACAATCTTTTTTTTTTCATGTGAAAGAAATGTGCCAATCGTCGAGCAGACGATTACCCAGTATGTATGGGATGGGGATGTAGAATCCGCCCTCGCAGAGGGGGACTTTTGAGTACGGCGCCCCGAAACTCGGCAGTCAGCAGTATCCTTTCGTATGGCACCTGCCGGACTAAAAATAACGTGCCTCTCACGTTGTTACTGCATCATAGGGACGTCGTAAGTAGTACGGGGGGGCGGTAGATTCCACAGCGGGCACCAATGGAGCGAGCGGCGCGCGCCTTCCCCCCAAAAATGCCCACGAGACAGCTCCAGCCACGCCATTCGCACTCTACTGCGCCTCCGTTTTTGCGCTGCGAGGAATCACGCAGCAGCCGTAACGGTGTGCCACGGCGGCGCGCTAGGTATGGCATACCATGCCATGCATTGCCTACCCACGTTAGTTACGGCGTAGGTAAGAAAGTCGGCTGCGGCCACAGGAGACGGACCAGGGGAGCAGGGGACAGAGGCCCACGTTATCCACGTCTGCCCAAGATTAACTGCTGTGCGATTTTCTGCTGTGCTTCCCTTCTTCTGCTATCCTAATCCCGTTGTGCTGCTTGTGTAATAAAACCAAAAACTCTCTGTCCTCGCACCAGCAATTGCAGTTGTGGACGTCTCTTTGCTTCCCTTCTGTGCAATAACTCTTTGCTTTCGCCCGCCACTTGTGCAAGTCTCAGGTCCCAGTGCATTCCCTCCTCCTTTGTCCCAGACTGGACAAGCTCGAAACCACGCGCTCCAAGACCGTATATGGCTGCAACAATCTAAAGAGTCGCTCACGACGTTTTCCCCTTTGTATGATGCATTAACGACGAACCACGGGTGTTGGGATTTCATTTGGTCACAATGAACGGGATTGCGACACGGAAGCCGTATGGCTATGATGGCGGCAGACAGTCGCCCGCCCAGGGAAGCGGCAGCGGCAACGGCAACGGTGTTGGACTTGTCGGTGGGAAGACCCTCGTTGAAGGGTATAGGAAGGAGATCCTCAACGGCTTTGACCAGGACAAGCCGCTGTACAATCCCGTATGTCACGGTCCCAATCGTTGTACTGACTAGCTAGCGCGGCATGCTAAACGGCCTTTCCCCAGATGAACGCGGAGCGACCCCAGAGCTCGCCTCTCGTGGACCTCAAGGACCCTATCCAGGTACACTTGCTTACCGAGACGGCGCTGTCGGACAGCCGGGAGTGGGAGATCCTGTCGCAGGAAGAAGTGGATGATCTGAAAAAGCAGATCCAGTCACTAACTCAGCGCATCGAGCAAGCGCGGGCCAATCTGGCCATACAGTCCAAATACAGAGATGCCGCGATATCTATGTCGAAGCTATACTCTCCGGGGAAGAGGAGGAGTCTGTTGGGCAACCGCAGCAGCGGTGGAGACAAGGAAGCGCAGCGGGAGGCCGATGCCGAGAGACAGGCCATTGAGCACCGTTGCGAAGAATTGGCAGCCGAGCTATTCTCGCTCGAGAAACGACTGATGGAGCCCCAGAGACGACTCCTTCAACATACCGCTGGCATATTACAACTAACGCACAAGACGCCCAAAAGGCAGCCACCCACTGCCGGTCTCCCACCAAATGGTATCCCTGGCAGCCCCGAGAGCATGTACACATACTCGAACGGGCGAAATAGCTTAGAGCCCGGAGATGATGCATTCTTTGATGACAGGAGCCTGTACTTTCCCCTGGAAGATGGGCAGTTCGGCCGACCACGGAAGAACACCTTGGAAATACCCCAGAAGTCTCCGATCAGGGAGCAGACGAATCAGCTACGCGAGGAGGGCGACCGCCTTCGTGACGAAAATCGATCCTTGCGGAGGGAAACTGAGCAATTACGTCTCAATAACGACTCGCTTAACAACGAAGTAGACATGCTCAAGGCACAGAGCGCGGATCAATTCAAGCTCATCTCGAAGACGGAAAGGAAGCTCGAAGAGCTAAACGTCCGCCTGAGGGATGTGATCATTGAGTTTGACCCCGAGAAGAATAGCCGGTACAGCAGAGTTCCTACAGGCAAGCTAGAGCCTGGCGAGCTACTCGGCAGCCAATTGGACTATCTGGCCAAGGGGCTCAAGTACATTAATGATGAAAGAGGCCTCCAAGCTTCCTCGAGTGGAAGAGACGCAGAAACTGTCGCGAAACTGGAGGAGTTCAATGGTCAGGTCCATGGCATCTTGCAAACCGTCGCTCCAGACTACCCATTGCCACCCACGCAAATGGAGGGTGGTCTGGACCAGCAGCTGGATTGGCTTGAGGAATCTCTCCGCGCGATAGACTCTGAGCTCACTCGCGCCCTGGACAATTCATCTGCCACCTCAGCAGATAGACAGAAGACCGAACAGGTCGAGACAGTTCTTGAAGGTCTATGGGATATCATCCAGTCTGGGTACGCCGATATTCAACAAAGAAAGGAGGACCGTAGGAAGACTCGTTTGGCGCAAGGCCTCCAGGCTGATGAGGATGACATGTCGGGTGATGAGTCCTTTGACACCAGCGAGACGTACTCACTCCAGGCTTTCTCTGCCAGGGTCCAGTGGCTATATGCCCAGGCCACGAGACTGAAGGAACAGAAATCGGTCCTCAAGCGCCAGATCAAGCAGCAACGAGAATTGAACAACAAGTCTGACACTGCTAAAGATGCTGAATTACAGCAGAAGGTGGATGAGTTGCAGCAGACGAGAGATCTTCTAGATCGCACTGAGAAGGAGGCACAAGACGCGCAAGAAAAACTTGTCCAGGCACTCGCAGATCTTGACATGTATCAACAATCCAATGCCGCCAATGAGTCAGCGGCCGTCAAGGCGGCGCAGGATCAGCTCAAGGAGAAGAATGCAGCTCTCGCTTCTCTGGAGACTACTACGAAGGAACTTCAAGGCAAGTTATCTGCTGTAGAAGGCCAGCTGTCCACTATCGATGAGCAGCTTAGAGAGGCTTCGGAAGCAAAGAACGCGTCTGAGGCTGCTGCTGAAAAGCTTCAACATGACGTGCAAGCTAAAGAGAAGGAACTTGAAGATATGAATGTCATGATCATTGAGCTCAAGACAGAGGTGACAATTGCTAGGGCAGAGCTGGATGGTGCATACGGTTCTCGAGCTCAGCGAGCTGCGGAGGTGGCTGCGTTGACCAAGGGCTCCGAGATCACAGATCTCCAGGGCCAAGTTGACAAGCTCAAGAGCGAGCTTGCCTCCACGCTGAAGGAGTTTGAAGACATGACTAAGGAGACGATCGCTTCCGAGAAGGAGAAGATCGAGCTCGAGGGCCGCCTTGACGATGCCCTGTCAGCCAAGACATCCTTGGAGACTGAGGTCCGTGCATTGAGAGAGAAGCTGGAGGCTGAGGTGTCCAGGTTGCAGGAGCAGCTCGATGCCGAGAGGCTCAAGGTTGGTCCCGGTCAGGGAGCGGGATCGAAACCTGGTGCCGGCGCCTCGATGCTCAGCGAGCAGTTCCGGGCCACCATGAAGGAAGAAAGAAGGAAATTCCAGGAAGAATTAAGAGTAAGCACTATCAGCCCTGCCTATGAATGAAGAAGGCGTACTAATAAATATATAGGAAGAGCAAGGCAAACGCAGGCGGCTCGAAGATGAATTACGAGCCCTCAAGAAAGCTCAAGGCCCGGGAAAGAGCCCCCTCAGCCCGAGGTAGTGTATGTATATGATAGTTTAAGGTTCTCTCGGGATTGGTTTACAAAGGTTGGGCAGTGTTCGAACTCTTTTTCATATCGGCATAGCAATACTGTCTGTCATTGCGTAGCCTTCTGGATTTGTACAACATAGGGCTTAAAAAGCATGGGCACGTTGGAGTTGTAAGGTAGACGTACCCGGTATCATTCACGCCACGACACGGCGCCTTGTAGTCACAATGTGAATAGACAGTGTTTTCATTCGGCATCCCACCCCAATATCTTCATACTCTATTCCTAAATGAGTACGATACTTTCAAGTTTTCGGGTGCCGCTGTTGAGCTCGTCCATAGCTCGTCCATACATGTATCCATCAACATAGGCGTCACCGATGTATGAATACTCGTCCCCTTCAGGTCGCAGTATGATCGGGATTGAAGCGCCCAGGAGCACGTATATCCTGTGATTGGTTTGAACGTCGCCGCCTACGATGAGAAAAATTCCTGACTGTGTCATACAGAATCGCCGCCCCGTCATGACACGTCGTAGGAGATATAAGACTGTCTGGTCATCGAAGCCCTGCATATCCTCCTCATTACACCCCAGAGCACTTAATTGCTCATCCATGGCAATCGCATTGGACATGACGGAATCTTCAAGATGGCGCTTGACCGCGCCAAAAAGCATACCCATCCACTGTCGATCGTTGATCGAATCTTTGTCGACTTCCCTCGTGACACCTCTGCGCAGGAGGCGACAAAATTGCTGGATCTTTGCCTTCTGGAACCCATATGTGTCCATTATGATTGAGCACCAGTTCAGAAATACGAGTATCACGTCAATCATCATGTGCCAGGGGCGAAGCGAACTTGACATCAGTGCAATAGAATCAATATGTACTGCGAGGACTTGGAGCTTCTGCTGTCTTCCAGATAATGCCACAACAGCGCCCGTGCCGCGCGAGGCATCGAAATGACTGTTCCAAGTCCGAATATATCTTCCCCTCTCAGGTATACTGAAGTCCGGCAGCCATGTCGGCAGTGCCCCCGCGACGTGTCTGGGTTTGTACTCTGCCCCTTGAGGGGGCAGCATGGGGCGACACAGAACGTCAAGGCGTTTTGTTGTTGTTATGATATGCTGCACTGCATTAGTAAAGACCTGTCGTTTCGTCAAGCTATAATTCGGTGTGATGTGACTACGTTCTTCTGCGGTCACCAGCCCCAAGATGCCATATATCTTGTCTCGCGGGTCCTCGCAAAAACGCCTCCTGGTTAACCTGATGGCTTCAAGGAGATTGACCTCCCTTCTGGGTATAAGTTCGAACAATGGACTCAGTAATACACTCAAGACGGCGTCCTCTGACTGAGCTGTGACTCGTCCGTGTAACTGCAGCGAGCGCAACACGTGAGCGTTCGCCGTTAAAATCTTGGAAGCGGTGTGGAAAGCTGTTAATGATATCTGTGATGAACCACAGTAAACATCGACTTGACGGGCATTGAACAACTCCTGTACGGTCCATAGCCGATACCAGTAGTGTCGATCAAACACGGCTCCAAGAGCTTTGATACTGTCAGTCCGTTCCGGTGACTTCAAGATACGTTCGCAATAGCTCGGATCGTTTCCGTCTGCGTTCGCAAGCTCTATGAGCAGATCTATGCCAAGTTGGCTATGTCCATACTCAGGACCAAGCCATGCTGCAACAGAAACAGCCATTTTATATATCATTGCCATCCTCTCTGCCTGGTGGTTCCGCTCATCGATATTCGCCTGGTCGATACAGATAGCATCCGCCCAAACCGTGACAGCCGTCTGATCAGAGCGTAGTCGTTCCAGTATCTGCCAGAGGCTGACCGTAACAGGGAAGTCATAACCGTCAAGAGTTATAGACCGAGTATCCCCAAGGTCGCCCCAAGCATAACTAATGGCAACATAGTCCGGTGGACTGTTTAGCCACGCGTGAAATAACCTGCATTCAATTGACGACTTGTTTGGCAAGATTCGCAAGAGGCGAAATTCCTCTCCTTGATGATCAAGTCCATGATATTTGAACGCTGTGTCTCCAAGCTTCCTGGATTCCGGGCTCTGAGGGCGATTGATTATCCGAAGATATGGAACAGACTGTTCTACAGGGAAACGCTGCACAGCGTTTGACCGTGGTGATTGCGCTGGTGCCAGTGACATGTCATGTAGCGACGAAACAGAATCATTAGAGTTGTCATACTCTCCTTGAGGTGCTTGGGAACTTGACCTAGAGTCTCTGGTTCCTAAGCTGGGGCTTGAGGCATTCTGATCGACCGAGCCTGTCTCGCCCGACTTTCGCAAACCGCGACCGACTCCAGCTCCAGGCGATGACCGGCTGCTTTCCATCTTTAACGAGCTGTCAAATCCATCACCATAGTTGGGGTTTGAGGGCCTCATTGGAATCCGGCGGCTCACAACAAGAAACAAGGCGTATGCGCGAAATCAATCAAAATTCGAGCACCTCGCTGACATATCAGCTATGTCAACAGTAAAGAGCCAAGTTGAACCAGAGACCAAAAAAAATAAAATAAAAAAAACCAGAAAAAAAAAAAGGCTAGGACGAGAGATGCAACACGGTTGAAGATGGAAAAAAGCACCTGGCAGCCTCAGTTCGAGGCATGCACAGCCGGGATCACCTGCAACCGCTTGCACCTATCAGTAGAAGGCATGTCTACTGCAGGTAATACCTAGGTAGAATGTAAAGAAAACAGGTCAGGCTCTAGCCAAGCCTCAATTGCCTTGGACCGGGGCAGTACCTGCTGAATGTACTTAGTAGCCTAGCATTTCTTCCTGTTGAAACAGTGTGTAGATATTGAATCACGAGAGATGAAACTGCAGTTCGCTTGCCTTGATCGAAGAGCCTATGATTTTCAATTAAGTTGTATTGGTGAATCCCTAGTCAAGAGCTGATAATTATGTAGACTTCTGTAAGTATTTGTTAGATAAGGTAAGTTGATAGAAGAGCTACCTAGGGAGGCTAAGGCATAATTAACACTGACTTAATTAGAGCCCCTGTTCGTTATCGTCTTACTTCGGCTAGCGGCGTAAAGTTGCCAACTCCTGAGAACGCAACTACGCGTTCGTTCACTGAGCCGCGATTGACCACTGCCACCAGAAAAAGTGGACAGCAGCTAATCGAAGGTTCCCATCCATTCATTTTAGGGGTTGCGCACACGACAACCTCCAGTCCTTCCTCCAACACTTGGTCTACTCTACGTTCAGGTTCACGGTGATTGCACATGGTGACTCTTTGGTGCCTTTTTTAATGTTCAGATGATAACACTTCTCACCTTCGTTGCTTAGACCTATCTTCCCCTTTCCCTATTCACCACTCTCGTTTACCTCGTGCAGAGAGACTCGGCGATTTGAGTTTGATGGCGCCTTAAGTGCAAGTCTTCGACCGGTTGACTGATTCTTCGAATCCACATCGTATTCAACCTCAACCATCAGCCGACCATGCCGAAGCAGCACGTTCTGTTCGGGCGCCCCGTGCCCCGGCTCTCCTCGAGGCGCCTCTCCGTCCTCCTAGCCGGCCTTTCCATCTTCGCCGTCTTCACCCTCCTATTCACCGTGCCCTCTTCGATCCCGGGCCCACGCCTTTCCGTGTCCGACCACAAGTTCTCCATCCCCAAGTGGAAGTCCCTGCCCGTGTGGCACCCATTCAAGGCGCCCTCCCACCCGCCTCCACGCCAGACCAACGACACATACGGCGAGTCGTCCTGGTACTCGAACTGGAGGTGGCTGTCTATCCCTTTCTCGTCCACCATCACACTCGATGAGGACCGGCTGCTTCTGCCAATGGTAAGGGAGAGACCACCAATCTACTGCTACTATGATACGACTATTCAGAGAGACGAGGCAAGCAAGGACGCTGAGAGTGAGATACTGCTCACATGGCGGCGAGCCTGGTGGGCCCAAGGCTTCAAGCCTGTGATATTGAGCGCCGCCGAGGCCATGAACAACCCTGTATACGAAGAGCTCCAGAGGATGGATCTGGAGAACAGCTTGAAGACGGATCTGATGAAATGGCTGGCATGGGAGAATATGGGAGGTGGCCTGTTGGCGCACTACCTGCTGTTCCCAATGGGCTCGCACGAGGATCCATTGTTGGCCTACCTTCGTCGAGGGGAATACCCCAGCCTCACCCGCTGGAACAAGTTGGGTGACGGGCTTTTTGCCGGCTCGAAGCGTGAGATAGCCGATGCTATCAAGCTTGTGATGAGCGGGCCGGATGTGCGAAATGTAAAAGACTTCCTCTCCGCGCTACCCAGCGAGAAGGACAGAGATCCGTTCAAGTTGGATGACAAGCCCGAGGCACTGGCTTTCTACGATGCTAGGACGCTCGAGCAAACATATACCAAGGTTGCGGACGTTATCACAGGCAACCGGGCGGAAGGACTGAAGCGATTAAACCAGCTGATCAACTCACATCTACACCTCACCTGGCAAAACCTGTTTTCGGATGGCATCGCCGTACTGAAGCCGCTGCCGCACCACACGACAACCATGATTCAGAACGCCGTCGAGCTGGCCAACAACCTGCAGCAGTGCACTGAGTCGCCTATGCAGTCCTCGTGCCCCCCAAACCGCCCCAAGTGCGCCCCGTGTGTGGCATCCACGCCAATGAAGATCGCGAGTCCTTCTCGGTACCACAATACCTCTACTCTCTACACAATCGGCACCGTGCCCCACCCATACACCTTCCAGAGCGTGACTAAGCTTAAGGAGAACATTGACATCCCCTGGATTCGTCGGGACTCCGTTCGAGATCTCTACGTCACCGAGATCACCAAGGACATCCTCGGCACCGGCATGTCCGGCGGCCCACGTGTCCTGCGCTTCAAGGAGGCCGTTGCCGGCGAGTACGCCACGGCGCACTCTCTCTGGTTCGTCGCGGAAAGGGACCTCCCCGACGACCTGGACTGGCACTTTGGCTTCGAGATCCCCAAGGTGGCCCTGGACCAGGGCAAGTCCGAGACGCCCGTGCCCGGCCCGGAGCGCCGGCCGCAGCCCTTCCACGACCCCAAGGACGGCCCCGTCCCCAACCCCGACGAGCTGAAGCGCGAGCCGCCGCTGCTGGAGCGCGCCAAGGAGTTCGGCCGCAGCAAGAAGAAGGAGGACGTCGCGGTCCGCAACGCCATGGAGGCGTGGAACCTGGCCGACACCGAGGCGTGGAAGTTCACGCGGGCGTTCCGCGCGCGGTCCCGCGTCGAGCGCATCAAGTGGGAGGAGGAGGAGTCCAAGTACGCCGGCGGCGCCGGCACCGAGAAGGACAGGAGAACTGTAGGCTGGGGCCGGTGGCTGGACAGGAACGACGACTAGAGAATGTACTTGTATGGAATTTTCTCACGTCACGATCTGTCACGGATTAGCTTACCCCCCTGGTAGGATCGCTCACTCTGATAATAGGGTGGTCACGGATGGCATAGGCTGGAGTTTGCGCAACTGGAGTAGAATTTTAGCTAGTATCTCCTTTATTGTTTCTGTACATTTGTTTGTAGCTTAGAGGAATGGAAAAATAACGGTAATGATTGATCAAAAATATTCCCAGGGGTGTTGAACCCCGCGTGAGAAAAGTAGGAGCAAGGAAAAGGGGTCGGAGCGGATGACGGCCGTGGTTAAGCACTAGCTACGCCCTTCCTCTGAGCCCCAATATCACACGGCGTCTAGGCACAAATCGTATCGCCGCCCATCTCGCCGCTCAATTCCCTTGACGTCGGGCCTCGACGCGAGGCGCCGCTGACCAAGCCCACGGACTCGTCTCCGGGGCCGGCGCCGAACGAAGCGCCATTGTACGAGCCCTGGGCCTTGCCGTTGCGGTTCCTGGCGTCGACCGACTCGACGTACGAGATCAGCGCCACGCGCGCGGCCTCGACGACCTTTTCGGCATGCAGCAGGGCGTCTTTCAGCGCCTGCGCCGTGGGGTCGTTGGTCTCGGGCAGCGGGATCCTCGAAGCGCCATTCTCAGGTCGCTTCTTCTCGGCGTCTGCAGCAGTGCCGTTGCTGCCGGCGTTTTGCTGCTCCTCCAGGAGCTGGCGAATGTGTCCGTTCAGCCAGACGCCCTCGAGCTGTGCACGAGTCATATTCTTGGCCCCGCTGATTCGACCGCGGCACGTCGGTTTCCCGCACAGGCAGTCGAAGGGCTGGGCCATGTCCCATTCGGTGGAGGGATAGAAGAACTGTCATGAGTTAGTGAGAAATTGGAGTCCAGTACGGAAGGTGCACGGCGTGGGCAACAGACGGTGAGCTCATCGCCCGGTTCGAGACCCTTCGGTCCGGCAAGGACATTGAAGTTGGTCGTGTCAAATATCTAGAAGCTCCGCATTAACGTCCGGGGCCATAGTTTGTTAAGCTGCCATGTTAGACTAACAAGAGAAGGTTCACAAGAGTGGTTAATGTATAGCAAGTCGCTGTTGAGGTCCAAATGCCTGTCTCGGCCCATCTGGACAGTGGCATATGTGGGTGCCTCGGCTATTGTGCATGGAGGAAACGCCATCTTGGCGTACAAGCCGAACGGTGGGACCGACACCTTGGACAGGCTCTTCGAGGAGAACTCTGCCTCGTTGATGATGACCTCCTGGATTTCAGGATGAGACGGCCTTTGCCAATGGGGCTGAATGGGTGCCATGTCTGTTGTATGAGCTCGTGGTCTGGGCTTGCTCTTATGACGTGAGGCAAGGAGCGGCTGTGAGGAGCAGATTGGAGTGTGTAGCGAAGTAGGTCAGATCTTCTACCTCGAGACAGAAGACTGGATTTCAAGAAGCTTGCTGAAACGCAGGCGAATCGGGTTTCTCGGCGACTCTTGTCTCACTTGAGAAAGAGGAGGACGAGAATAAAGAGCTCAGAGACATCCTCCCGCGGCTTTATTCAAGCCCTGGGGCTCCATAAATGGTGGACTGGACTGGAGTGGCCTGGACAGCCGGAAGCTTCTTCACTTCTGCTTGTGAAAGGCGGGGTGCTGCTGGGCGCTGCTGGGCGCTGGGCGCTGGCGGCGGGGCAGAATGGGGCCCCGGAGGTCGGGAACTTGAAGGTTCGCTGGGCGCGCCGGCTCTAGGAAACGGGCTGACCTATGACAAGGCTGCCGGGTGCCGAGATTGGCAAGCCTGGAGAAAGAAGATCCAGGAACAGTGCGGCTGCTACGCTGCGCTGCGCTGACGCACATAATAGCGTCGTAGAATGAGGGGGGCGATGGGATCGAGGGGGGAAGACACCTGCAAGGGCAATCATGTGCAGGGCCAGAGAACCAACGGCCACCCTGACTGAGGGAACCCCCGCGGCACCTGCAGAAAGGCTGCAGCAGCCCTCTATTCGCTTGTTGCGATTCGGGACCTGGAATGTGACGGAAACACCACTGGGGTAGAATAGAGGCAATCTTGCATGAGGCGGAAGGGGGGGTAAAAGGAAACACGAATCCATGTCGGTTTTGGGTGCTGTTTCCGCGCTTCCTAGTGGAAGTCGATTGTGCTTTGACGAATCTCTAACGCCTGAAGCCCTAGTTAGTGGGAAGCCAAGTCGCTAACATTCCGATATGATGGATTCGATCAAGCTGCCGGAGAAAGCAGTCCTGAGCCTGCAGGTTGTAAGGTTGTCTGGTTGTTACTGCGTAGTATGGGCATCGGGCAGCGGGCATCGTAGTGAAGCCGCCGGTAGAGCAGCCGCAGCATCGAGAATGCGAAGACGAAGCGAGTTAGGTTGGTTTCTGTGTCTAGGTTGAGTCAAGGAGCCAGGATCATCCACCCCATGAAGTTTGGCATACTACTCGCGAGTCCGTATATATGTCGAAAGATGCCATGTACCGGAATGCATGTCCAGGCAGACACCCCACATGAGAGCGAATGCTCAATGCTTCAGTGGCTGAGATGCTTCGTCAGCATTCTCAAATTCTCCGGAGCAATCTTGCTATCCACCACTTAGACAGCCGTAGAGACAGAGAGTCGAAGAGAGTGGGTGGTGGAAGGCACACACTCTTGCGCCAGTCAAGTGAAGTCTGCGCAGCACCTTGGTCCGAGAGCATGTTCTGGCCCACAGCTTCCGTCCAAGACAAGCCCGAAGGAACCGGCACACTCCTCCCCTATTGTGGACTGACCATGGTATGGTGAGACGGCTGGTCACCCATTCGCAAGACTGACCCTCGGCGGGCCTAGGGAACAGCCGCGGGGTCGAGGACTGGTGGGTGGTGGTGGGTTGGCTATTTGATATGGCGACCGCTGCGATGGTCTTTGTCGTTGTCGTCGTCGCCATTGCGGTGGAGTATCCCCCGATATTGATCTCTGGCCTATACAGGGAGTCACCTGGTCCCGGAAGCAAGTTTTATACCCCTGTTCCCTTCCATTATCAGCGACAGAGTGCGATATCATCCGACTCGAGAGCATCTGTGCGCTATCGCCTCATATATCCTCCATTGCAAAGGGCGGCCTCTTAGAAGAACGGGTGTCCCGCAAGCAACCCACCACCTTCGCTTGCCGATCAAACTACCAGACGGGGGGAGCCATACCACGTGCAATGCCCGGGACACTCTCCCATAGGGCGGGCCTGCGTCTCACTGCGGAAACATGTCAGCTGGAGAGATACTGAACCATCTTCATGGTTGTTTGCTCAGGCCGTCTCGCTTCACAGCGAGTGGGGGCGACTGAATGCATCAAAAAGGGAAGGGCGAATCCCGAGTCGTGTGTCGAAGGCTCCGTCAGGTTATAAGTAATGAAAGCTCCCATGGCTCATCATTGGGAAAGTTGGGCAGACGATATTCGCAAGACTCAAAGACGCTCCTGGAGAAGCAGTTCGAGACTCAAGAGAATCCCAAGTCGGTTGTCGGGAACGAAGAGACCGTGAGCAACTCGCTAATGGCTGCTAGAATGGCGATAAGCCCAATGTCTGGTAGCGGGATCCAATATGAAAAGCCGTACCCAAAACCTCACCCCAATCCGCCCACGCCAAATCCTCCGCCGCCGAACGAGGCCCGGGAATCCAGCGTTAGGCAAGAAAACAACATGTGTTGAATCACCTTGGACGGAGAGATTTGTCGAGCGTCGTTTGATGTTTCAATATGTTTCGATCAGCGGCGGTTCGGCCCGCAATCATGAGGCGATTCCTGCTTATCTCGCAAGTACGTACTCCACGGCACGAAACGAACCCGTCATTTAATCAATACTTGTAGCGAGCACCATATCCAAGTGCCGAAGGATCATGACCCGCTACTGCACGTTAGCTGGGACCAGCCCAAGGGATCTGTGCTGGTATTAAATCAGGAGTCCACTGTAAGATGAGTCGAGAGAATACAAGTTCATGCCCATGCTATCAAGAGGTATATTGGCGCTCGGTCCTGGTGTTTGTCATGATGGAGGCTGAATGTAACGTCAATATCGGATGACTGAAGGAGCTGAATACGACACACTGATAATTGAGGAGGCATCGAAGATGGATTGACAGGCCTCTATGTACGTTAATTCACGTTGTACGAGGAATTTGTATGGTAGTTTCCAGTGCCTTACTATATCTAGAATCATAATGGCAACAGCCCCGAAAGCATCATCACCTTTGGGATCAGTTGAGACCCATAGACAACTGCTTGTTTAGTGAGGAACTTGATTCAAAGTTGGGAGGGCCAGAGGACAGAAGGCGGTGTCCTCTGATTCACAATAAGTTGGAGATGAAATGGCAGATTAAGTTCAATATGAACCTGCACCTGGGCATTTTATACCTTGGTAGTCTGTTGGTCGCAGTCCTTACCTCATCGAGGTAGGATCGTGAGGTGAATGACCTGCTGTTTGTGGAAGCTCCGCCAGCATAGTAATAAACGCCAAATTTCACCAAAATGCGCCCATAACCAGTGTACTCTACTAACAGTCCTACCATTCGCGAATCATCTTACACACTTTTCGCTCTACCTAACATTGATATGTCCAGATAAGTTGGAACGGCAATACGTTCAAGCAATTACGACAAGTCATCGAATAATTACTTTGAAAATGAAGGGCGCTGCTAGTAGGAAATGGTAGCCGGAAAGATTATTGACTATCTAGGTACGGCAGTCGCCTGGCACCATCAGTGAGAATCACGTATTCACTAGTTACGTTGGAGGAGCTGCAAAATGAATGTGCCTCCAGGCGGGATGGACGCTGGGGACCGCCAATGAGTCGGAGCTTCACCACTTTGGCATCTCGCTTTTCCTAATTCCATGACAGCTCCGTAATTAAGTAAGGATCTCGGGTTTCCCAGAATTAGAGGCAGACTCTATGCTGATGATGCTAGTGCGAGGCTCCTTCTTCGTGCCACCACATCAAGTGGAGATCACAATGAAAGAAAATATCAAAAATTCCGCCCAGGTTGGCCCCGAAGGACAAACCAGACTGGTCAACTCCGCGACGTGCAATGCAGGTCTCCCAACCTGCACCGTCCCCTTATTGATCGGGTCGGTGCCAGACAAGGTAAGTATACCAAGAAACGGAAAAGATTTTGAGAATGGACGCAGAGAGACGAGGCTTATATACCCAAAGCCCAGGATGGTCCGTGCGAGCGTGTAAACTTTTGGTGTCTTTGGCAGACCGCCTGGCAGAACTGATCTGGCTGATCACCCAAACTGGTAGGCGGTCAGGAAAGCCCCACCGAATTCCCACAGGGTTCGCTTAATTTTCTGCTCACACCAAAAACCACTCTACACCTTCAATTCCTCCTCTCCTTCATTCCGTTCACGATCACAGCCGACTACCAACCTAACCTCCCATTCTTCACAGCAATCAATCACAATGGCCAAGGTCAGCAAGGGTACGTGTTGACATATTATTCCTACTTGATACCGTGTCATGGTTATATTCCATCATGGAGTCCACGACTGACGATTATATTTACAGCTCTCCACTCCTCGAGACGCAAGTCTCGCAAGGCTCACTACAGCGCTCCTTCAAGCGTCCGAAGGAACGTCATGAGCGCCCCTCTCAGCAAGGAGCTGCGTGAGAAGTACAACGTAAGCAATCACCTCAACTCCCTGCAGCCACAGCCAATTTACTGACAACGTCTTCGTCAACAGGTCCGCAGCATCCCCATCCGCAAAGACGACGAGGTCCTCATCGTCCGTGGCTCTAACAAGGACAAGGAGGGCAAGGTCACCTCCGTCTACCGTCTCAAGTACGTCATCCACGTCGAGCGTGTCACCCGCGAGAAGACCTCCGGCCAGAGTGTGCCTCTGGGCATCCACCCCAGCAACGTCGTCATCACCAAGTTGAAGCTCGACAAGGACCGTGAGAGCATCCTGGAGCGCATCAAGGCCGGCCGCGAGACCAAGGGCAAGACCGGTGCCAAATAAGCTACCTCACTCATCACGAGGTTCATCGGAATGAGGGATGGAAACGGCATAGCAGCATCTATCGGCACATTACCTTGTCGCTATGACAAGTAGGCATGACCAACGAACGTATCACGAAACCCGTTCACGTGATTCATGTGTGGCCTCGGCTGGAATCAAAATATTCGGCTCGGCGTCTTTTTTTGCGACATGCTACGGCTGTTGCATTTATGGGAAATGGACGGATCGGTAGCAGAAAATATAAATCCGAAGCACTTGGTTGCTCAATGGCCATTTCACAATTGTCCCAGCTCCCCACCGCTGCGATGTGAAATGCTCCATGGGAGGTACTCCCGAAGTCTCCAAGGGCCTGACTGATGCAACGTGACCAAGCGCCCAAGGCGGCCATCCTTGCTATACCTAGTTGTCTCTACTGACACGACAGCATGTTATCTCCATGACAAGAATGAGCCTCTAGAGTTCAAACACTGTAAGTTTCTAGACCGCTAGGATATCTCCGCGTCAACCACATAAATTCATGGTTTTCGAGGTATACGACTGGCGAAGAGCAACCCAAGTTGAGGAGCAATATGAATCACCGCTCCTCCGCTCTCGCCTGCAGACTTTCATCAGTAGATTCCATCAATGAGTTTGAAGGTTTGATGGTGAGGTACATTCCGAAACCGTGGGTACTTGTAATAATACGGAAGCCTGTGGTCATGCTCCTTGGACTTTTCGGGCATGTCGAGTAGTAGTACACTGAGGGTCAGGCAGAATAACAAAACACAGCGCGTTTAGTAAAGCGGTATTATAAATCTACACATTGCTAAACTAGCCAGCCTATGCTATGAGTCAAAGAGAATGCTTCTCCAAAGCGTAAGCAATAATTAGAGACGAATCTGTTGCCGTTCTCGAGAATGTAATCGTAATTATACTCCATCAAAGTCCTTGCCACGTTGTGTATGATGTTGAAGTTGAATGAATACTCTGTCAGATAAGTCGACTAACCTGAGAAACCAGATAACAGGCGGACAGCAATGGAAAAGCAGGAGCCAGTAACACAGTATATGAAGTCGTTTCTTCCTCATCGACTACTTGGATCTCGTCGATCCGAAAAAATTAGGACGCAAGCAAAACGTGACCAGTCGAAAAAACAGTGCATGCGATGTTGATACATGATACAGCCTGATAGCGAGGTGATCAATCTAACAGTTGCCGTCTCGTTCAGACAAAGGGTAGTCAAGTCGAATAGCAGTCAAGGCTCATTTCAGATTATTCCAGCTGGCCGATAGAACAGAGCGATTCTTCGCATCCAGTGAAACAATATTTCGGAAATTGTCTTCGAGCGAAGCAGGTCCGACGGGTGGCATGTTTTCTCCACGATTGTCGGTGACAGACACAGGTCTAAGGAGTGCTCCTTCAATTGATGAATGCTCGAGAGATTTGCGAGGAGATGCACGACCTGTTGAGCCGGCTGGATGAGCAATGGTTGGACTTAGAGATGCTGCAGCGTGCCCTCTGTACTGCGGGAGGACTCCCTGGACAGTAGTGGAGGAGATCTCGCTAGGTAAAGCATCGGAACTGGTGACACCTCTCTTCAGCATACTTCGCCAAAGTTTCGCACTATATGCACATCTTAGTCCACGACGGAAGGGTGGGAGAGTGTCTGTACGAACCTGTGATCCGCTGATCGTCGCTCAAGGGATTCGTTTGACTTGGTAGCGACCTTGCCGATTTTGCTGAGCCTCGACTTCTTGGATTCATCAGGAGTCTTGCTCTCCTCAAGAGCAATCTTGAAGTCATCAGAGCTACTGCCAACCTGACTGCTGAAAGACATTGCATGGCCCTCTGATGTCTCTAGTTTCGCGTTGGGCAAGCGACTGGAGACCGGAATTGCGGTACTCACCGCTTCATGGCGAAATGCATCTGCGCGCTCCTTCTTGTACGGGATCCGCCTGGTTCGCAGTGTCGGAGAGTCGCTATCTGATGTTGGCTCCTTAATAGGAGAAGGAGGGTAGAAGTCCTTGCCATCGAACTTGGGTAGACCTCTTCGGACAGAATGAGGAGCTTGACCCCAATGGAGATATCGAGAACGTCGTTCATCATCCGTCAGCTCACGCACATAGACATAGTCCGTGTCTCGTGCAGTTTGAGGATTCATGCCAGGTGGCAGGGTGCCAACAAGATAAGGGATACCTAAGCTGCTACGATCTTCGACATCATCTGGCTGGTCAGCAGCACCCTCGTTGGTGGCTTGGGCCGGGTCACGGTGATCTATGCCCTGCTTATCGATTGCATTGTCGACAGGAGCGGCATCCCATACCTTTGCCCCGGCAGCCAACAGTCTCCTGTGCGACTCATTCAACTGATCTTCCGTGTAGACTGGGTCCTTGAAGTTGGCAAAGCTATTGCCCTCAACGAACAAAGAGACAGAGCGAGGCTGGAACGGAGGCGCGAGAGCAGCATCACTGGGAAAGCTAGACTTCTTCACACGATCCTCGGAAGAAGCGGCCAGCTTTGATGAATGTGAATCATAAGAAGGCTCAGCCCGAAGACTCTTGTTCAATCCAGTCTTAACGCGGGAGACATCTTTGACCTGCTCTGTCACAGGCTTTGTCTCCACCTGAGACTGAGGCTGGCTTTGATGTCCCTCACCCTCTGATGAAGACGACTTGGAAGGCTTCAGGCTGCGGTTCGAGACGGATGACTTGTCATCCTTGGGTCTGTCGGCTTTCGGATAGTGCTTTGCCTCAAAATCAAGCTGAGCCTGATAAACACGCTCAAAGCGCTCGATATCATTCTTCAGGAGCTGGATCTTGTTTTCCATGTCCTTCTCATCAATTTGATGACGGTTGTACTGCAGTTGATCCTCGTGATATTTGAGATTCCCGCGCAGGGACTCCATCTGCTTCTTACTGATGTCACTTGGACGAATCGAAGAAATGGGAGGGTTTGCAGAGGATGGATGGACTGGATGACCATAGCTTGCTGCTCGAGACAGCCCTGATGCAGAATGAGATGGTAGGGGGCCAGCGAAAGGATTCAGCATCATTGGCATACCCATTGGAGGCGGTACCATCATGGGAGCAGGAAAGGGGACGCCAAAATTTGGGGAAGGCATCATCCCACGACCGAAAGCTGGAGGCATTGGTGTTGGAAGTGGATACATCCACTGACCGTTGTAAAAGAAGGGCTTCGTAGGATCGAACTGCTCGGGTGGAGAGATCTTGATATCAGTCTTTGATTTCTCTGACTTGAGCACCTCAGCTGGTTGATTCTCCTCCGCCTTCTTGTTGTTGGTCTCCTTGAGTGCAGTATCCGGGGCACTGTTATGCTTGTGCGCTGCTGGCACAGGAATGGCGCCAAGGGGCAGCCCATTTGGCATAGGAGTACCCATTGGGATGGGCATCATGCCAAGGGGATGGAAGGGTGGAAAACCCTGGGGAAAGCCTGTAAAGAATGGGTGCATAGAAGGCATAGCCATCATCGGCACTCCTTCCTTCATAGTCGAAGTAGGCCTCGCTTCACCTGCCTGAGTATTGATTGAAGACTCGCTGTCTTTGGCTCGCTTGGTGGTTGGGGAAGATCCTCTGGGGTTCGGGACAATGCGTCCACCAGCCGTAACACGGACATGGGTAGGAGAGACGACAGCCTTGTAGAAGCGCTGAAAGCCCTCATTCTGTTGCGCATTCAGGCCCGATGGAGCGGAAAGAGGCTCACTAGCTGGTATCTCAGAGTCGGTTCTTCCGCGGTATCTCCACTCCAAGTCGGCTTGATAGGGAACGGGCTGAATAGGGGCAGGGTGAACCGGTGGCTGGGTTGAAACCTGAGCGGTGCGGCGCTTCACATTTCCCTTGAAGACTACTTCGTCCGACTCCGTAGAGGAGTCCTCCCTAGTCTTTCTACCGTTGCGCTGCATTGGACCAACACAGTTGTAGCTGGGGCCACGAATGATCTCAGCTAGGATATATTAGTGGGATGATATTGGCAATGATTATTTTCGGGAGCAACGTACCAAGCTCGCGATCCTTATTAGCGACGGACGCGAGACCGTTAGATTGATAGGAGCTTCGAAGGTTCAGAAGCTCCTCGATGGTATAGATTTGTGAAGCCATCGGGATATCGACGAAGGCAAAGACGACGTGAGTCCGATGGGTGAGCGATCGTTGCCAGCTAAAAAGGACCGGAAAGCACGAGCCTCTGACAAGATGAGCGGGGAGTGAGGAGATGATGAAGGAGAGAGCAGCTGTGAGAGCGACTCGTGGGCTGGACGTATCAGTCAGTCGTTGATCCTGCAGCTGGCAAAGAATGAATTTGGGGATGGAGTGACGATCAACTTCGCAGGTTAGCACATCTGAGGAATGATCAGATTTTATGTCGACGCGAGCGCAGCGTTTCGTACTTCGCAGCAGATACTTGGACTCCACTAGAGTAGCAGTAGTCATGGGGATATCAAATCGCTGAAGTTCGAAAAGCTCACGGACAAGCTTCTTGATACGTTTGCGAGTGGCAGAGGGAGTCATGTTTGAGGTGATTCGGAGGCAGTTCTTGGTGGGAAAGGGGGCAAGGGTGGATAAGAAAGGCCAAACTTACTCGGGATACTGCCGGAGGAGGACAAAAATTCCAAAACTCTGCTCGACTTTGCCGGCGGATGCTGGCTTCGAGTGAACGAGGGAGACAGGGAAGGGTGACAGAGCGAACCAAGAAGCAATCAGCGATTGGTATGCATACAAGGCCCTGTGCCAACTTCGCAACGAACGAACGGTGAGGTTGTAAACAGATGGGGATTTGAGTGATTGGAATGGCAAAGCCTGGAGACAAAACAGATAACAGGAGAAGGGGATAATGATAGTACAAATAAGGACGGAGTTAATGATGATGTCTTTCCGAGCAAGCAGAGCCTGGTGTGATAGAGGTAGGTGCGATTGTTGCGTTGCAGCTTCCTCTTGATATAATGCTGGCGTAATGCGGAGGGACACTTCCTTGATCTGGATTCGAGATGTAAACAAGTGGTTACTCGGAGGAAGCAGAAGGGCAAGTACGTCCTGTCGTTTAGGGCAGGAGCAAGACAAGGTACTACGACCTCGATAGGAGGCAAAATATCAAGCGGCTTGTACCATTTGCCCGCTCAATTATTTGAAAGGATAGGCAATATGGTTTTGTACTGATTCAAGACCTCATGACAGCATCGCGCAGAGATAGAACATATGGTTTGGATGTAGAATCGCCTAAAGGCTATCTTTCGTTTTCGAATGTCATGGCGAGACACGCACCATACTCAACAAATAAACCCCGGTGGGTATTTACTATAATGAATACAATCTGTCAAGAAGCCGAACAGACATCAAGAAGGTTGCAATGCTCCCCAAATGTATTTTACTTTGCTGCAGTAAATAAGTTGAGTGTGCTCAAGAAGGGTTCGTCATATCTCTATTGAGATCAAGGAGATCACGATCGTCAATCCATAGTCTAGAACAATTTGTCACATATTCCAACATCCCGCGAGATCAGAAGAGAAGACGGAGAGAACAGCACAACTCGGACACATACATGTGACAGCGAAGGATCACGGACTGGACAATTGGGGCTTTGCAAGCCGGTTTTTGATAGAACAGCTGGGCGTCACCACGGAAGCGGATGCAGATGTGCATGCATAGATCTATGAAGATCCCCAGACGCCCAAAGTCCAATTCGTCCCCGATGCAGCACCTCGGATCAGCCCACCGGCACCCATGCTCTGTCTTTGCTGCGCCTTCAAGTCGACTTCACCTGGTCTTGATGCCCCGCTGGCTCCCTGCTGTAACCAGATTTCGCGGTCTACCGTTGCGATGGCCGGAATCTTGAGTTGAGAGAGCATACTTGCTCCGCTCCATGCCCCTAAAGACTCGACGGCCCTGAGCTCACCATGAACCGGCAGCCGGGCATCAGCCCCTTTCCGTAACTGTTCATCGATCGGGTCCACTTCCGGACCAGCGTTCGCAGCATCGTGCCACACGCCGTCTTGCTCTCCACCGCTATCAGGCGGCTGACTCACTCCAGTAGGACCATTGCTTGCTTGTCGGCTTCCACGCCGTTGTAGCTTCGGATTTGCCTTTAACTGTTCCACACCCTTGCCCCTCACGGGATCCCAACCGCGCTCCTTCACGAGTAAATTCACCTCATCGAAGATCCGGCCGCGTAGTCCTAATATTCTAGAGCATCCTCCAGTGAAAATTATGCGAGCCATGCAGATCGCCCGCACATCCATTGGAAGTTGAAGCAGACTGCGATACACCAGCATGGGTATTGGGAGTTCGTGGTCGTCAAAGCTGGTAGATGCATATTGCGACTCAAAGAATGCGTTCTCACACGGTTCGGTGAGTTGCTCGTATGGGATATTAAGAGATGCCGGTGATGATATCGACTTTAGGGGGATGCTAGCAGTCTGATTAACCGCCGATGCGGTGCTCTCAGACTCATCCTGCTCCGTGACCGTCGGCAAACCCTCCGAGTCCTGGCTCGAGGCTGCTCCTCGCACGGGTTTGCACCATAACATGCGGCTGGCAATCTCTTCGCACTCTTCAAACCCGAGAACGTGCTCCGTCTCTTGGTCGGAGCTTGGTTGGTAAGGTTTACCTTCGGATTTTGCGATGGCTGCCGAGAGAAACTTGTGCACCGATTCGAGCAGCAGCTTCCCACCCCGGACGCTTCGATTACATTGTACCTCTCGATACTCGTAGACGCTGGTCACCACGGTTTCCCTCCAGCCAAGATCGACTATTAGAGCAGAGCGAACGCCAGCCGCTACCGCTGACATAACTGGTGACGAGAGAAGCGAAATGGAAGGAGTCTGGAATCGAGTGAACAGGGTATCTAAAGTCGCAGATAAAAGGGGCATCGGTATGCCTGAAGGAAGAATGACGACCATTCGTCTCGCTCGTGAGTCAATTAAAAGAAATCTATACACCAGTGTTAGCAGGTGGGAAACCCCTTCGCGTGGGTATCATTCAATGGAGCCGCACTTTGTAAATGCTTCTCGCAATGCCCGCTCGATCTTGTCTTGCACCAAGCCCAGGTCTACGCCTCGTATATCAAACTGCCAGAGTTCATGATCGCTGCCCCAGTCCTTCCCAAGAGGTCTCTTTCTCCACTCATCTTGATAGCCCGTCTCCCAGGCTCTGAAGTCGCCAACCCGTCGCTGATGCTCCGGACCAAATTCGAGCTGGCCTTTAGGTAAAGGATCTCCGCCGAAGCCCACACGAAGATTTCTCGAGCCGAATTCGATTAATATGACATCTTCTTCTGCGCGAATGCTCGAAGGAGAGCCGAAGGTTGAGGTAATTGTTCGTTGCGGCGTATGAGGGCTTCCTGGTGTAGCTTGCGGTCTGCCGGGAGAGTTGCTCTCTCCTGTCCTGATATTCGATATTGTGCGATGCGGGAGACTTCCGCCTGCAGACGACGCCATCGCCGGTTTTCCTGCCTCAATCAGGCTGCTAATCGAATTGCATTCTGCGACCTAGAGCACATTCCGCGTTTGCAGTGATAGGTGTCGTGGATCTGGGTTTGCTGGGGTCCAATTCTAGCGCTGCATGGTCAGCTTACTTGCACCCTGTCCCCGTAGAAACGCGGGGCAATGAAGTCAACAAGATGGACTTTAAACTTACAGCGTACCTAGCTAGGTCAGGCGCGTCTTGTCCCATTCCCAAGCTGTTTCAAAGCCCTTCACCTCAAATACTACGCGACATGAGCCTTTAATTGCCAGAACTTGCAATCTCTCGGTAGAATGGGACTACGACGGCTTCAATATACTTGCTAGCACGATTAGGGGCTCACAATGGGCATCAAAGGGTGAGTGGCAACTATAGCCTCGAGCATGAGGTGCATCGGCTTCATCGCTGACATACTCATGTAGTATCTACAAGGAAATTGGCCCTGGGAAGCGGGTGTCGCTTTGCAAGCTAGCTGTTGAGCATCTAGAACAAACTGGCCGGCCATTTCGTCTTGCCATTGACATTGCTATCTGGCAGTTTCAGACACAAGCTGCGCGAGGTGGAGCAAATCCTGCGATACGCACGCTGTTCTATCGCCTAGTCCGCCTCCTGGGCCTTTCTATACAGCCTGTATTTGTCTTCGACGGACCGAACAAGCCGGTGTTCAAGCGTAACAAACGCTCGGGCAGAGGAGATGGCGTCGCCACGGCAATGGCGAAGAGGCTGATCAAGCTCTTCGGCTTTCAAGTCCATGACGCTCCGGGTGAAGCCGAGGCCGAATGTGCACTCCTTCAACAGCAAGGCATCGTAGATGCAGTCCTCAGCGAGGATGTCGACACCATAATGTTTGGCTGCACCCGAACGCTGCGAAATTGGTCTGCTGATGGCACCAAAGGCAGCAAGACGCCAACACACGTCTTCCTTTACGAAGCAGAAGATCTGCGTCAAACAGTCCCTGGGCTTGACAGGGAAGGAATGGTGCTTGTTGCTTTGATGAGCGGAGGAGACTACATCCCCGAAGGAGTGCCGGGCTGCGGCGTCAAAGTAGCCTGCGAAGCTGCGAAAGCTGGCTTTGGCAAATCACTATGCCGCCTCAAGAAGTCAGATGCAAGTGCCCTGGCCGAGTGGAAGGCCAACTTGATACATGAATTGCGGACAAATGAGAGTGACTTCTTTCGTACTCGTCACAAGTCGCTCCAGATTCCAGACTCGTTCCCAAATCTAGAGACATTGAGATATTATACGCATCCGGTAGTATCTCAGGCTGCACAGCTGGAGAACTTGAAGCAGTCTTTTCCATCGACGAAACCGATCGACATACATGGGCTACGTGCTTTTGTGGGAGAAACATTCGATTGGACTTACAAAGGAGGTGCCGTCAAGCTCATCAGGGTGCTTGCACCGAGCCTGCTTGTTTCAAACGTGCTGGATCTTAGCAACCGGCAGGGCCGTACCTCGAGTGATCCTGACGTGCTTTTGGAAGAAGAAGCAACCCTAATAAAGGCGGTTTCGAAACGGAGAACTCATTTCAGCACTGATGCCACACCCGAACTTCGCATTTCCTATGTGCCAGCTGACGTTGTTGCCTTGGGCCTAAGCGAAGAAGAGGACGAGGCTGTTGCAGCATATGGACGCCAGGGACTTGCCCTCAACAGCGACGATGATTTCCAAGAAGAGATTGAGGGTGCTGATGGAGACGACCTACCCAAAAATGCATCTAGGAAAGCATTTGATCCTCTCCAACCAAACCTGGCCTGGCTTCCAGAATCCATCCTTAAACTAGGTGTGCCGGTCACAGTGCAAGACTGGGAGGAGAAGCAAAGATCTAAAGAGGCATCTAAGCTGAGCAAAACGCCCAAGCGGGCTCGTAAGAAGGCAAACATGCCCGCAGGCGCCATGGACAAGTTCGTCAGAACTACGAAGAACATACCAGCGGCAACTCAACCTGTTTCCGCTGGCCTCCTGCTATCTTCTTCACCACCGCCGAAACTCCAGCTGCCGCCGATGCCGTCAAGTCCTGACAGACCTTGGCAGCAAGCACGCGCGATATCAACCAAAGCAATGCAACCAAAATTGTCTACGGGCACGAGAAGTAAGCAATCCAAGCCAAAAGGCGGACCACCGGCGAGTAAGCCGTCGGCGGAGACCAACCCTTGGACGATCGCCAGCTCACAAGCAACGTCCAGGACCGATAGAACCGTCACTGCTACAGAGGCAATTGTCATCTCGTCTAGTCCTGTACGTCCGTCTTCTTCGTCCTCTGCTTCACGTCTGAAGCACGTTCGAAGCCCATCGCCAGAGACGGGGAACGTCTCCGGCGCTTCAGCTAGCTCTCCCACATCGAGTCCGCGGAAGTACAGATCCACAGCACTTAGGAAAGAAAACCATCAGACTAAAGTCGAAGCCTCCAAAGTTGGTGCTTCGAACCTGCCGAGCTCACAGGCGTCGATCAAGAACTTCGCGTCTGTGACAAAGAAGATCTCTGCGAGCGTTAGCAAAGAGAAAGAAGGCTACATACCGCATCAACTCGGTCCAGATTCAGACTCGGATCTCGGGGAATTGGAAGAAATCTTTTCAAAGAAGAATACGGGCGGTAGTTCCCTTGGTCTAAGCGAGCTGCAACCAGAGCCTGATGGCGGTGCTTCACTCTCGGAGCCATCCGATATCGTCACAACTAGCTCTACAAGGACAAGTAAGACGAAGTTGTACGTTCCCCGCAGTAGTGCTGTAGGGTACTTTAAAGAGGTTGAGGTCACTCGTGACGAAGCGGACCGTATTATGAGTGAACAGGCCGCATCGACGCAGCATCGAAAGAAGACCCATGGCAAGGTCTTCAGGCGAAGTGATATCTCCGTCGTCGATCTGACAAGGGATGATTAGAGTATATCACTGATGAGAATATGAATATGATACCCATGAAAGCCCTGTTCAGGAAGTAGAATTATGACTATCAAATACGTATTAGCACATGACCTCACAGACAGAGAGCTAAGAGATAATTCTGATAATTAGGTCATTCCATTGACGGGTATCCTTATGTGATCGCTAGCTAACATCGTTCATATATCGTTAAAGAAATTCGTCTCGAAGGAACGTGACATGATGTCCCCGAGGACCAACTCCTGGGAAGCCAATATCCAGCTCCCAAAATGACACAACATAATGAAAGATCCCAGCTTCCATTCCATTCTCCCAATGCAAAATATGACTATATCCAACACATGAACCTCATATTTCTCTCGAGTCCAGATCAGTCATCTACCGACCAGGGTAGGTCTCGATCCCCGACTCTCGTGCACGTCAGGTAGCCGATCCCGTCGGCCTGCCTGCCTCCTGCACCTCCCAAGTCCAGCTCCAGCCCGCTGCCCATCAGCGGGCGCACAACTTCGCGCGCCATGGCCTTGAGCTCGTCGATGCGCTTCTCGAAGCGCCGCAGGTTGTCCCGGCTGTACATCTCAGGTGTCAGCTTCAGGAACCGCTTGCACTCGTCGTGGCCCAGATACACCGCGCTGGGCGAACCCAGCGTCCGGTACGTCCGCCCCAGGGATGCCAGCGGTGGCACTATAGGCGGCACCATAGAGGAGGCGCCTGCTGGGCCGCCAACTGGAGCCGGCGCATTGCTGCTTCCACTACTCCCACCACGGGCCCGATTCCCGTCCCGTGAACTGCCGCCTCGCCTATCTGGGACCGGCGGCGCAGGCGTCGTATTATCCGCCAACCACTGCCGGAACAGGCTCACGGCTAGCCAGTCGAGGTAGGATGTCGATGGTGTCACACGCTCACCGGACCTCGTCGTCAGATTCAGCCTGAACAGCCGGCCCTCCACCCTTGCCACGATCTCCTCCAGCTCGTCCACCTTGTCCTCGATGATGTCGAGCACCGCATCCGGCAGCGCGGCGCGCAAACTACGCTCGCCAGCTGGCCATTGGCCCACGACATGGATCAGCGCCTCTTGGAAGATGATCTTGCTTCGGGATAGGTAGCCCAGCCGCAGGTAGCTGATGGGATACTTGGCTATTTGCTTCCAGAGCCGTGACTGGAACTGCAGAAGGTGGTGATCGACCCGCGGTCCCACAACAGCTAGTGCGTCATACTGGTCCGCGAGCGTTAGCAGTGACTTGCACTGCACATAGGCATCGGCGATGTTAATGCCATCGAGGACGGGTGGGTAGTTGTACATTATTCGAAAAAGATTATCATAGTCACGTAAGAGATCCTGCTCGGTTTGAGAGGGTGGAGGCAGTGGTGGATTAGAGGGAGAACTGAGTGTTAGGTTGGCGACGGAGCGGAAGAAGTTGTGAGAGTGTGATGATGAATGGGAGTGTGAAGGCTTGCTCCGGCTTGAGGAGGTCGTAGGGGCTGAGCCACCAAATAGAGAATTGGCATTTGCCGAGTTGTTGCCAGCCGTGCTCTCCTCCCTTTGGACTAACATGGGTATGTCATCTCCAGAGCCCGCGTCGAGCTCATACCTCCACCTCTTCCTCGGTGTGCCTGCCGGGGACGGTCGAGCTGTCCCAGTCCCTCCACGCTCGCTGCCCGAGTCCTCCCCGATCCTCGCTAGCTCCGCTCCCGTCGTGAGGGCACCTGCTGTGGTTCCAGCCGGTGGCAGCGCGGGTAGTTCCTGGGCACGAGACCATTCATTGCTCGTACTAGCCTCGAAGAACCCCGAGCATCGAGTCAAGGTGTGCCTATGCAGGAGATACCTATTCTCGTGCCCGCTGGCCACCTTGATGACAATCTCGACATCGCCCGAGTTGCTGAACCACGGGAACTCGTTCTGGGGTACGTATGAGGTGCCGCCGGCATGGGAGCGGTTGTAGCGACGATTGCGGGAGCTCAGGTGGTGATGCGACGACCGCCCGCCTGATGAGCCGGCGCCGACGACGGACGCCGGCCCGCGGATGGTCAGCGAGGTCGAGTGATCCGGCTGGGAGACCATTGAGGGCGGCCCCTTGCTTGTGCGTGTGTTGAAGAATTCCACTTCTGGTGCGGCTGGCTGGAGTGGCCGGCCGTGGAACGAGAGATGGCAGTCACTCTGCCTCTGTGAGACGGTGATGGTGGGGTCGGGGCATTTGCGCCTCACGGGGCGCTGCGATGAAAAGCTAAGCAGTGTAGCTCCTCCGACCGAAAACTCGAACTGAAGTCAAGACAAGAGAATGAACAACAAGAGAGCTAAAGAAAATGAGCGAGGAAGCTCGGCTCAAAGTCAAGAGTCTACTAACCCTGCATCAGTCGACCTGAAGAGCCGAGTTCCAGCTGGGGTGATTCCAACTCTTCTGGGCGCCTGCCAGTTGTGACTGCTTGCTGAAATGAGGCTGTGCCTGTCGTTCGCCACAGCAAGGGGGATGGAAGGCCTCCGTTCACCTCTTAAAGATGCAGCAAAGAGCCGAATTGAATACAATCTCTTCGAATTGTCCAAGAGATCTTTTCAAAGAGAAAGGAGGTTTGTCAGAGTGTAGTTGATTTTAGAGTCTTCTATTCTCATTCTGCTTGCTACGCGTTGCGGTCGCTAGATACGGATCCGGCATGTTGCTGTTCCTCACCTCGCAGCCTGTCACGCGTCAAGGTCTGGCTGTTGTGGCTCTCCCGCAGAATAGGACTCATTCAGCACGGCATCTCTCTCTATTGCTTCTGCTGGAGCGCCATTCGTTAGTACGCGCACCGCCTGCTGGCCCTCCAAGATTCCCTCTGCATGTGCAGGTGGATGCTGCTAGATAGCTGGTAGGCCAGGGTCGCGGCCATTTTTGGCCTATCGATCGATCCTATCGATAGAGAAGCACTGGCCCTCAAGCACGGAGGAGCGGAGAAGCCCCAGACCGGCTCTGAGCCAGTCGCTTCTTCCTAGTCTCTCTTTCTCGAACAATCAGAGTGCTCAACTCGCATGTCGGTGCCTATGTGCCCGGACATACAGTATTGGCCGGTGGCTCCTTAGGCGTCCATCAAGGGGCTTCTTAGGGTTGCGCACGGCATTTGATTCGCCCCAAGGTCAAGCGCCTCGAGTCTCGGGCGGGGACCTGCTCGCTCCAAGACTGACGACAACAGCACATTCACGCCTTTTACTATAATCATATCCTCGAGATGGCCATAGTATTGGCAAAGTAGTGGCTTCTAATGTTACACGTAAATACAATTCATTCCGTTGATGCTCCAAAATGCTCCCCATTTTACCTTTTTAACCCCGATAGGCGTGACGCCTTCACCATCCCGTTCCCGATAAGAACCTCGCACCTCAGGTCCTCATCAACCAGCCCAAGCAATCCAAGCCAGCAGGCCGTCACCAGAAAGAAATTCAAAACAAGCAAACCTAATCATTAACAATCCAGTAGTGCAGTCATTCAGCTCATGTCCATGTCGACTTCGGCTGTAGTCGTCAGTTGTTGAGTTGGTGCGGCGTTTGTCATGGTTGGTTCCGCATCCGTGGGTTTGGGTGAGCCAGCAGCAGTCATGGTCTCGAGACCATCAAAGACAGGAGGGGATATTTTGAGGTTCTGAAGAGCACGCTCGGGGTTCGTGCTAACAAGTCGACCTTGGCGTAGGTCCTCGCCGAAAAGGAAGAAACCTTCGCTAGCTTCCACGAGATATGACTGGAGGCCCTTGCTTTCGAGTAAAAGCTTGGCATGGGTGACGGGGTAATGTCTTTCGATATAGCGAGCCCAGCCTCGTGCAGCCGCCTGGATGTGGTCGTCGTCGCTGACGCGCTTCCATCCAATACCGAGATGCAGAGTGAAGTCATCCACGATTGGTGCTGCGCCGCCGTCTGCTGTGGAATCGGCAAGGTCACGACCTGGACTTGATCGGTTTGGCTGCATATCCAGACCGGGGTTGAGTTTTGTCGTCATGTCAAGCCGTTGAGATTTGTTACTTCTGAGAGACGGTCGTTCCTGGGAGAGCTGTTCTTGGACAGCGATGGCGGCTTCTGTCTTTCGTGCACGGTCTTCTGCGGCTTTCTCTTCAACCCAGGTTCCGGATTGACTGCTCGCGTCGTTGACGTAGCCGGTTTTCTTTTTGATGAGGACCATGCCTGGGCCGTACTCCCATTCGTCTTCCGGCTCTTCTATCGAAGGCGCCGGCACTGTCTTCTCTGGTTCATCGAGATTGATTGCTGCCTCGTCTCTGGAGCGCTTGCGGCCAGCGAAGGTTGAGGTGGATCTAATGATTGGTCGCTCTGTCCATGCACCTGAATGACTGAACGACTGGACCGTGTATGATCGGACTGGCATGCCGAACTGATTCTGGAAGGCACCCTGAGGTTGAAGAGCAAGGACTGGTGACGAGGCCCCAAAGCTCCGATCAAAGGACGACATTGTGACCTGCGAATACTAGATGAGACTGAAACGTGAGAGCAGTAAGTGTAAGTGATGTGGTAGCAGCCCGAGACGTCTTTGGACTGAGGATCAGATGTCAATTGGAGTGCGAAGACGGATAGGGACGAGGGAGGGAGGCAGGCGCGTAGATGGCAGACGTTTCCTTGAGGAGGAAAGAGGAAAGATAGTCTCGGCAGGCAGGCGTCGACTTGGAAGAGAAAGGCTGTTGGTGATGGTCGATGGACGGCACCACAGGCTGACAAGGCGTAGGCGTGGAAAGAGGAAGAGAGGAAGAGAGATGTGTTGTGGATGGGACGGTAGAATGTATAGGCGCAAGCCTGTCAATGGGTGAGTGGACGCGATGGCAGGTGGTATGCACGAGACAACAAGAGGGTGAGAGGGTGAAAGAGAAGAGACGGGAGGAGAGAAAGAGGGCAGAAGATAAGACCAGGTGTAGGTCTAAGGGAACCTTCCTGGGGGATGGGGAGGAAAAAGAGTAAGAGAGAGGAGAGAGACGAGACACGGTTGGCGGCGATGGTTACTGTGGAGAGGCAGACACCATGCCGTAAGGTAGGTAGGAGGTAGTTTCCTCGCATGCAGAAGCTCAGCGCCGCAGTAGCAGCAGCAGGAGCAACCAAGAAGAGGCTTCGGAGCGGGCTGTGAGAGAGTAACCACGGCGTGCAGCATTAAGGTAAGGCAAGCACGATCGCCGGCCCTGATTCGTCAACAGCACTTGCCGGGGCAGCGAGCGATTCAGTTCAGTGGTGGTCTGGGCTTTCTGGACCAGGCCGTTCTTGGATTAGCGTAGGTATGTTGCCAACTCCTCTAGCCGGGCATTCCTGCCGTCCTGGCCTCAGGCATCGATTACCCTACCTCGAGCCTACCTCTAGCGAGCACCACCCCACTCCGTGGCTAGAAATCTTCGCCTATGTCCGGAGTATGTCTAGCTTTGTCTTGATTGGCAATTTTCCCTGACAGGTCACGCCCATGGAGTAACTTTATCGACTTCCTTCACACCCAGGAAACCATTAGGCGGTGAAGGTGCAGGAGCCTATCAGACTACAGCATCCTCCCCCAAGAGCGAAACCTCGTACACACCCCAAGATGGCCAGTTGCAGTTCTGCATAAAGTAGTAATGCAGATGCACACAGTTATGCAACACATCAGGTCCAGAACGCCAGCCTCCCTCACATCTCTCACGAAAGACGCAACCTAGGCATACTGTATATTAACAGCTACTATAGAATGACTACCCTTGTTGGGCGTCTTAGGGTAGACGTAATCATCTCAAGGGGCCGCATAATCTATGTTAAGTTCCACCCGGAACGACCGCTGGCTGTTGAGCTACATCAGGGAGAAACCTTGACTAAGCATACCTAACTACTTGCTCTCGTACTCCGCAACTCCTCTTCAAACTCCTTGGTAAGCCCAGGTAGCCGTGTCTAGTGAGTTGAATCTGTGAATTCGAGCATCATATCGTTGCTAGGCTTCCTTCATTGCTCTCCGCTGTTCTCTCTTCCACCATAAAGCCCTCGCATTCCCACCGAGTTTAATCCGGTTGGACTGCGACTTCTTCCGCGGTGTGCTCTTCCCAATGTTACGGGGGTTTGACCAGCCAACTGGGCAGCTCTAGACCGCGTAACAGGTGCCGTGTAAGACCCGAGGAACCGGCTTCTATGACGAGCCTCAGGTAGCTGCTCTGGTGTTTGTGGCTGAGAAAACGCCGGAAGTGCATCGTTGTAGACACGCACCCTGGGGGTCACCGGGACTGCGGACGGCGATGGTGGTCCTGCGGGTGATGTGAATGGCTCATGGCCAGGAGATGCATGTCGTTGACGAGCAGCCGCATTTGGCGGAGACGGCGAGCTTGACGAGCCAATGCGCCCACCTATGATGCGAACCGCAGTCCGTATGATGCTGCTGGGACTATTTGACTGCGATGATGTCTGTTAGACTGAGGATATCCTCTTATTCATACGAGGATGCGTCCCTTACCAATCCCGCCGACGATGGTTGTCGTGAAGGCGTGGTAGGTTGCGTACCTTCAGGGGTGGCGGCTGGCTCGACAGGCGCTCTCTCACGACTCTGCTTAGCTGAGTTCAGTATAATGTCGCACTCACTCCTTCAAATTCGACGTATCGAGCTTACCAAAGATGGCGATGTACCCAGTGATGCATTACGAGGAGTTTGAGAGAATGGCGCTGGCAAGTGCAAGTGCGCCATGCGTGGCGATGGTTGATCAGAAAGCTCGAGCAGTATTTCTTTCACCAGGCGACCGTGGTAATTGTCAGGCGCTCCGTCCCTCACATCCTCATGTGATGGCAACTCAGGCGTCCTAGTCACTTCTTCTCGGGCTGAAGGCATTCCATGATCGCTATGGCCGTAGATCGCCGGACACGCGGCAGGCCGGCGAGACCTCAGAGACAGATACATAGGGGCTGATGAAGGATCAGAGGTTGTGTCTGCTCCGTCATGGCTCGTCGGCAGTTGCAAGGACGTTGCTCGTTTTGGGATTGTCGGTGTGAGCGAGCCATCATCGCTGAAGGCGTCTCCTACAGACTGAGGAGGAGATGATGCTAACGGCTGGCGATCGGTCGTGCCTGAAGAGCGTGTTGTCCCCTGCTGGGCAGGCGAGGACTTCGATGCTTTGGCCACTTGAGCTCTCTCCTCGTGTCGGAGAATAGCATCACTCTCCTCGCCCTTCTCGAGATACTTTCGATATTTCCTTCGAGTCTCGAACTCCTTGATCTCCGTCATAACCAGGGTGATGGTTGTGGGCTGTAGGCGAAGCATCTTGTAAACTGTTCGCGAGTGTCGTATCTTAACCTGACATAGATAGGGGACTTCGAGAACGATGTTTGCTGAATGTAAACACAATTCCAAAGCGGCATCTCCAAACTAAGCCAGTGTGGAGCTTATGACATGCTATAGGGCAGCCAGGTGTAGAAATAATGAAGGAAAGCGTATGCTCTGATTCTTAGGAAGCAGCGAGCGAGCTTCGGTTGGGCTGATAGTCGCGATAAACGAACGCTCCTGTCCCATAAATGCGCAGTAAATATCAGGTCTCTAAAGAAGCCCACTTGTCTACTTAGCTCAGCTCTTCACATCAATCTAATGAAGGCGAGGTGATGCCGAGATAGTGGTGATCATGAGTTATCACAAGCCTACCAATTAAGAGCCAAAGGGAGTCGTGCGGTTCTGCAAGTAAATCGTATCGATGAAAACCAGTAGTCTACAAGAGTGCTATCGTCTACTAGAAGATCAAGTTTTATGGTCTCTCATGACCTGGCATCCGGCGAAGCGTTGATCTGCTATATGACCATGACACGACACAGTCTACGGCAACCAACTGAAGGGTCCGGAAATGGGTTGATGAGAGAGCCACCACGTTCCCCGTAAAAGGTTAGTTGCATAACCATTCTCTAACATCTGGGCCTTTTCACGATCTGGTTCACTGTAACATCAATCCGATTTGGGCTTGTGATAATCCGAATCAAGCTGTGTCTACTACGGTGGTCCGTGAGCCATCGCTTATTCAGGGAAATTGGCCCGGCAAGTACACAGTTGTGCCAGTCTCGAATAGAATGACTGCAAGCTGCAAGCGCTCGGGCGCAGCGTGCATGTATTGTAATATAATGATACCTGCTACGAAACAGTCTCCTATCTAAGGAGTCTTGATCCTATGATGACTTGGCGTAGACAATGGTGGCAAAGTAAGGCAAAGCAGATGGTCTATTATCTCTCAACATTGGGTTTTTCCTGTCGTACCTAGTTGATGACATAGACTAGAGAGCGACCCCGGAAATGAGGGGCGCCAATTAAATTTACGGCGTAAATAGTAGGGCTCCCTCGGGAGGCTGACCCGCTGGGCGTTGTTCGCGTCTCAGCGCCCAAAAGTCGAGGTCTGTCAAGATGCCAAACTTAGGTAGAGAGATTCAAGGTATCAACATTAGCATGGATATCTCTTCGTACCCCTGTATGGACCATACGGACACCCTCTGTTCTACATTATCAGCTCACAGATTGAGCAGCAAATGCTTCCGGATTCTCAAAGCACATCATTCTCAATAGCCAGGCGTCTGCATTGTGTTGTGTCGATTCTGTTAGAGAGCTTGCTGTTAGTCCTGCTATTGACATGTGAGGCGTGGAAGATCTACCTAGATAGCAACGAGAGCGTTGAATACCCCTGGCAGTGCAGTCCACTCTTTGGGGCAAGTCAGTCTCCAGTTCACGAACCACTTGCCTACAACCAACCAACCTACCTGACTTACCTACCAACGCACCACGCATCCTGCCAGGCCATACTAACTTTGAGCATCTCGATGCGCCAGTTTGTCCATGTGTTCAGGCCTCTCCGGCGGATTGAAGACAAGGTTTCGCCTCGCTTGTCCGACAGCCAGATGCATATGACTTGCTGCTCCGTAACTTGATTTCTCCTCCTCCCCCCGGCCACGCCAGCCAGCCAGCGAGCCAGCCAAGAGTGTGCCTCCAACTGCCACCACCTCGGTCGGTCGGTCGGTGTCCAGCCAGTCCAACCTCACTTTACTGTGGGCAACTTTTGATTGCCCCCTATTCCCTCGACCATGAATGGGGACCTTAGCTTGTCCAAGGCCCTTGGAGGGCTACGGATAGCCAACCCAGATGATTCCTCTCCAAGCCCCTCCCGAGAGCTCTCTCACAATCCCGACTCTCCGACCTCAGATCTGCATGCTGCGTCTGAACTTGGCAGACAGTCGCATGCCTCTCCTAATGCCTTTGCTGGATCACCTCTTCACGACTCCTCGGCTTTTTCTAGTGATCCCCAGACACAGTTACAAGCACGGCACGGCCACGACACCGCCTCGAATCTAAATACTGGGCGATCCAACCTCGATGTTCCCCAGAGGCAAACCAGCTCCGCAAGCCCACGAGAGCACCACCTGCAACCACAATACTCTAGCTACCAGTCCAGCTCTCCATCCGGCAGCATACATAATAAACCATCGGCTGGCCGTCCTATCTCGGGCATTTATCCCAACTCAATGTCGAACGAATCGGAGCTCGGCCCAGGCTCTTATAATGCGCTCCGAAATGAGCCGTCTCGATCGTCGATGTATGCGATGCCTACAAGAAGCGACTCAAGATCCACTCCTTCATACAACACACCCATTCCCTCACGAGAGCCCAGCCACAGAGACAGATCATACAACTCATCATCCACCCGACAAGCTCCCTTACCGCCAGGCACTGGGCCAAGCGGGCCGCTTCCTCCCAGACGCAGCTCAAAGGGCCAAGCAGGCGGGTACGCGTCCATACCGGGTGTGCCCATGGCAGCTCCATCAAGCAACATGGGCCCCGAGATGCCACTCCCAACTAGTAGTGAAGAGTGGCAAGAGCGTGGTGCCGCGGTTGGCGTGAGGAGAGAGGTGGATGCCAACGGCAAGACAATATTGAGGTCGGTCAAGAAGGGCGTCCGCGATTTCTCTTTTGGAAAGATACTTGGCGAAGGCTCTTACAGCACAGTCTATTTGGCTACGGATCGACAATCTCTTAAGGAGTATGCCATCAAAGTTTTGGAAAAGAAGCACATCATTAAGGAGAAGAAGATCAAATACGTCAACATCGAGAAGAACACACTTAATCGGCTTACCGAGCATCCAGGTATCGTCCGTCTCTATTACACTTTCCAGGACGAGACTTCATTATATTACGTCCTTGACTTATGCAACGGCGGCGAACTGCTAGGAGTGCTCAAGAGAACCGGCACTTTTGATGTGGAGTGCACCAAGTTCTATGGGGCTCAAATACTGGACGCCATTGAGTATATGCACTCAAGAGGAGTCATTCATCGTGATCTCAAACCGGAAAACGTGCTGTTGGATGATAATATGCACGTTAAGATCACGGATTTCGGTACGGCCAAACTATTACCAGACCCGAGAGACCCTAGGCCGCCAGAACAGATGGAGAGAAGCCAGCAAGAGTCGGGTCGAGCAGCATCTTTCGTCGGGACTGCGGAGTATGTTAGCCCAGAGCTTCTTACGGAGAAGTCTGCCGGCAAGCCGAGCGATTTGTGGGCATTTGGTTGTATCATTTACCAGCTCCTTGCCGGAAGGCCACCATTCAAAGGGGCGTCTGAGTATCTGACTTTCCAGAAGATTGTTGGTCTAGAATACGAGTTTCCGGTTGGTTTCCCACCGGCCGCTCGGGATCTAGTTGAACGCTGTCTAGTGCTCGATCCCTCACGGCGGTTAACAATTGAACATATCAAAAATCACGAATTCTTTGACGGGCAGATGTTCGGCAAAGAGTTGTGGAGGACAAAGGCGCCACGCCTGCGCCCCTACATGCCACCGTCACAAGAGCCACATATCATCAACCTGAATGGCGGGATGCCTACCACCACATCGCAGCCAATACCAATGTCTCGGAGCGGGCAGTCACAAAATAATGGGTCTCGACCAGCAAGGATTATCACGGAATTACCTCCACCGACGCAATTAGATATTGAGTGGTCACCAGTGCTAACTAGAAATAACGAAAGGATACTGAAACTAGGCGACTTGATGGTCATCACCGCGCCGATTCCAAACAGCCCACACGGGAAAGGCGGAGAGCATGGTGAAGGTCACAAGAAACTCTCTCGCTTTTTCGGCGGCAGTACGACGAAGAAAAGGCAGAGGCTTGTGATGGTGACCTCGAGCGGCCGTATTGTGTTAGCGCCTGCCGGTGGTGATGAAAAGAGAGCAAAGCAGGAAATATCTCTTTTAACCCCTGACTGCGCATGGAGGAGTCAGATTGACGTGAAAGGCCAGCTTGTTTGGTGTGTCGATTCGGTAAGTCTCTAATCAAAGGGCTATCCAGATAACCTTGACTAACGATCATCAAGAATGGGATCCACTATACCTTTGAAGAACCAAAAGCATCAAACGGCGACTCCGGCAAGTTCTCAGTCGATGACTGGATCGAGTCTTTGGATAGAGCCAAAGATTTGGCTCTATCGCAAAACCTATCCGGCTCATACAGCGGCGACAACTACGGGGACATGTCATCGTCAATGTCGAGTCCGGCTAGCACTCTCGGTGGCAGGGGGCAGTTCCCGGAGGGATTCAGTGTGAGCGATCGGTCCGGCCGGAATCAATTGAGCAAGAGCCAGGCAAGCATGGACGAGATAAGCCAGACGAAACGAAACCGGTTCAGCAAACGGCAATCCAAGAACGGGTTGGGGGCGGCCTTTTGATATATATTCGTCATGTCATATGCACACGAAAGGGGGAATGGCATCTTCTGGCGCGTGTCGGGTTTAAAAAACCTCATGAACATCACAAACTTCTGGCATATGTTCTTGTACGCCCTGTATAATGGGCGGAGCATTTGTCCTCATTACGTTTAATTGGCATTTGGTAGCGTGGCGTAGGTTCAATGAGCAAGAATGAAATGACATATTCATCTGTTCACCCTTCAGATCTGTCGACAAGATCCTATCATCGAACTCCATGATTGGAGCCCAGTTTCTCCGAACAAAATACAAGGGGAAGCCTTTATAATATAAACTTGGGTTCATAAGAATTATACGTGTCATGTGATCGCGCACGGGCCATTGTATGTGGTGGGCCCGCTTTTCGCCGCTCATCTCGAACTCTGCATTTCCCAATGTGAGGAGGCCACGCGACGGACGCGCTTGTGTTCGCATTCATCAAGAGGGGACCGTTGGACGAACACATCCCACTATCGTCGCATCTAACTACGGCCAACATGCAGCCTCAATACCGCTCATACCCGCAAAATGTCCCACAGCGGTCAACGCACGCCCCAGTTCAGCGGCGCGGCGGAATTGGTAAGGCGATCTCAACCACCCCCCTGGCCCTCCGCTCTCCTAACCACCGCTTTGGTGTCACCACTCCACCGGGACGTCTACTAATCCGCTTGGCCAACTGAAATAGGTCCCATGATGTCCCAAGGACCACATCACGCTGTTCCACTCACCCAAGCCCAAATCGTGCAGCAACAACAAGCTCAGGCACATGCTAGCGAGATGGCCAAGCGACGGAGCCGCAAGCCGACAGACAAGAATATGCCCGACGGCGCTGAGGATTGGGTGATTGGTGATGGGGTCGCGCGATACAAAGATCTGAGAGACTTTGAGAGGCGACTTGATGCGACGATGACTCGCAAGCGACTTGATATTGTAGACTCTGTCAGTCGCAACGCTAAGGTACGTCTGAGCTACAAATTTTTGATGAATTTGATGAAATTTCCAATCATCGCTGACATTCGGTATAGCGCTACAAGACTCTGCGAGTATGGATCAGTAACACGGTTGAAGACCAAGCGTGGCAAGGCAACGGCGGCTTGAACGTCGATAGCTTCGACTTCTCGAACAGCATGGAAGCCTCCTACCGAGTGAAGATCGAGGGCCGCCTTTTGGATGATGACGAAGATCTTGATAAGGATGATGATGAGGCCGGTACGAGCGACGAGGCTGAGGATGCCGACAAGATGGATACCGACAGCCCTGAGAAGCCCAAGCGCAAGGCGCTTGCAGCCAAACCACAGCAGAGATATAGATTCTCCCACTTCTTCAAGGCGCTGACCGTTGAGTTTGACAAAAGCAAGATGCGTAACGGTGCGGAGCAGAGTGTCGAGTGGAAGAAGCCCGATCGAGCGCCTAACTCGACTAACCCTCCTGCGGCGGCTGATTTTGACGAGCTCACATTCAAGCGGAATGGGGACGAAAACATCAATATTACTGTTAATCTCTACAAGCATGAAGACCCCGAGCGATTTGAGCTGAGTGACGAACTCGCCGAAGTCGTCGACATGAAAGAGGCAACTCGTTCTGAGATCATCATGGGACTATGGGAGTATATCAAGCTCATGGGTCTTCAGGAGGATGAGGAGAAGCGAAACTTCCGCTGCGACGACCTACTTAGAAAGGTATGCTTCTTGATTCATAAATCTACGAATTGCGATTAATAACGATCCAGGTCATTGGTCGGGACTCAGGCTATATCCCGATGCTTCACGAGCATATCAACGGCCACCTTAAGCCGCTTCCGCCTGTCAAGCTGGTTTACACCATCCGGGTAGATGAGGATTTCCACAAGGATCCGCAACCCACTATCTACGACATTCGCGTTGCCGTTGATGACCCGCTACGGGCGAAGCTCTTCCCCTTCATTCACAACCCACAGTACGCCAACATGCTACGAGAAGTCGCATCGCTTGATGATTCGCTAGCCCTCATTGTTCAGGCAGTGGCAGCCTCTAAGGGAAAACTTACCTTCCTCACTGGCTTCGAGAAGGATCCCGCAAACTTTGTTCGCAACTGGCTCAGCTCCCAGAAGAGGGATCTCGAGGTCATCACTGGCGAGGCTTCTCGCAGTGGCGGCGAAGATGCCACTGGCGACGAGTGGAGAAAAGGCGGCAAGGACAGCATCTGGACTACCCAGAATGCCAGGGAGAGTGTAAATGTCATGCTATCGAAACAACCTGCTCAGCCGCGTTAGGTACCTGGCGAGCTTGAGCAGCCATCTCACACGAAATCTCCGCATCATCCCTCAGCTGTCCGAAGTGACATCGCGGGGTTTTCGAATGCAGGACATTCTGGTTCGATTCGCGTCAATTTATCGCGCCAGTTCATGTTGCAAGCACCAATACCGTCGAATTCCCCGCAAGCAAGAGCTGGAGACGTGGCCATGGATCCCTTCCTGTTTCCCAATCCGTTTTTCAACCTTGAAACCTGGAATCCACAACCAGTTGTTCCTAATGCGTCAGGTTGGAGTTCGGACCCTGCTTCTTATTGGGCGTACAATGCCCTTCCGCACGGCGGAAACATGTGGATGGGGCATCAGTGATTGGCTTTTGTAGGAACAGGCTGGTTTTGCACTTTTGTTTTTTGTCGATACCATGTGTACAGTACCAGTATGCGGAGATAGGAGTTTACAGAATGGTCGCTTCGGCCTTAATCAAGAGCTCTAAGCTCAAAATATCTCGATATATAGTGACAATCGTCGTTACAACAAACACCGGATTCGCCCTACAATGTAAAAGCTATGACTAAGGACACCGCTCAACAGTTGTTGATATTTAGATATGTATCGGAGGCTTGAAAAGTTGCCAAGGGAGGTTTTTGAAGATAGCCTACTCTCATGTAAGTGGGGAGTCAGCTTCATGCAGTGAGGGGCTCGCCGTCTTATAAATGGGACCTGACCCTCCGACGTCATAAAGTAAATAGACAAAACAAACACATTTTTCTGAGAAGGTTTGTTCTGTCACACGTTGCGAAAAGCAGAATTAATAAACTCGGTGAAATCATCTACTCAAGATGGCGGCAATCTTCAAAGCTGGAAATACGGCCGTCATTACAGGAGGTGCCTCTGGCATTGGGCTCTCCTTGGCTAAGAAGTGTTACGGTTATGGGATGAAAGTGCTCGTCGCAGACTACGACGATGCAGCACTGCAGAAAATCGGCGGCGAGATCAGCACTATCAAGACCGATGTAAGCAAGCTTGAGGATTGGGCGAAACTTAAGAGCAAGGTGGACCAAGACTTCAACGGTACGAGCGTCCTCATATGCGGAGAACTGTCAAGACTAACGACAATATCCCAGGCCAGGTGAACCTGCTGGCTCTCAATGCCGGTGTCGGGGGCAAATCAAGCTGGGAGGACCTCAGCATCTTCCACAAGATCATTGACACAAACGTGTTTGGCGTGCTCAATGGCATCAGCACGTTCCTGCCAAGCATCAAGGAGAAGGCGGCTACCACACCATCTGCCATAGTCATCACTGGATCCAAGCAGGGCATCACCAATCCTCCCGGCAATCCGGCGTACAACCTCAGCAAGGCGGCCGTCAAGTCCGCCGCTGAGCACCTCAGCTATGATCTCCGAGGAACTGGCATCGGCGTACATTTGCTCGTGCCAGGGTGGACACACACGGGCATGACTGGCGCCAACAGCAGGGACAAGCCCGATGGAGCGTGGTGGCCGGACCAGGTGGTTGACTATCTAGAGAAGAAGATGAACGAGGGCCAGTTCTGGGCGATCTGTCCCGACAACGACGTGACCGAAGCACTAGATCGCAAGAGAATGCAGTGGACTGCGAGCGACGCTATTGAAGGAAGGCCGCCGCTGTCGAGGTGGAGAGACGAGTGGAAGGAGAAACATCAAGACTGGGTGGAAAAGCAGAAATAGGTTCAGATGGTCTGGTTCTGTTTTCTCGGCCTCTATATAGCAACTTGTAAAATTCATACATGATGACACAGGCCAACGCCCTGGAGCAAGCCACGAAAACAGGTCGATGCCGTGGATCCCGCTCCTATGACTCCTACATTGTGTTGTAAAAAGATGGTGCTAACGAGCACGCAGCCCTCTGCTGTGAACAATCGTTCCCTGAACGCCTAATCGAATGCAATCATGCCATTAGTCCGTCATACTCCAACATGTCTTCCAATCCCGCCCACCAAACGGGCTTTCTTTGCTGAGCGAAATCTTCTCAGCATCATCTCATCTCCTGACACCTCGTCATACCTAGCGCTGAGGAGGGACTGGTGTTGGCGGCATGGTTCTGATCTGTTTGATCAGGAACTCGCGCTCATCAATGAACTGCTCGTCATCTGTTCTGTCCTCCAGGAAATGAGACAAGAAGTTGAGCAGTTTCTCGCGGTTCATGAGCAGGATCTTCTGGACGGCGACGGATTTGTGCGGGTTGGCAACAAAGACCTTGAATACGTGGAACCCCTCGTACTGGACCATCTTTCGATCGTCTCGCAGGAGGTTCATACAGATCTTCAGGTGCTCGCCTCTGTCGACATACGCTGTCATGACATTATAGTTCGAGCGGTCGAGGAGGATCTCGCCCAGGAGCTTGATAGACTGTCGCTTTGTGACGTAGCTTTGTGACTGTACCAGGATGTTGTTGTATTTGTCGAAGAAGAGCTCGAAGTTGACAGAAAGATATCTCGGGACAAGATCTTTGTGCTTGGTCAGAAGCTCCTATAACACGGTTAGCAGAGCCGGTCTTAGAACGTGGACGTGAGGATAGCCTACTCTGAAGGTGGTGAACGCATCAGCAGCAACCTCAAATGAGCTCTTGTCAATCCAGTCGAAAAACCTCCAGAACACACCAGCGCCGCTCTGCTGTCTATTGGTATCGATGCCAGATGCTCCTTGGTAGCTTGATCCAGGTTGCTCGCCATCATCATAGAGAATGACCGCCGCGGCCGCCTCGTTCTTCTGTAGAATTTCGCGCAGGACTGAACCCGCTGGTGTTGCGCTCTCTTTGTGATCGTACGCCTTGCATAACTCAATGAGAACCTGCGGCCGGTTGTTGACAACCCAGTCAAGAGCAATCGGGTCGCTCTGGGGCGGCGCGGTGGGAGGGCGAAATCTGAAGACGTAGCTAAAGATGACCTGAGCATCCTTGCGTGACTCGAAAGGCAGTCGCCAGAGGTATATAGCCAAAAGATAGAGTAGATCCTCGTCGATAATTCCAGTCACCAGTTGGTAGATTTGCTCGGGGCTCGATTCGGCATCTGCTTTTGCGTCAGTTTCTCCCAAACTCACCAAGCGGCCTCCCCCAATAGGTTCTGGGCGATCGCATACCGTGTGTTCCTTGAAGCTGGTGCTTCATGGAGCTAAGAGTTCCGCTGAGCGCTTTGGCAGCCTCTTCGGCCTTGAACTCGGCGTCAGCATCCATTATGTGAGGGCTTTTGCTGTTGGGCTGTGGAGTTGAGGGGAGGGAAAGGGTACCTTTGCTGGATTTGAGGCACCCTCAAGCCTAGCTATACCCTCTCTAGCTTGCTTGGGCAGGTCCACGTATGGGCGGGCCCTGCCCCGGCCAAAGAAGAAGGACATTATCGTGAGCTTCTTTGTCGTGGAGTAGCTATAGGGGAGGAGGTGGGATGGCGGCCGGTGATGACCAGCAGAAGTGTTAACGACACGGCCCAGATTAACCCACGGATCAGGCTTTATCAGTAACAAACTTGATAATCGCAAACAGTAGAGACTGCTTTCAGCTGATGCAGCACTGGGACATTCAATGACACCTTGTGCACGACCACTTTCCCCAGGTTACTTGGCTGCTGGGCTGGGTGCTGGGTTGAGACAATGGGGTTGTCAGCTGGGGCGTGACTATTTACATGTCGGCCTGAATGGGAGAGATGTTTTGATGCAATGACGCACGGTCCTTCATTGGTTGGGTGCTAGGGGGAAGGGTCTCTGGGTACCACCTCTCTATCGGCCCTCATAGCGGGCGCTAAGCGATAAGGTGCTATAGCACATTATGGAGGAGGGGAGCCTTGGCCGGTGCCATGCGACAACCGGCTGGAGCCCTTGGTACTGCCCACACAAGCCACATCCAGTGCCTGCCAGGAACAGTAAGGCTTGACATGCTTCCGTATTACGGTATTACCCCTCCACACCCGTTGCTGTCATGCCCCTCCAAAAGTCACACTGAGATTATTCGACGCCGGGGCTGTCGAGTCACAAAATTTGGGGGCATTACAGTAGATCTGCGACACTTACCATCCAGTCCTCAGTGACTCAGAGGCGACTTCTTGACTCACGAAGACTTCGATATTTCTTCTAAACTGATCCGTCTTGGAATGTGAGAATTGTCCTTGCCAGACCCACCTTCCCTTGCGACACTAACTACGAGCCTCAAGTGTGGATTTCTCCCCGCCTAGTTTCTTTCCATCCGCTGATTCATACTCTCTCCGATTGCAGCATTTGCGCCGACGTCTCGAGGCATAGAAAATCTTCCCTTGGATTCTTCGAAGCCGTCGACCACCATGTCCATTGACTTCCCTAAGGAGGAGGAGGCCCTCCTAGAGAGGTGGAGAGAGATCAAGGCCTTCGAGCGCCAGGTAAGGCAAACCATTTCGAACCTCTGACTCCCCCAATTTCTGACTTTGAAATGCACAGCTCGAGCTCTCTCAAGGTCGCCCTCACTACACCTTCTACGATGGCCCTCCCTTCGCGACGGGTCTGCCGCATTACGGCCATCTTCTGGCCTCCACTATCAAAGATATCATACCCCGCTACTGGTCAATGAAAGGATTTCACGTCGAGAGACGCTTTGGATGGGATACACATGGTCTTCCCATTGAACATGAGATCGACAAGAAGCTAGGGATCTCAGGCAAAGCTGGTGTCATGGAGCTCGGCCTGGCCAAATATAACGAAGAATGCCGATCTATTGTCATGCGTTTCAGTGGAGAGTGGAGGAGATTCATTGAGCGACTTGGCCGGTGGATTGACTTCGACAACGACTACAAGACCATGGACACCAACTTCATGGAGTCGGAATGGTGGGCATTCAAGACCCTTTTTGACAAGGGCATGGTGTACAGGGGTCACCGGGTCATGCCATACAGCACAGTGCTCTGCACTGCTCTAAGCAACTTCGAGGCGAACCAGAACTATCAGGATGTCACAGACCCGGCCGTTGTGGTCAACTTCCCGCTTGTTGACGACCCGAAGACCAGCTTGCTAGCCTGGACAACAACACCATGGACACTGCCGACTAACCTTGCTCTTGCGACACATCCCGAGTTCGAATACGTCAAGATCCACGATGAGAAGTCGGGCAATAACTACATTCTCCTCGAGAAGCTCCTCTCCACGCTGTACAAGGACCCAAAGAAGGCAAAGTTCAAGGTTCTTGAGAAGATCAAGGGCAGGGATATGCTCGGATGGAAGTATCAGCCGCTTTTCGACTACTATGTCGAGGACTTTGGAGATGTTGCCTTCAAGGTTGTCAACGCCACATATGTCACTGACGACAGCGGTACGGGTATTGTCCACCAAGCACCGGCCTTTGGAGAGGATGATTATGCCGTTGCGAAAGAACATGGCATCGTCACGGAGGACCGCGCGCCCCCCGACCCGCTCAACGAATCAGCCCATTACCTGAGCAAGATCAAGGACTTCGAGGGAATGCACGTCAAGGAAGCTGACAAGCACATCATCAAGTACTTGAAGAATGCAGGGCGACTGATTGTAGACTCACAGTTGAAGCATTCCTACCCCTTTTGCCCCCGGTCGGATACTCCTCTGATCTATAGGGCTGTGCCATCTTGGTTCATCCGTATCCCTGAGATCATCCCACAAATGTTGGAGAACATCCAGGGCTCTCAATGGACCCCGAGTGCTGTGAAGGACCGCCGATTCGCCAACTGGATCGAGAACGCGCGGGACTGGAACGTCTCCAGAAATCGGTTCTGGGGTACCCCTATCCCCATCTTCCGCAGCGAGGATGGCGAAGAGGTTGTCTGTTTTGGCAGTATTGCCGAGTTGAAGGAGCTGAGTGGATATGAGGGTGATCTCTCTGATATCCATCCGGATAAGATCAACCATATTACCATACCCAGTAAGAAGGGCAAGGGAGACCTGAAACTGGTTGGTGAGGTCTTTGACTGCTGGTTCGAGTCAGGAAGCATGCCTTTCGCTAGTCAACATTACCCCTTCGAGAATGAAGCGAAGTTTAAGGATTGCTTCCCAGGAGACTTCATTGCCGAAGGCCTCGACCAGACTCGAGGTTGGTTCTATACCTTGGTAGTTCTGGGTACTCACCTCTTCGGGAAGATGCCTTTCAAGAACTGTGTCGTCAATGGCATAGTGCTTGCAGAAGACGGCAAGAAGATGTCGAAGCGCCTGAAGAACTACCCAGATCCTTCTATCGTGATGGAGAAGTATGGCAGTGACGCCCTTCGACTCTACTTGATCAACTCTCCTGTAGTAAGAGCAGAGCCGCTCCGCTTCAAGGAGACTGGCGTAAAGGAGGTCGTCCAAAAGGTTCTTCTACCTCTGTGGAACAGCTACAAATTCTTTGAGGTAACGTATACCCTTCTTGCCAGCAAGTATGATGCTGACGTCTTAACCAATAGGGTCAAGTCGCTTTGCTCAAGAAGGTCGAGGACGTGGATTACAAGTTTGATCCATCCATGGAGGCACAGAACACCAACATCCTGGACAAGTGGATCTTGGCCAGCACCCAGAGCTTGCTCAAGTTCGTCAATGAGGAAATGAACGGTATGAATACTTTCTAAACCTAAGTCTTGATAGCAACCGCTCTAACAGTGTTAGGTTACCGTCTGTACACCGTCGTTCCGAAACTGCTTGAACTCATTGACAACACCACAAATTGGTGAGTATCTTTTCCTGTGAACATTGAACCTACGATGTGCATATCTTTACTTGATAATTGCTAATGCAAGTTGCTTAGGTACATTCGATTCAACCGAAGACGTCTCAAGGGAGAATACGGCGTGGAGGATACCATCCACGCTCTCAACACACTTTTTGAGGTCCTTTACACACTTTGCCGTGGTCTGGCTCCTTTCACTCCCTTCTTGACCGACACCATCTACCTGAAGCTGTTGCCCCATATTCCGAAGGAGCAACAAGCCGAGGACCCACGAAGTGTACATTTCTTGCCTTATCCAACAGTAAGACAGGAGCTCTTTAATCCGGACGTTGAACGAAAGGTCCAGCGCATGCAGACTGTCATTGAGCTAGCGCGCTACTCTCGTGTCAGGAGAACGATTGGTCTCAAGCAGCCTTTGAAGACATTAGTAGTGCTTCACCCAGACCAGGCTTACCTGGACGATGTTAAATCACTTGAGACATACATCACCGAGGAGCTAAACGTACGAGATCTGGTGCTTACAGCTGACGAGGCGTCATATAATGTCGAGTATAGCGTCAATGCTGATTGGCCAGTTCTGGGCAAGAAGTTGAGGAAAGACATGGCTAGAGTCAAGAAAGCTCTGCCTTCGCTAAAGACTGACCAAATCAAGGGCTACCTTGACAGCGGCAAGATCCTGGTGGACGGTGTCGAGCTGGTAGCAGGAGATCTGGTCGTGAAGAGAGTTTTGAAGGAGGACGAGTCCTCTAGAAACCTGGAGACCAACACCGACAATTATGTCCTCACTATCCTCGATTGCGAGATTTACCCTGAGTTGGCTCACGAGGGTGTCGCAAGAGAAATCATCAACCGTGTCCAACGTCTACGGAAAAAGGCAGGTCTACAGCCTACCGATGACATCAAGATGGAGTACAAGGTTCTTGCCGACCCTGAGAATATCGGTCTTTCAGAGGTCTTTGAGACGCAGTCTCCTATGCTGGAGAAGGCGCTTCGGAGGCCCTTGGACAAGCATGAAGTCACTCACGTCGAAGGGGAGATCCCTGCAGGGAAGCAGGACGGCGTCATTGCGGAGGAGATGCAAGAGATTCAGCAGGCTACATTCCTGCTGAGACTTCTAACTCTCTGAGCATGGAAGTCATGTGGATGGTATCTAGTTGTGTCCCAGGGGCAAAATTCATATAAGGATTTTAGAGCCACCAAAAGTAAAATACCTAGTTGCAGCACCTTTAATTGATAGATGTATGACTGACACTCATCATTATATAAACTTTTAAACGTCTTGTCCGTCACCTTGACTTTGAAGCAGCCTAACAACAAGGTTAGATGCATTTCGCCTAGACCAATAAATTGACTCACCAAATAGCAGTCCTTCAACTTTAGGAATTCAGTTAAACATTTGTCCTTGTGAACTGAGTTGTAGTCTGCGACAATGCATTTTCCATAGATAGCTGCCTATCGACACTTCATGTCAGAATACATACCTAAGCATAGAACTCTTGAGGACCAAGGTTTTGACTGACCTCAGCCGAGCATTTCGAGACAGCTTGGGCGAACTTCTGGATTGGCCGAGTCCGTGGTTGCATTGTGCCCGGCTCGTTCAGCTGGAGGAACGAATTCGTCCGCCTCCTGGCCCCTTTCTCCGGATTGCAGGCAGTCTACTGCTTGTAGATGGTGGTAGCAAAACTCGGCGGTAGTGATGATTTCATTGGACGTCATTCAACGTGGAAAAGGCAAAGCTTTCCAAGCCTTCGAGAACGGTGATGTTAGAAAAACGGTCCAACTAATTGAACGGTGTTCGGTCGAAATGGATTGGCTGGAGTGGAGCTATGCCGTTCTCGACGGAGCTAAACGGAGGTACTTGAGTGGACCGGGTCGCGAGACGGGTTGGCTTTCGCGGTTCGTTACGCGCTGCGCGATTCCTGCTCCATAACCCTGCTTGTCTACTCTTTTATTGCACCACCTCAGCTCGGCTTCAGCGCATCGCAATACAATTCGCTTGCAACTTCTAAATGCCTTGGTCTAGCGACACCCGCGCTTCATCGACAACGCTGTCACGACTTGAATAACAATTGCGCGCTGAATTGCGCCGTCAGAAATACGTCGCATTGTCTTGCATGCTTGCAAGGCTGTCCGTCAGAATAGCGCCAACCTCACCAGCCACCCCTCCCCGTCATGTCTTCTAAGAGACGACGCATCATCCGCCAATGCCGCATTCGGTCGCATCCTCCTATACCGAGGATCCGCGAAGACATCACGGGAGGACCAAGAGTCAAGCTTCCTCAGCTAGCAACCAAGGAGCCGTCTTGATGCAGGGCCGCACCGGGCCCTCCACCCCTCGAAGGGGCGGAGGTCCTTCAGCCAACAATCGGGAGCCATACTATAGCAATGAAGGTACTGACGTGTGCTCTCGTTTTCCTGGGCAAATTATGCTTACAGTTCTTGTCAATTGCAGACATCGAACTTCTCCACGATATTGTGTCGACTGGAGAGGAGATACTGACCTCGCTGCCGGAGAGGGAACGACTTCCCACTAATGCTCTTTTTAGAGCTGCGGATATTGTTCTTCCACGATATGGCCACGACTCAGAGGATGATGTACCGCATATTTCCCGCCTTCTCTTCCGAATTGGTGGAATGCGTGGAAGTGGCAGCCTACAGGACAAGTTTCGATCTGTACTGAATAGTATGGGTATCGAGCTCGAATACATCGATGACACTACAGATACTGGGTCCCTCGGTCTTGCATCGCCGAATTACCGGATTCTAGGTACCAACGGCGATCTCGCAAACTCTGTGCGACGTACGCCTCAGCGGCGGCGCAGTTCCCATGGCGATGCTACCGATATAGCTGTAAATGATACTGTTGATGCCTCGGCTATGGGTGGTCATCGCAGGGTCAGATCACTCTCAAACGGGCAGTCTAAACATGTCGCACAAAAGCTCAGATTCGCGGACGAGGAAAACGACTATAATGTTACTCGGGAAACTCTAGCGGAATCAGATGTCGGACATGTTCCAACGTTCCGAAATTTGGCACACCGGCCGCATTTACTCCCTGCCCCAGAATTCAAGTCTGGTGTCCATTCCAAAACGTATCAAACCGGTCACCGAAGTTCTCCACGGCGGCCTTTGCGAGCTCTAGGCTTAGAGAACACAAGCAAGACGGACTGGACCCAGGAATCGGCTGCTGAAGACTTGCCTCTTCGCAATGGGCATTACGATGGTATCTCTACCGGTAAAAAATCGCCGAAGCACAACATATCCCACTCACTATCTAGCTCTGGAAAGGAGTATGATGTACATTCCGAGGAAAGCCAACAATATCAGCAGGATGACCCTGACAACGAAACTATCGACGAAGAAGTGCCTGAGGATGGATCTTATGACTCCGTAAGATCTGATGATCAACAAAATGCGACCTTTGACCAAATTGCTTTCCTCGAAGCTACGGAACAAAACTTCCTTCGGTCGGCTTTTGACTGTTGGAGGAGAGTTGCACAGTTGAAGCATCTCAACTCACAGCAGAGAATGGCACTCGCAGCCCGGTGGGATAGGGAAGAAGCACTCGCTGAGGCACTTGCGATTTGGAGCGACAATGCTGGTGTACGACTCGAAGATGTCGAAGGCAGAACCGCCACCAGGACGCTTCAGGACCGGCAAGAGGAGGCCATTGAACTCACCCAACATGAAGTTGATGCTTTGGAGCCCGGGACTGTTGATTTTCATGAAGCATTTGCTGATGCAAAGGACTCAGGAGAAGCAGGTTACCGTGAGAGACTCCGGGCTCAACCAGCTGGCTATGATGACCTATCTGACGTTGAAGATAATCCAAGATATGCCCAAGCTGCAGCCGCATGGGATTACTTTTTGCTGTCAAAAGCCTTTACCCACTGGGCAGGGCGTGCTGAAGAAGAAGTCCAACGCACTGCTGTTGCTCGGAGGCATATCATAAGAAAAAAATGTTTTGGCGCCTGGGTAGAGCAAAAAGCAGAGGATGACAGCCGTGTCTCTTCGTTTCCAAAAATGTTCCTCCTTCGGCAGTGGTACGACGCGCACATCGACCAAGAGCATAGTGCACGCATCATAGACCAGGCGTATGAGCGCGGTCTCGTTGAGAGAGTCTTTTGGGCCTGGTTTGGTGAACACAAGGTACGAAATAGCCTTGCAACGGCAGCTCACCATGTAAAGGGGGAGACTTTCCAGACTTGGCGTTCTGCAACATCTATGGCGATAAAGTCAGGTGAAGTAGCGAGGTCAGACGATAAGCAGCATCTACTTCAGACCGCAACCTCCGCTATGTTCTCGACATTCGACACCTTGAACACGGCGAGTTCGAAAGCAGAACAAATTGTAGACACAAGGAATCTGTCGCTGAAATCGGATATATTTGTGCAATGGAGCCAACAAAGCAAGAAATCGGCAGGTATAGTCGAGCAACTCGCCAAAAAGGAGTTGCAGGAGACGGCAAAGCACTGGGTGTGTGAAAGACGGCTCAGAGAATATCAGCGAACACGAGATCTCTATGAACTCGAGCAATCGGTCCACCAGTGGCACTGCGAAACTCGACTGCAAGTCGTCAAGCGATGGCTTATGGAAAATTCCGTACGGAGTGTTACTAAGAAATGGTCGGCTGCAGCCCTAGAGGCAGAAACTACTGGACAAAACTTGTATGAGACGGCTGTGGCTATGGATAGAATCCACCTTGCCGCCACCTTCTTTGAGTCAGCGCGCTCCGCAGTCAAACAGACCAAGGAGCAGAAAGATACAGCAGACTCAATATTCCAGCGGGAGACCACGCCGACAGTACTCGCGCACTGGGAAGAAGAAACCAGTGTTCTACAACGATTGAGGCGCTGGAGCGACCTCGGCGCATTCTACAGTGGCGTCAAAGATCAATTTGATCACTGGCGAGTGAATGCTAAAAGGGCGCGCAAGCAAAGGCTGGGCGATTTATATCGTGCATTCCGGTTCCAATATAAACTTGACATGGTCCGGGATTGCCTGGACCTGTGGCGAGAGGCCACTGCAAGCGCCATCACGTCGACCTGGGACGCTGACGACATCAAGGCTAGCCACGATAGATCAGTTGTCGAGGAGAGCCTTCAGGTCTGGCAAAACGAGCTGTCATTCGTCGAGTTCAGCACGCAAGTCGCAGTGGAAGCCGACCAGGAGGCCTATCTTATGGCGTGGCAGGCGGAACATGCTGCCATGAAAGAGGCTGAGATTGATGCGCAAGAATACGATGCCGGTCAGACGCTTAACGAACATTGGGAATATTGGGTCTTGGCAACGTTGCAGCAGAGAAGCCGTCACCCTACAGTTGTTGAGATGCAAGGCCACAATGCGAAGAGACTGCGTCGGCAGGCTTTGACCTTATGGATCGAGCAGACATTTCCCAACAGAGAGCCAGAGGTGGACTTCAGGGCATCCCGGCGGAGTGCGAGATTTATAACGCCTGCTCGCAACCGCAACTTTATCGACTACAGCACTTACAGCTTCCGGCCGCCATCCGAGCTGAATTTTGACGAACATGATGAAGGGCCTAGCTTTGAGGACTCTCGACTTTAGAAATTATGCCATAGCATGATTGCCTAAAGAGGAAACTATGACTATATGAGTTCGAATACACCCATATAAAAGCACGAAGCGAAGGACTGCCAGGGAACAGGGGTTGGATTGTTTTGGAAAGAGAGGCAGATATTACGATTGCATATATGGAGGCGTTGGCTGTCCGCGGTGGATATACCCAAACAGTGTAGCATTGGATTTTCTCGGCGTTGGTGAGGCAAAACTTGTGTTTACAGACAGACATTCAGTAATAAAGCGACTTCAATAACCTGTCGTGCAAATGATGATATACGTGAGCTCAGCTTGGTGCATTCGGGTGATCATAGCTCCTTGGCTGCGGGGAAAGCTAACCCGGTCGATAACCGACTGTAGCGTCGGGACCCTGGGACGTTATTTTCGCGGAGGGAGCAAATGACCTGATCTTTTTCGGCGCTCTTAGGGACGCCGGGCCCATCCAAGCACATGCCATCCTCAACACTACAACAACCACCATCCGCTCCAGAGACCTCGTCTCGCCTGATATTTATCCCGCTGCAAGTCAATTCCCCATGATACAGCTTCTTGCACAATGAAGAGCTCACGCCGGCCGTTTACGTGCCTGCAATGCCTTCTGAGGAATCGCACGCCCTCGCGTTCCTTTCACCCGTCGAGACCTACTCGAGCCTCCGAGGGCTCCTCTCCCTCCGCAGCCGCTCGTCCGCCTTCAGCTCCCAAACCCGTCATCGACATACGGCATATTCGCGAAAATCCCGACTTGTACGAGCAGAACTGCCTCGAGCGCAACTACAAGAACCAGGCCGCTTACCCGGCTCGTATCAATGACCTCTTCGCACAGTGGCAAGCCCGCCAACGTGACGGGCGAGCTCGGCGCGAAAAGTCCAACCTCATCCGCCACCAGATCGCATACCCGGCCACGCTCCGCGACGAACAGGACCCCGGTGTGCAGAGCATAAAGGGCCTCAGCCGTGAGGAGCTGTTGGAACAGGCCCGTGTGCTCAAGGCGGATCTGGCAGCCATTGAGGACGATGAGGCTCGCCTGACGCAGGAGATTGAGTCTCTGGCCGTGGCTATTCCCAACCTGACGAGTGAGGAGACGCCGAGGGGTGACAAGCCTCGGCTCTTGAGTTACATCAACGACCACCCGGAGCCGGAACCGCTCCAGTCGGATCGCGTGTGGCGATCCCATGTGCACATTGGCTCGGAGCTGGGCCTGCTGGACTTCGCGGGGGCGGCAACTGCGACTGGCTGGGGCTGGTATTACCTACTGAACGAGGCGGCACAGTTGGAGCAGGCGCTGATCCAGTATGCTCTGACGGTCGCGACACGATACCGCTGGGCCCAGGTCAGCCCGCCGAGTATGGTCTACAGCCACATCGCAGCGGCGTGCGGGTACCAGCCGCGCGATGTCAGCGGCGAGCAGCAGATATACTCTATCGCACAGTCTCAGGCTGACATCGAGCGTGGTCGCCCTGAACTGTGTCTTGCGGGCACGGCAGAGATACCCCTAGCCGGCATGAAGGCCGACACTCAGCTAGAGGAGTCTGAGCTGCCGATGCGTCGTGTAGGCGTTTCGCGCAGTTACAGGGCTGAGGCCGGCGCCCGCGGCGTCGACACCAAAGGACTGTACCGGGTGCATGAGTTCACCAAGGTGGAGCTGTTCGCGTGGACGGAGCCCGACGAGGTAGCCGTCACCGAGGTCTTTGATGAGATGGTCGACATGCAAACCGAGATCCTGCAGTCGCTCGGCCTGCACTGCCGCATTCTCGAGATGCCCAGCACCGATCTTGGCGCCTCGGCGACGCGCAAGATTGACATCGAGGCCTTCTTCCCTAGCCGCCGCGAGAAGAACGACGGCTGGGGCGAGGTCACCAGCGCCAGCATCTGCACCGATTACCAGACCCGCCGCCTGGGCACGCGCGTCCGCATTGGCGGCAAGATGAATTTCCCCTGGACCGTCAATGGTACCGCGATGGCTGTGCCGCGCGTTTTGGCAGCAATCTTGGAGAATGGGTGGGACGAGGGTGAGATGACCGTCACCATCCCTGAGGTGTTGCGGCCTTGGATGGATGGCATGGAGAAGATAGGATTGAAGCACAGGTTACGATGAGACGGCTGCATGTCAACAGAAATATTGTGCCTTCTACTGATGATCTCTATCGCAAAGTAAAAATTCAAATTGATACCATAACTGATCGACTTATAGGAGTAACAAGTACTACAATACTGTATTGAGCTTCAGGCTTCAGGCATCCTGTAACGTGATCATAGATATTCATTTTTAACACTTGCGACGGCTACCTCATACAAAAGTCCAACCCAGGAACTCCATTTAGTCCCCATGATCAACACCCCTATTCATAAAAAGAAGTGAACAACGTAGCTAGGGCTTATCGTGCCATTCAGTAGTTTCATAACGCTCAATCCGACAATAAACAATGGACAATCTTTGGCCAACTCTTTCAATCTGCATCTTCAGAACAAGCTCCTTTGACCGCAACACTAGCCTTCAAACAAGACCACCTCATTTCCTGACCCGCCATCAAGCGAGCTCGCGGGCCCTAAGCTACTTTCTGTTCCTAGAGCACTCTCCGTCCACTCGCTTCCAGCATCGTCCGGATCAGAATATTCGCCTTCTGTCCCGGTGTAAGACTCAGTGGTAGTGATCACCGTAGTTCCTCGACTAGAGCGTCGAAGGGTGTCAGTATCGCTCATGTCACCGAGGTCGCTAGGATCCGCAAGACTGGGTTCCGCAAGGACAATCTCGTCCTGTCTCGGCGTAGCTTGATCCATGCCATCGTCTTCGCCCTCCTCGTTGCTTTCTCTCAGCTCCATGTTTTCTTTGTCTGTATCGAGATCGCCGTAGCCCTTCGCGGGAAGACGTCCGCCACCCCAGCTTCGTTTCCGCAAGGCAGCAGACCCAGCCATCGCCTTGACACTTTGGCTCCTTGATACGCCACCGCTTGGGACATTATGATTTATCTGGCTGAGAGACAGAATCCTGCGCGCCGCACCCGCTGGACTAGAGGGTTGCAGGTTGCGCTTCGCGTTCATAGCCATATTGAAAGCCGAGCGAGGCTGGCTCGGTGTCGTCGTCTTGGCAGATTGCGCATCGCTCGGTGGCTTTTGCGATGGCACTCTCTTGCGGCTGGGAAAGTCTCGATTTTTGCTTGACTTGGCCATGAGAAGAACTCTCGAGTGATCCATGACGCCGTCAAGAATGCGGCGCTCAAGGCCTTCAGCCCGCTCTTCCATGTCATGGAGCTCTTCGCGTCGAAGACGGAGAGCTGTCTCCAGCGATGAGACATCTCCAGTCAGTCTGATCTTCTGACGCACCAGGCTCTCCTGCTCGACTCTCATGCTGAGAATGTTTTCTTTGAGACGTTCCTCTTCCTCCTTTAGGCTAACAATACTAGCCTCAACTTGATCTTTCTGAGCAAGGCGACGCTCTAGAGCAATCGTAGTCTCTTGTAGTGTCTTCTCTTTGTCCTCGTGGTCATCAGTGATTCGCTGCGTCTGAGCGGCAAGGAACTCCGAAATTTCAGCAGCCGTCTGGACAACTTGCTGATGCACCTTGTCCAAAGTATCAAGGCGGGTGAATGCTTCGTCCGCCGTGTGAGTATGATCTACAAGCTTGTCCAACTTCTCATGAACCCCAGTGTCGAGCTGAGAGAATGCCACGTCGGACGTCTCAGTATGATTTACAAGCCTATCGAGCTTTTCGTGTACGCTTGTATCATCATATTTCTCCACTGGAGGCAAGAGTGGCTGCTCGGGCGGCTTGGCCTCTTCGATCTTTTGCTGGATTTCTGAGGTCGAGGACTTGGAGTGCTCGTAATGCTGGCCAACAATAGCCAGAACATCGTTAACTGCCTCCAAGATCTTGGGCTGATACTCAATGACATGGCCCTGGATGCCTTCCGAAACGCTAACGGCTTGCTTGAGTTGGTCCCGGGTGAGTTGATGCTCTGCCTTTCCATCTGAGTGATTCTCGTCAGATTTCAGAAGCAAGTCCTCCACGCGACCAAAGACGGTCTTGGATGCCTCTTCCATTTTCTCCAGCGAGTCGGTGACTGCGGACCCCAGAGTATCGATGAGAACCTTCAGTTCCTCGGCCACGGCCTTGCTGCCAACGACAGCAGCTTCCATCTCGACGTCTCTCGCTTCACCTGTCTTTGCGCGTTCATCCATAGTGAGTTGGAATTCGTCGTATTTAGCCATAAGCTCATTAATGCGATCATCAATCTTGGTGCTTAGGGTCTCTGTTGTCTCCTGGAACTTCTCATCGGACTCAAGCTTCGCACCAACGACACCGGCCTTTGACTCCTCGAATTCTGACTTCATAGTATCGAACATCTCTTTGAGATCGTCACCAATGGTGGAGTTCTGGTTGATTGTTTCACCAAGACCATCCAGCAGCTTTGCGAGGCTGTCGATGCCTTGGGCGCCATCTTCAAGTTTGCTCTTGACCATGGTCTGGAAGTCGTCAAGGAAGGTCTTGACTTCCGTCACACGTTCTCCAACGCCAACGTTCTCGAGCTGTCGTTGCTCGAGGGCAGTGGAATTGGCTTCTGCTTGCTTGTTACTGAGCTCCTTAACCTCCTTTAGTAAGTTTTCTAGGTTGTGAAGGTCATCCTTGGAGGGGAGGGCAGCGATGTCGACCTTAACCATTTGTTCAACCACGGATTTGACATCCAGGCAAACGGCTTCGATGGCATCGGTATCAGTCTTCGTGACCTTCTCGGGGTCCTCAAGTTGCTTTTCATGGCGCTCTTTCATTTCGTCAAAGGCAGCAACAACTTGAGTTACGAGAGACTCAACCGCGGTGACTTCCTCGCGACGAGAAACACTGTCCATCTGAGAGGCAAGGCTGCCGAGACTCTCTCGGGTCTCTAAGATGAGAGTTTCGAGAACGTCGACATGCTCCTTCCTGACAGCTTGTTCGCCATCAATGAGGTCGTCAAGGCGAGCCTTAGTGTTACGAAGAATCGTCTCAATCGCCTGAACGTCCTCTCTACAAGCGGGATCTGTGCTAGCTGGCTCGTCTCGGGTCGACATTCCTGCAACCGACTCTTGAACATTGCGGAGCATATCTTCTAATCCTGACAAGTCCTCCTTTGAGATGGATTCACTAGTAGGCGGGGGCATTTCCATGCCCTCTACCTTCACACGGAGCTGAGTGATGAGAGCCTCGAGGTTTTTGATATCGTCGTGTTTGAGGACTTCTGCAGGGACAATAGCGTTGCTGCCAACAGGTGCAACAGCACGATCGTTTCGGCTCTCTTCGCGAAGGCCGTCGATATCAGATCGCACCCCATCCAGTCCACTCTTGAGAGCGTCCAAGATTTCATCGTTGGCAGTCATGTCCATGGGCTTGTCTCCAATCTTATCAATGCTGGCGCGCAGATCAGCGAGCCCTTCTTGTAGTGCGTCGAGGACTTCGTTGGTGCCGGCAAGTGGACGACTGGTAATCTCCGTTTTGAGGCTACTGATGCCATCTTGCAAGGCCTGAAGAATGTCCTGATGATTGCCCCCTTGAGGTGTAGCAGGTACCAGCGACGAGTTCATCGTGTCCCGCAGAGACTCCAACTCATCCCTGAGCATATCGCGGGACGTGTCTGAGTGTCTGTCAACCAGGACCGAAATCTCTTCTCGGAATCCATCCAAGCTCTTGACAAGCCCTTCCATGAATACCTCCTGGCCTGCTAGCCCTGCGGCCCGATCAACATATGCCTCGATGTCAGCTCGGAGCTTCTCGAAGCCGTCTTTTGTAGCATCAAGAACTTGTTCTGTGTCACGCCCATTGGCGGCAACGTTTTGTTTGGCTTCGTCTGAGACGGCTTTGAACTCGGCTTGCATGTACTCCATGATCTCATGGAGGCGGGATGCAATTTCATCATTGTTGATATCCCGTGGAATAAGAGCTGATTCCGCTCGGACTGGGATGTCCATCGTACTGAGACCTTCCTTGACAGCATCGATCATGTCCTGCTTAGAGACTTCTGCACCGATAGCTGAAGGGGCAACAGGAAACTCGAACTCTTCCAAACATTCGCGGACTGCTTCTAGAATTTCGTCGCGGGAAAGGCTTGCCGGTGTATCCATCTGGGGTGGGACGAAATGCTTCAGGCCTTCGACAACAGCTTTGAACACCTCTTCGCGAGTCGCACCCGCTTCACGCTCCTCATGAGGGGCATATTGTTGTAGACCCTCTTTCAGACACGCGAGTACCTCATCTCGTTCTAAGCCAAGTTGTTGAAACTCGATGTCTGGCTTATAGTTCTCCCAAGCTTCCCTTACAGCATCAATGACATCCTCTCTATGCAAGCCCGGAAGGTCCTGTTGAGAGGCCTTTGAATCCTTGAGGGCGGCTCTTAGCGCGTTGTATATCTCCTGATAGTCGACAGTTGAGGCTTTCGAGGATATCGATGCGGCTGATTGACGTCGATGTTCTCGAAGGAGGTGGTTGATCTGGTTGTTCATCTCTGCCAGTCCTTCTTCGACGACTTTTGCCATGTCTGTTTTCGATGGACCTTCAGATTTCTGCGAGGTTATTTGTTCCATTTCATCCAGTCGACGCCCGAGTTCTCGACCCATTCCAAGCACCTCGCCACGGAGCTCCCGGACGAGTGCCTTAACCTCAGCAGTCAACCCTCCTCCCTGGGCCACGCTGTCTTTGACTGTCCGGATAATCTTCAAGACATCGTCGCCAAGGACGTCGGCAGCTCTAGTCGGCTCTGATACACGACGTGATTCCTTGTCGTGAAGTAATCGCTCCACACGTTGTGTCATGGGTCCTGAGCGCGCAAAGTTGAGCTCTCTTCGGGGCTCTTCATCAAAGCTATAATTTCGAGCTCGGCTTCCATTTCCAGCTCCATGAGCTGGCACAAGAGCATGGTCCTGGCTCGCTTTTACAGTTCGAAGGAGCTCCTCCACCATCTTTCCGGTAGCCAGACCAGAGAGTTTGTCTGCGACTTCAGATAGACGGCTTATGAGCAAATCTTGTCCCTCTTTCGAGCCCATCTCCCGAAGAATCTTTTCTAGGAGAGCAACAGTGGCTGGTGCATCAGCACCATAAAGGGAGGGTGTGCTCATGGTGTCGCGATCGAGAGATGCAGCGAAGCTGTTTGGCGAAGGAATACGAGGGAGCGAAAACGGTCGCATCGCCTTTGACGTAGGTGATAAAGTATGGGGCTTGTTGTCGAGCAATAGGCTGCCCCCATATTGATCCCTTGTAGCTGCCTTTGATTGGGTTTCGTGAAAGTTGTGGACAAGGTCACGAAGACTCTTGCGAATGTCTTCGTCCCTTGCATTTGTCGCCTCTTTGAGACTCAGGAGATCTGTAGCATTGTCTCGACTTCTACGACTCAGCGCTGACATTTCTTTCTGTAAGGCAGTAGCAATACTGGTCAAGCTAATGATCTGGCTGGAGAGGTTGTCCAGCGCCTGCGGTGCCCGAACAAGGGCCGTCGAATCATTTGTGACATTTGCGAGAGGGGTAGACTCCCGCTCCCTCTGCGAATGCGTTGGCGTTGACATATTCTGCAATGCTAACATGGTTGCAGACTGTGGTGGCGTGTTTTCGCCCAGAATACTCTGCTGGGCGCGTCGCGCGGTTGGTCGCACTATTGGGGTCATGCTGGGCCCCGGAGTAATGGTGATGGCCTTCTCGTCCTTCTCGTCAGACTTAGGGTCCAAGAAAGGGTCGTTTCGCGACGCTCGCAATGGTGTTGACGGCCTACTTGACCTCTCTGGTGATCTGGATGAGGATGACGACTGCCCAGACTCGAGCATCAAGCTAAGATCTCGAACACTACCAGGCTGCAGCGATTGCATGCGTCGATGAGCCGAGCCCTTTACCAGTGATTTCTCTGGCGACGAGTCACCGATGCGCTTCGCGAGTGCGTTTGATACGAGGGCGCTCTCACGCGCTTTTTCAGTCAAGGCGGCATGCGCTGATTGAATGGCGGCCGATGTGCCGGCTCGTGATGTGACACTGGGCGACTGAGGATTAAGAGGCAACGGCGGTGGTGCTCTCTCCGGATCGGAGCTGTCCCACCTGCGACTGCTTAGCCGACGCCAGATAGACGCCATCTCGACGGCAACGATGAAAGAATAGCAACGTACATTGGGATCAAGGCGCGGCCATGATCAGATGAAGCAGAATGTTGATGTCTCAGATGACGGTCCCCGTCCCTCGGGGTGTCCCTGTCCGTGGGAGGCATGATACGAGATGAGCTAAAGTGGCAGTGTGGAATGTGATATGTTCGTCGCCGACGATGGAATGGAAGTGGAGGAGGGGTTCGTTTGTTGACTCAGGCAAGCGTGGCTAGCAGCCAGCTAGAGACATATAGAACTGTCAACCAATTCTCACGAAGCCTGAGTAAAACAGCTTCTTGAAGCTTGAGGACGACTATTCAGAGTCTGGCACAGTTCTGTGGCAGTAAGAAGACAAGGTCTGGCTATATTTGGCGCGATAATATCGTGAGCAGAGCAGGGCAACACAAAATGCTATAGCCGCAATCCGTCATAGGTCCGCTTTGCGACTGATTGTGTGCTGGCGTTGTTTGGTGTCGCCCCGGCAACCGTCGCGCCCAGGCTTAGCGCGACATGGGTCCTAGGCTAGCTTCCGGCAGCTGCCGCACCGTTTCTTGTCGATAAGGAACATGATACGCCTCGCTTACATATAAGTAAGCACCAAAAGACAGAAATAGTCGTAGGGTTTAGGTCAGAATAGAGTAAATGATTATCCTGCCGTCAGCCCCGGTTCTGGAGGTATCGTGCTGGGGCAGACGGGGGATACTCCGGGTTGGCATCTTGAACATTGTGTACTTGCGAACTGGAGAGGTGAGAGTTGGGTATTCTCATTGGCCGCGCTCTTGATCTTGATATGGATGCAAGCATGGCTTTTGGACCGATGCTTCTGCTGCCCTGCTGTATATAAACATATATAAATCCGCTCTACTTGCGAATCGATTACTCGAAGGAGTTTTCATGTGTCGTGCATAGTGCACAGTTTTACCACCGTAACGCCTGAAGGATCCGACACCGCTATTTCCTGTCTGCATCTCAACTCCTGCTATCCGCCATTTTTGTACATTGGCCAGGAACGGCCTTATTTCCCAGCAATCATGCCATCGAAAGCCGGGATAAGTGTCTGGGCAAGCCAGAAGGAGAACACCAGCTTCGGTCCAGTCATGAGGAGCTGTGTCAATATATTAGAACTTGGGTCAGGGCTTTGAGGGATTTCACGGAGAAGACAAACCTTGGGAACAAGACCTTTAAAGAAGGCGCCTAGACCTTCATTCCGAGCCATCTTGGAGAGAATTTTGAAGCCGCTCTCGGGGTTCTCGAAGTTTCGGTTCTGGATACGGGTCTTGATAACGTCGAGAGGAGCAGAAACGACCAGAGACGCTGATGCACCAGCAATTGAGGCAATGAAGTTCTGGAACCATGATGCCTTGTTATAATCCTGGAGTCCAAAAAGGAACTCCTTGGCAAAAGCAGAACCACCAAATAGCTACGTCAAAGATTAGCGGGGCATCTCCAGGAAAGGGCGAGAGTGTGAGCCTACCGCAAACGAGCCCGGTGCGTTACGAGCAGCTGTCCATCCCCATCCTCTGTAAAGTCCGAACCCTTCATCTTTCACGATTGCGAGAACACCACGTCCACGGAAGGCCTCTGGGTTGGTCTGTCGCTTGATCTTCAATACATCTAGAGGCAATAACACGATCTCGCCGATTCCGATAAGACTGCGAAGCGTTAGTTCTGCACTGGCAGCCGATGATCATTGTAGCCCTACCTTCCCGCAGTGGAGTGCATGATTGCCTTTCCAGTCTTCTTTCCAAATGCCTGCTCAAAGTCCTTTCCATAGTGTGTAGCAAGATAATCGCGCGCTACCGGCTGGCCACCATACTTGTATATTCTCTGGAGAACCTGTAAAGCAAAGCAATTAACATCTTGTTGAGCTTTTGTCACAGACTAGACAATGACCTTGTAACCGGCCGCATATCCCAGACCGGGAAACAACGAGACGAATTTCTTGCCCGCAGATGCTGCTTGCTTGTCCTTGAAGATAACTGCATTCAATTGGCTGATGTTCTTGACCTATAGGGTTGTGGTCAGATTGCAACTTCATAGAATATAACCATCTAGAATGCGCACCCTCGTCTCATTGCTCATAAGTCGCTTCGCGATTGTGTCGACGGGATGGAAAACTGCGAGTTCTGCAATACCAGCAGATCCTAGAAAATGTCAGCGCAAATTTACGAAACCCGATTCTCGAAATGGCGCACCAGAGCCAAGCAGTCGAGCCAGGTTAGACTCCTTCTCCCTCACTGAAGCCATTGGCGGAGACATGTTGCTAATTGATTAGTGAGGCAATGAAGAACGAGAAATGCACGACAACAGGTGGGACTTTGTGATTAATGAATGAAAGAGTCCTCTTCAGCAGAATGGGAGAGTCGGCGGGCTGATGTCGAGAAGCAGCTCCGAGTTGGCGCAATTGTTCGTGGCTCACGCGAATAGAAATTTTGTAAAATTTTGGAGCGAGCTCGCAGTAGCTCTGGGACCCCAGATGACCTCGTCGGCCCACCTGATAGTGCTACGTAAGTCTTATCGCGCCTTATCAACAGAACTTCATAGGCCACCGCCTAAGTGCAGGTGCCCACGCGCATATACCTAGGTACGTAAGTAGATACCTAGGTAAATAGTGTGCCATTGAAATCTAGAACAATTGTTCCATGGACTAGTACAGAGTAATGATTTGCGAATTTATAAGGTGTCAGAACTCAATCAACTTTGTTAGAACAACGCAGTTCATTGCAAGAGCTTCATTTCACTGCTTGTGGAGCTACCAAGCATAAAATGGGACGTTATGGCATGCAGCCCATCCTATGAGTAGCTATTATTGTACATGTGTCTGGACGGGGCCACCGTGGTACAACTCCTTTTTGTAGCCCACTGGTGAATAATGGGTGTTTTATGCCCTTCAGGACCGTAATAAAAAGGAATAACCTCCGGAAGCAACGCCTACAGATGCAATATTTTTTCCCCTGATCCAACGCCGTGAATGCAATGTGATGCTGAGCTAACCTTCCAAAACCTGGCTGTTCTAGCTTCAGAAATCCCGCAGTAGTCCAACCAAGTCATCAAGCCTCATGACATGACCTAGAAGCTTCTCCTGAACTTCCGTAACTCTGACGAACTTGTCGTAATATCGCTTTTCCATGACCTCTTTCTCTCTCCCACGAACATCTTCTCGTTGCACTATGTCAAGCACCTCTCGATCTTGCTGGCGATGCACTTCTAGCCTCTGCAGGCATCGAACCATCGCTTTGTATGTATTGTCCAGCAACCGATCGAGACATCTCTCGGTATCAGTCCAGTAGAGAAATATCGTCCGGCTAGCGGTCCGATTGTTGTCTCGAGGCACCTCTTGCATGTCAACATAACCCGTCATCTGCATCTCCAACATCTTCTTTTGGACGTCTCCTTTGGGCATCAGAGCAAGCGATGGTAATGTTTTCTCATCCAACTTGCCCTTCTGTCGTAGGATACGCACGAGGCGCAGGCCGTCTCGTCCGACGCTTTGTTCCATAACAGTATCGAGCTCAGCCTCCCGCAAATTCTGTACCAGTGGCTCAAAGTCCACTGTCCATCTGCCGCGCTTGCAATGTCGAACAAATCCCTGCTTAGACTCTGCGAGCAGTAGAAGATGTTGCTTCATTTGATCTAGGCGATTCTCTTTGGGAGGAGGGGGTTCTTCAAACTGAACCTTGGCTTCCTTATTACCATTAAGACTTGATGCCGGCTTGACAGACGACCGGTGTCCATTGGGGCGAGCGTCCTCGATTTCAGAATCGCTGCTAAGATCCAAGTCGCCCTCATCTTCATCTGGACTCGCATTGCCATCCACCTCGGCCTCGGGTGGCGGGGCAACAATCTTCTGTGGCGGATGCTCGTAAACTCTCTCTGCACTCTTTCGGTCAATCTTCCCCAGTCCCATGCGACCGACACCCGAGTAGACATCAACAGAGGATTTCAGATGGTCTAATATGTCAGTTGTAGAGACAGAGAGGCCATCTGAATAGAAATCCTCATCATCGTAGTCCTCAATCCGGGGATCGCCGTGGCAACGGGAGATCCTCTTGCACAGTAAATGCAGCAGAACAGCGTAGACCTCGGCAGTAGGCTCCCCAATAAGGTCAGATGCAGCTTGAACGAGGCGCTTATTTCGAAGTTCCACCATACACTTCTCCTGATTAATGCGAATACAAACTTCCGGCTTCATATGAGGTCAGTCTTACGAGACAAATAGCTATATCTCTTCGTCAACTTACTGGAAGAACTAAATTCGACCCAGAATCATGAACCCCATTTACGGCATTGCCGTTGGTAAGCTTGCGTCGTTTAGTGGCGCTGCCATTCTGCTGCAGCTTACGCTTCAAGCTCAAGGGTGCGTCTCTCACGTCTCGTAGACGCTGGGATAATAGTCGCGCGAATTCGTCCTTGCCCCTTTGTCCTCTTACGCTGTTTGGAAAGTAGTTTCTGAGTATGTCTTCTTCAATGTCCTTATAAGCATCCTCCGGGCTGCGAAATGATACAGCAGTCACGGCCTCAACCAATTCTGCTTCCACTAATCGACCCAAGGCGGCATTGAGCTCATCAATCGATTTTATGGCCAAGCTCTTGGCGCTGTCTCCTTCGACATGACCGTCGCCATTCGCTAGGTTCCCAGCGGCCGAGCCTGAGCCCATCAATTTGTCATGTCTCTGGATCTGCTCGTCGTAAGCGGCTGTGATCTGGGCCACCTTTGTCTGGCCCCATAGCAGCAAGCTCTGGAAAACGTCCTTCTCAGCGGCACCGTATACCGATTCGACCAGGTCCAAAATCTTTCCAACGCGAATCAGGTTATACGCACTGCCGGAATTGGCTATGTAAGTCGTCACTTTTGTGTCATTGTCGATGTAGTAATATACCAGATTGTTCTGGACCAACACGGCTAAGCCGTGTCGAATTTGTCGGAGAGTCAGGGAGGTGGTCTGCGCAAGTTGCGGGATAGATGAGCGGCCTTTACTCAGGAGAGTCGCGAAAATCCGCTGTGGCAGGAGTCAGTATAAATATTGATACAAGTGAGCCGCCGTCCCTCAGATCGCGAGCTTAGCAGCTGATGGTGGCCCTTACAGATGGAAGTTCGCCATAGATGTCGTCGATTAACAGAGCGCATAGCTCTGCGAGGTTCTTTGTCTAAGCGCATGGCCGTTAGTTCACTTGTGCCGCATGCATCCATCAGCCGTGAGGACGATCCTGACTCACCACGAGCATGATAACAGTGTAAGTTTGCAGGTGCTGAGTTGGGAATGTGGCCGCTAGAGATCCTCTCACTATCTCTAGGTTGGCCGCAAATGCTACCGCGAAGGCATTGATCTGCTGAAATCTCGTTTGTAGATCGACAATCGAGAATGCCTGTAGAGAGCGAGGCAGGTAATTGTTGCGTTTACTACTGTAAGTTAAGTGTGAAGGAGCAGGCAGGTAGCTCTCTGTCGCAGGAACTTTTTTATGGTGGGGTACGACCGAACGAGGCAGACGCAAGTGTGAAGTGTAAATCAATTTTGTACGTCAGTAGGTGCTGTAGTTTAGCGAGCCGCCAGTGTAATTAGGCAACCCTACAGGCGCCCTCCAGCGAGTCAGAGGCGAGGCAATTGATGACCCAGACCGAAGGTGGCCCTTGACCCGAAGGCGAAAATTCAACGGAACATCCAATTGGCCGAACCGGAACCATCGTCTGAGCCAAACAAAGTTGATGCATTTGCGTTGATTGCTTCGGAACGCCCTTCTACCCTCTTGTCGCAGACCCTCAACTGTCAATTGATTACGACACAGCCCTCTAACAATGATCGGCCGATCAGCTCTCGCGAGGGGGAGCAAGCTTGCCCTTCGCCAGCAAGGCTGTGTCCAGCTTGCACAGCGACGCGGCCTAGCTGCTGCTGCGACAAGCTCTTCATCATACGAGGCCACTGACATTGCCGGCATCAAGGTCGCCACGAGAGATCCCCATGGCCCAACAACCAAGCTCGCCGTCATCGCCAAGGCTGGTACCAGATATCAGCCGCTTCCTGGTCTGACCGTTGGATTGGAGGAGTTTGCCTTCAAGGTAGGGCGAAGACCTTTGCCTACAGCTAACCGGGTCATGAGCTAATTTCGTCTTCACCTCAGAACACCCAAAAACGGTCCGCCCTGAGAATCACACGAGAGTCCGAGCTTCTAGGAGGTCAATTGAATGCGTACCACACGCGAGAGGCCCTCGTACTCGAGGCTAGCTTCCTCGATGAGGACTTCCCGTACTTTGCCGAGCTTCTGGGAGAGGTCGTCTCTCAGACCAAGTACACAAGTGGGTTACAACGTCATGACTTGGGGGAAGGGAGGCACTAATCAATTTTCTGTAGCCTACGAATTCCACGAGGAGGTCGAGAGAGTTCTGCACCTGAAGCAGGCCAAGCTTGCGAGCGATGCTGTTGCTCTGGCCCTTGATTCCGCCCATGCGACTGCCTTCCATTCTGGCCTCGGATCATCCATCTACCCCATCACCTCGACTCCTCTAGGGGCCTACTTGAACGAGCACTCGGTCGCTGCGTTTGCAGGAGCTGCCTACACGAAGCCGAACATTGCGGTTGTGGCAGATGGTGTCAGCCAGTCTACGGCAGCAAAGTGGATCGAGCCTTTCTTTAAGGGTGTTCCTTCATCCTCTTCAAGCCAGCTTCAGCTGCATACTGCGGCCACCAAATACTATGGTGGTGAGCAGCGCACACCTCAGTCTGGAAGCAAGAGCGCGTTGGTGATTGCTTTCCCTGGTTACACGCTTGCATCCGACAAGCCTGAAGCTGCAGTCCTCAACGCTCTTCTAGGTGGCCAATCCACCATCAAGTGGTCGCCAGGCTTCACCTTGCTTTCCAAGGCTGCTGCAGCTGCACCGGGCGCCTCAATCTCCAGCAGCAATTTCGGCTACACTGATGCCGGTCTGCTTGCTATCCAGATCAGCGGCCCTGCTGCTCAGGTCCGAACAGCCGCAGAAGAGGCAGTTAAGGCGCTCAAGAGCGTCGCTGAAAGCCCGGTCAGCAAGGAAGATCTTACTAAGGCTATTGCCAAGGCCAAGTTTGACCTGCTCTCCGCCAACGAGCTTAGCGGCACTGGGTTGGTTGCTGCTGGAACTCGCATCATCCATGGAAACAACACATTCCAGGTCGCGAATGCTCTGAAGAGCTACGAGTCCGTGACCGCTGAGAAGCTGAAGGCTGTAAGTACTCCTATTAGTGATAAGGTCACGCAAGAAGCTAATGTTTGTCTCAGGCGGCAAAGGGACTTCTGGAGGGCAAGGCAACCGTAGCAGCTGTAGGCGATCTTTTTGTGCTTCCATATGCCGAGGATCTCGGACTCAAGGTATAGACTGCGTGGTTGGGGTGCAAAATGTATCAACAATTGAAGCCGATGTAGAGTTGAACCCTGTGAATATAGCAACTTTTCTAGACTCCCACAACATTGTTTTGAAATGACTTGTGAAGTCACTATGCTTCATGTGAACCCTCACCATCTATTTACCTGTATTAATCAAATTAGACTCTCCTATGCTAACTTTCTTTATCCATGAGTTCGTTGCCAAAATCTATGGACTCAAGGGGAAGATTTGCGTCACGTGATCCTACGCATGATTGGCCGACGAGCGGTTAATTCTGTGCCGAGCCGTTTTCTTCCCGGTCTTCAAGCTTTGGCTCTCCATCTCGATCAAACAACACTTCAAAGTCCACACAATCCGACAAAATGACGTTCGCGTGGAAAGCCGCAGGCATTACGTGAGTCAATTGATGTTTCGCAGCTGTTTTATCTCCGGATTGGTCCTAGATCTGGCGATGCGCTGCGAGACCGAATCAACGAAGACAACTTCGACTGACAATTGATCACAGCTACAACCGCTACCTGGCCATCGCCGGCCGCGTTGTGCGCCGAAGCCTGAAGGACGACAAGAGACTCGTAGCTGAGCGACGAGGCGAGATGGATCTCCGATTCTCGAAGTGGCAGGTGAGTTTGGCACGACGAAACCCAGTGGGTGGACTGTAGGCTGATGGAATATACCTCACAGGGCGGAAAGCAAGGTGACGCAAAGAACCTCGCGGAGGCTAACCAGGCGGCGGCTACCGAGCACGCTTCTTCTGGCTCGTCATAAACTGGCATGAATCAGCGGCACTGAAGGGGGGTTAGACGATTAGGACTGCGATAGGGCTCATCAGCGGATGTGTAGACCTTGGGAGGAGATGTGAAGATGGGCACCGAATTGCCCTCTGTATAGCTGTATCATACACCATCGTATCAATTGACATAGACTGATACTGCCTCATCTCATATCATGAATGACAGTGGTATCGGAAGTTGCTGCCTCGTAACATTTGGTATATCGACATAGCTGTGCCACTACCTACCTTACCCGCCTATGCACCACTAGCTTCCGTTCGTCCTTACATCGATCGTCAGTACAAGTTACTTTTGGAACTATAATTTACAGAATGGGAGCCAATTTCAGCAAGGCGATTCAGGATCAATTTCAGTTCAATGTAGTAAATGCGACCAGATTGGTGACATGTTGGGTTGTTTCAAGTGCTGTTGATGTGGTCGGCCACTTACTTTTTGGTCTTCCGTGGATCCGCCCAGTTGGTCGCTTAAAGTCACCATCAAAATATTAGCACCCCAAGGCCCAACATAAATCAGCATCGCCTCTCAGACCATTTTCATGGCCCAGACGTCGCAGAAATTCCTAGGAGTAATTGCGACTGTCAAGAATCATGATACCTAATGAAGCTTTGGTCTCCAAAGGTGAGTAACCCAGGAAGCTATTTTATCAAGGCTGCTTGCTAAGCGTTCACAAGAGCTCTCAGGGCTCTCAATCAACCAAGATCCCTACTTAGACGACACACCTCCTCCGGCGCCCAAGATCACAAGCGAAGGGGTGATATCAATAGATATCACAGACAAGTTTGTCACAGCTGCAAAGAGTATGTGCTGTCTCATCGTGACCACTTTTGACCTATGATAAATGACTGACCCTTGCGCTAGCCTTGGAGCCTGGTGAGCTGATCAAGGATGGCTACTTCACGCTCTTTGAGTCCGTTGGGGCTTTGGAGGTGCGTTGCATCCATAAAAGTGCTAATTATGATTATTGTTGACACTCCTGACTCCTAGATCATGGACTCGAAGATGGATAGTGGCTGTCTCGAGCCTGGAGAGTCTCTTGACGAGGACTACGACACGTCCCGGCCGCTACTTCCGAAGGAGGTCCTTGGGATCATTGACCAGCTCTTATGCCACGAGGTCAGCACAGTTCTACACAATTGCTTCATTAATATCTAATCAATTTACAGATGGCTTGGCATTTGGGATACCCGCTCTCACAGACAGTATTCAGCAATGTATACGTGGATGCGATCTTAAATCCAGCACCCTCATCTATACGAGATGCTCAGTTCATAAGAGACCGCCAACTTCAGGCAGGGATGTCTCCTATGCATTCGGTACTGCGCGCCTACTGCTTAGGTCTGCTCAAGGCATGCTGGTACGTCAACGAGCGTATCAAATTCGAGCATTACTACGAGGTAATATCCCATGCCCAGTGGTTTCATACACTATACTCATTTTTACCTAGGAAGAAGACTTCGTCACCAACACGTATCACCGGTCACTACTGGATAATATTGACAGAGAAGACATACGTGATATAATACAGGACGCTCGAGCACTCGTGCATAATATCAGTCACCAGATATCAGATGAGATGGCGCAAGCTCTGGATTTCCGACTAGAGCTGAGATATGCGTTTCTTAGAGCGATTGAAATCTCTGAGCTTCGGAGTCAACCAGAGTCTCTGAAGACACCTTGGATACAGATGAAAGCGATTCTCGAACCTATACGCCAGTCTCATTCACTAGGCGTGCCGGTGCCAGAGGCTTTTAGTACCAAAATTCAACGTCGGCTTGCTAGCACAATGCCTCCGCGACCTATCGTGCAGCTGAGTTTTGAGGATACGTACGGACATTTCAAGAGACTCTTCGTCGATGGCATAGAAGTGACGGATGTCCTCAAGTACTCAGACTCTCAGAGTCTTCTTGTATGTTCAAATCTTAATCCTGACCGATCCCGGCTAAACATTTGTTCAGAATTTTGTCCTGTCATTCCAAGCCAAGAAGCCACAGCCTTTGGTGTATATCCGGACGCTGCTACAGAATTACCTGTTCAAAGACATGGTGTTGTTAGGCTCTCTAAGCATTCGTCAGGTATTTGATGACGACCTCTCTATCGTCGTCCTTCCATGTAGCCGACTGCTGGATCCAGCAAACGATAATGTAGAAGCTATTCACGATCCCCGATTCGCGATAGCGCATCAAATGGAGATCTTCAGACAGAGAGCAGCACAGTCGTACCTCGACATTTTCCGGGCCTTTTGTCAAAACCGGTGCAGAGTCCGTCGAACCCTTTGCCATTCAATCCAGGATTGGGAGACCGTGCAGATTGATGCCGAGGAAATCGATCAGCTCCTCCAAGTCCAGTTGGAGGAGAAACCTATGGTGCCCGAGACGTTAGGCTCTGGGTCCGAACCCGCTTACTCATTACCCCTATCATCTTGGGCATATCTTTACAAATTGCGGCTCATGGAATGGATTGTCCAACTAGGTTTCGAGCTCGAGGTGTACCAGATGGACGAGCTAGCCGGCATGTACTGGTATCTCAGCTACCTAGCAAAGACCCGAGCACAGCACGTCGAGAGAATCAAGGCTTTTACAGTCCGGAGCCTTAATGAACATCGCGCCAGGCCACACACGTTCACAGCGGCCCAGGAAGCACAATTCACGAGGTCACTGTCCTTCCTCAGAACTACCATGTTAGATGCAGCTGTCACTTGGGAATTGGCAGATGCACTATCCAACATCTACAACGTGCTACACCGACTGAATCTAGTCGTTCCCCCACCTCGTCCTTACAGCACGGACGAGCTGCGCTACGAAATCCGAATGAAGCCATTTTCCCTGATTGGGCTTCCAGAGCTCCCTTCATTCCAGGCCTTTGCCAGAGCAACCAACCAATCGGAGATCCCAACATCAGCTCTTCTCGACTATGCGGAAAAGGCGATCGCTGGCGCCAAAAAAGGATATGAAGTTCTCGCGAAATTTGGGGAGAAGGAGGCCTTCACAGCGAACACACATAGCCGCTGGCTGGCAGGTACGAAGGATTGTCTCAAATCAGTGATCTTCGCAGGGATTGCCGTATCAACATTGAAAGGGTTGACAGTCAATGGGCCGGGAGATGAGAATGTGAAGGCCAAGGTCGACATACCGACCCCAGGCAAGTGTTATCATGAGTGGTGGATAGTGCCGAAGATCACTCGTACGACATAATGCTTGATGATAACTTAGTTCGGTCAGACAGAGTACAGTTCAGGTAGCTTCAGTGATATTCGAGCTGAATAGACGGTAATGTGGAATAGTATTGTACTTATTTCCCATGACTTGCTACTCTTGTTGATATCTTAGACATTGCCGCCTGCTCCTCCATATGCTCACACAGCATCATTGTTTCGCTTCAAAAAGTAATGGTTCGTCGGTATTCAACCTGTCACCTCTAACATGCAATCCTCTTTGCAGTCTGATCAAGTCACAAGATTCCTTACCTCCAGTCCACGGTCTCATCCGAGGCTACCACCACGAGTATTTCAACAAGATCTCCTCGCATTTCGCACATAGAATACATAACGTCAGGGCGACGTTTTCTGCCCAAGTGTCTCTTGGTCGGCTTATGGCCTTAGTTTCCCAAGCGATAACCTACGCCTTGAGCGCGCGGGAGCCCCTCAGCTTGATGGTCTGCTCATAGAGAACATCCTTGAAAGCAAAAAGGAACGCTGCTGTCAAGACACTCTGTGTGACCTTGGGGCCAATACCTACAACAAAATCAGCCGTGATCAGAGGACTGGAAATGGTTTAGGAACAACTTACCCTTATAGAGACCGGCGTAGCCCTCCTCTTTGACGACTCTCTTGATTGCCTGCGACATTCCCTCCTTCTCGCCGTTGCCAGCGACATGCATCTGGCTCTTGACGGTGATGTACGGATACGTCACGCTGGTGGCGAACAGCTTGCCGAGCGCGCCAAGGAAAAAGGCCACCGTCGGCGTGATCCTTCGCCGCTTCTCAACGGCGTTCTTCATCTGCTCGAACAGCGTGTACTGCAGGATGGGGTTGATGACCAGCACCAGGGCGGGCACAACGCCGGAGAACAGCGCCTGCGGGCCCTCGTTCTTCAGGAGAGCGAGCAGGGTGCTCACGGTGGAGGGCCGCTTGACGGGCGTGGAGGGCGCGCCGGGCAGCGACTCCTTCTCCTCGGCCTCGGCCTTGTGCTTGCGGGTGGTCATGCGCGTGTTGATGACCCAGATGGGGTTGGTCAGGATGACGGTGGCGGACCCGGCGATGGCGCCGGCGATCATGCTCTCGACCGTGGTCAGCTTCTTGCTGGCGCGGCCGGCCTTCTCCGCCGCCTTCTCGAAGAAGGCGCGCGTCCACTCGTACCAGTAGTAGTAGACGAAGTTGGTCACCGAGATGCCGAACAGCGCGCTGTCCAGGCCGGCGTAGAGGCCCGAGACGCCCTCGCGCGCGACGATGGCCTGCACCGCCTTGAGGAAGGCGCTGTCAGCGCGCTTGGACTCGACCTGGGCACGAGTCGATAGTGTGATGAGCGGGTATCTGTTGCATTGTGTAAGTTGTATTGTTCGTCAAAAAAGGTTGGATATGGTCAAGAGCCGCATACGTCAGAACCATGGACAGGATGCCGCCACCAGCGCCGGCAAGCGCGTGGGCGACATTGTCGTTTTGGGGTATCACGGGCTTGGAGTGCGACATGATTGCAGTTACAGGGTCAATACGGTGTCAAGGAACGGACTGAGTGCAAAACTCGAGAAAATTGGCATCACCAAAGAAAGGGATGAAGTCATCGGGAGTTGGTCTTTATGGCCCGGCTCTCATGCGCCCTTGACTGCTCCAAAGGTTAACGTGAAGCCGAGGTCCGGCAACTGAATTCCATTAGGGCCCCCCGCTGTGTGGGAGACCCGATCAATGCCGTACGTGCAGCACCTGCATAGCGCAACATAGCGCCCGACCCCGATTGGCTCCGGAGGAACTTGACATTTCGACAGTTCATGCGAGGAACGAAGAGCTACAAAACACCACCCAATATTTCCATTTTGTATGAGATTCTCTGAGTTGTATGAAATAGACCCGGGTTCTCTCCACGACTTTGAATCGAATAAACGCGATACGCCGTCTACGGCACAGACCCTAAAGAAGTAAGCTATTCTGCGCCACTTCTCACTACAATGAACCCAAGTGTAACATTACAGTGATCTGCGTATCCATCTCATGCTGATGCTGATGCAGACCAGACCTAATTCATGACAGAGCCGGCACGTCCAACGGTTACACATGCAGACATGTAACTCATTTCATTTCGGCAACACGCCCCTGGTGGTGCTCCTACTTGTTTATCATCTACCTAGCGCACTCCTCTCTGATCGCAGTACCGAAATTGAAGCTCACCCGAAGGTATCTGGGGTAACTAACTAGTTGCCCACTGCTACTTCATTGTACAGTAATGCGGATGGTTACTGGCACAACGAAGCAAGCATGTGAAAGGCGGGATTCGAAGCGCCGTGACTTTGCACGGGACCACGGGACCTGGAGAGTGGGAGCTGCTGCGCCGGTGGGGTCCAAAGCTTTGGGAAGCCGGCAACAGGCCCCAGTGGCCCAGAGCGCAGTGATTCGAGGCAAGGATGCGGACACAGCCCGCGCTACGTTCCTATTATTAGCACCAAAGGCTTGCTAGTACCGCCGTAGGGTAGCACCCCAGATTACGGTGGAGGTGGCTGGGCTGAACATTGGATCTCCCATGGTGAAGAGCCGTACATACATTGGATGCGCGACTGTTCGGCAGCTTCCAGCGCTGTCTGTCAAATCAGCATACGCCCTTCTACGCGACAAGCGACAGGTTTGACGACGAGGCAGGGCCGCCTTGTGTGGATGTGGATGTGGATGCGGATGCGGAAGGCAGAAGGATTCCTTCATCAACCAGCCTCCCTCGCGACTGGCACAAAGTAACATCTCGCACTCCTCACTTATTCCTTCGCGCCTATTGGCGACTCGACTTCCCTGCGTACGGCCTGTCGGATTTCTGTACAGTACGTGGCTTCTGGCCTCGTCTGTCTGCGATGTGACTTTGGGCCCTGCATTAGTATCGAGATTCGAAGAAGCTGGTCTGACAGGTCGCAGTCATCCCACTGGCTTCGCCTCAACCATATCCATCTCAGCACATCAGACGATTCCTGCGCAAAATCCACCGCCGGCGTGTTTATACAAAACGCCCCAGCGCTCCTTGGCCCCGGCAGATCTTCCACTCGTTTGTGGATCTCCCGTTTCCTGCTGAGATCGCATCTGAAGAGACTTGTTGTCAATGCGCCGCCAATGCAGAATTTTCAATCATGAATGAAGATGCATCGTGACTTTCACGTGCACTCATCTTAATAAGCACGATCCTTCCTGGTCATCCCTTTCCATGACCATCCAGCCCTGCGCTGGTTGAATCGGGGATCTGCTTTATCATGATGCAGCGACCGCCGGGTAATGGCATGCTTACCGCATCGCCAACATCGATAAGGCATCCTGCTCCGCGATCACTCGGCGTGCGACCGATTTTGCCAGACCGAAACGTCTCTGCAGATACTATCGAGGAGGCCTATGTCAGCTTCATTTTCTACTGCAATCCAGCTGTCCCTCTCGACACTGACACGGCTGCTTTAAGAGAAGCCTTTCGGACACCGCCAAAGAGTGGCGGCAAGAGCTTCAGTACCTTCACATTATTCGACCTTGTTCGGAGATTCGAGAGCAAGGAGATCAAGACATGGGCCGAGCTTGCACTGAGATTAGGGGTGGAGCCGCCGGATCAAGACAAGGGGCAGAGCTCGCAGAAGATTCAGCAATACGCCGTCCGCTTAAAGGTACTATAACTCCCTTCCCATCTGTGCATTGTATCCGGGCCTTCGGTGATGACTAACAGTCCCTCAGCGATGGATGCATTCTATGCACGTAGATGCTTTCTTCGAATACCTACTGAATAACGCTCATCCATACTGGACTCAAGTGCCCACAGATCCTAACCCAGTGAACGAGCTTGGCCGCGATGGAGTCGCCGCAGAGGACGACATGGCTTTGCGAGCCCTCCTCCCTCAGATCAGACCTCGAAGAGGAAGGAAAAGACCCGATGAAGATGAGGCGAACAAGTCGCCGTCTCAAAGACCACGGCTCGAGTCACCCATGACCACCAATGACTTCACCAGAGGTGGTGTTGAACAGCTCGACCTATGGTCGGCGCATCCGGACAATCGAACTTCCTTCTTCACAGACGGCTTTCTGAGACTTAACAGTGGAGCAGCTCAGCAAGCGGCAACGTCCTGGACAGGACAAGATATTTCTCAGACTCCTCTTACTGCCTACCCACAATCCGCAATTACCCCATCGACCAGGAATGCCTTCTGGACAGATCCTACTGAGCCCAAGTCTGCGATAACACCACAAAAGCCGAAAATGGGTAGACGGCATGGCGCCAAAGTCGTTTCGTCTGCCTGGCGGAGTGGTGGCCCTGGAGGCACTGGCAAGACCCGGGGGCGGCCGCCCATTAATCGCAGCTCGAATGATGGATCATTATCTGCTTTTCCATCGGATAGCCCAACCACCTTCAAACAAACACCACCCCTCCCTGTTGGGATGCCTTCGAACATGATGACACCGACTTCAGCGATCGCTGCTTCGCCGCAGACATGCCCGGCACCAACACCAAATATGGGACTAGTTCAGACAGAAGCGGCTCAGCAACCTCATGACCCAAGGCCGCCGAGAAGCAGACTGTCTCTGCAGGTGCCGCAACGGATCGGCGGCGAGGTACGACTTGCCACTCCTCCCCCCGTCGTAATGGTGAACGGCCAGGCAACTCCAACAACTATCAATATGGGCATGGAACAGTCCTCGACAACATATGTAGATTACTCTTCCATGGACATGTTCGGTCAACCTGCAGTCGATGCAGCGGACCCGTTCACTGGACTCGGACCATCCGACGATACGAGCCAGCCCGGTCTACATTTCCAAAATCCCAACGACCGTACAAATATGGACGAGGTCGAGAGCTTATTCATATATGAGATCGTGAGCGCGGACTGGTACGACTCGAAAAACAACCGAATACCACCCTGCAGCGTGGATGAAGCGGCCGCCATCGTAGCGCAGGTCCTAGAGAACGTTATGAGGAAGGCGTCGACACGCGAGACGTTCCTCATCAACATCGCAGCGCTGACCGGCGGTACCATTATGAAGACGACGACCAGGCTGCAGTGCTACCGCCTGCAGGAGACCGCCGAGGAGACGCACTACATGTGCCGGTGGGAGCTGCGGCTCGGCGACATCCGCGGCCAGTTCAGCATGCGCGAGACGCTCCGGCACGACCGGTGGAAGAGGCCCGATACGGATGAGGAGTCGATCAACCTGGGTGCCGACGACGGGACCGTGCCAATGGACGAGTCTGCCGCGCACTGGCAGCAGAAATTCAGGAATGTTCTGGATGTCCTAAAGAAGAAGGACGAGGAACTCGCCGCTATCAGGAGAAACATAATGCAAAGCATTAATGTCAAACGACCGGAAGATATACGGTAGATGGAAGAGGTTTGTGTAAATATGTTCGATCAACTTCTTAGACGACTTTTTTAGACGTGGGTGCTTCCCGGAGACCATTCGTTGAGATAAAAGTATCTCATCGATGAACGTGTAAGTTAGCAGGGCAAGCGCGGTATATGATACCCATTGGTTCCGTCAAATAATGGAATATTCATGAACTTTTCTCCCACTTTTGCTCTCGGGCTTCTCTTCGTCTACTTCGTAACGCTATAATGGCAGCGTGCCATCACCGTGTAATCCTCTACCAGAGTATCTTAATTCTCGTTATTATGAGACCAGCTGTAGTAGCGAGTCCTCCATAGGCTCTTTCCTGGTGCTTTTATTCCGCTGTGTGATTCATTTCCTGCTCATGCGGGATCTACAACCAGCTGTAGTTGCAATTTACAGAGCAATCACTCTGCGTAGTCTAGATCTCAGCTACCTACTTAAAGTATAGTACATCATGCTATATGTTGCTGTAAAAATCCCAGACCTATGGCGACTAGTGCCGTGAAGAGTGTGACTGGGACAGTTGCATTTTGCAAGTCCGTAGGGTTCACTTTGATTAGCCAAACCATAACGAACAGTAAGCCGAGAAACTCGACAATTCCGATGCACAACACGATCTTCCAAATAGTAAAATAATATCTTGGACGCAAACCCCAACCCTCCTTACCCATTGTCTTGACCAATTCGGGAGGAATCTCTTTTTTGGGGACTAGGTCCAGTATGGTGTGTACTCCACGACCCAATTCTGGGTGCATGATACCTTCCACGATGTGTATTGCAACCAACTTCATGTGAACGTGCTGGGGCTTGGGGAGATTGTGTTGGTACCCTAGAAGTGGTATGGGTATTTCCATTACGGCATGGGGGTCGATATGATCGGTATTGTCACGGACAACAAAGAACTAAAAGGAGAAAGATGAGACTCGTACAATGTATCTGATGCTTTGGTGAGGCTGATGGAATGCAGGAAGATCTTACCTGGATGAACTCAAAATCTCGACATGACTTCCAGGATGTGGCATTCTCAAGGAGTCCCCCTTCGACGTCTCTGAGGTTTTTCTTGACTGACTTGTAGAATTCTTCGTCATCAGCGAAGGAGTTGACTTTCTGGATGGACCGAAGGGTAGCTTTAGGAGGATCCGACCAGCGTTGATCCACGCACAGGAACAGGTCCATAACTGGGCCGGCACTGTTGCTTGGTTGATGAGTCGGTACAGCTATTGATCCGGATGGTTGCGAATGTATCTGGCTGACCGGTTGGCCGGAAGGATGCGATGTTGGGGACTGGTGATTTCCTGCGTGCGAAGTCGTGCTAGGACGCACGGCAGTATTGATGACGGGATTGTTGTGGACGGGAAGCAATGGTGCAGCACCATTCCCCAGAGGTGTGCAGGACTTCAGGTATGCAAGACCATCTTCCGAAGTCACCACCAGTGACAACTTAGAGGCTCCAGCCTACATAATCGATGAGTTAGCTGCCTTTCGCCGTTGTTGAGGGGGGACATACCTTCCAGGAAATCTTGAGCTCACCAGGATTCCGGTGATACTGAACTGAAGGAAACGGCCACCAGTATATCCGGTGGCCAACTTTGCCCTCGATAAATATCCTTAGAGTATCAAAGCTTAGCCAGGACCATTTTGGATCATACCGCGATACTTCGACTTCGCGAATCCCGTCAAAAAATCGTGTTGCGTTACTCAGTCCGGTCTATAACAAATCGTCAGGCATTACCAATGATACAGAAGAATATTACTGACTGCAAGAAGGGCCACTGTTACGTCTCTAGCTGTTGGCCTGTTAGCATGGCCAGCTAGCATCGTGATAAAGACTGGCTCCAGCTGGGAAGCAAGATTGTTTTCGACGGAAAGCCTCTTGATCCAGTCAATCACTTCTGGCTTAACTCTTTCTCCATCGTCAAAACGGGAGTCATCAAAATAATCTGTTTCAACTGTCATTCCGTCAATGGTAGCCTTTGTAGTTACCTGCGCTCTCAGCTGCCATACTCCAGCGGGACCTCCTCTTACAAGGAAGGCTTCCAACTCGAGAAAAACACACCCCAGCTTCCAGATATCGTTGGAAAGAAGTTCAGAACTTGATGGCAATTTTGTTCCTGGTTTTGCTGACTCGTTGATTATGGCCGGCATACCATAATTTGCAGATCCAACATATGAAGATCGGAAGTCTGGCGCATCGTGGAACCAAGCTGATCGCGATTCCTTACTGCCTGCCTCCCATGTTATCGCGTTCCTTAAGTCAACCGCAAGACCAAAGTCGGTGATTTTAAGCAATAAGCTTCTTCTGTCATCAGCCGGATACATGAGGATGTTGGAAGGCTTGATGTCTCTGTGTACGGTCTGTAAAGTCTCGTGGAGGAAAGTAAGTGCACTAGCAAGTCCCTGAAACTGAGTCCACAACAACTCCAAATCCAAATTCAGAGGATTCTTGTCGATATCTCCTCTGAACAGCTTCTTCAGATTCCCAGGTGCCAAGGGAAACCCGAAGTTGAAGTATTCTTGTGGTCCGTCCTCCACTCGAAATGCACAGAGTATTTGCACGATATTCTCATGATTGAGGGACGATATCCGCCGCAGGGCGTTGTATTCCCTGGTGAATTGCTTGAACGAGACATCTCTATTCAGTCGTTTTACTGCGACCTTGGCTTGCCCTTTTAGAAATCAATTTGTCGTCGTGCTGAGGCAGACTCGGAGCAATACCTACCTTAAGGGTCAGATCGTCAGCCGATGGTTCCTTTGAAGCTCGACCAGGGAGAAGGATGTGCTCCTCATATATCTCAGCTTGGCGTTCATCATATTCTTCAAAAGCCGTAAAGACGCTTTCTCTCTCTTCATCAGTCAACTGCCTAGGGAGGTGCACTTGAATCCCGTGATCGTGGGTAGCCTAGTCAAAGAACATAAATAACCATATCAACACCCATGCCTCGATAATGAACGAAACTCTTGCCCCTGCGAGATTCTGTACTCGCTGACTGACATGATGTGGAAACAACACTGATATACCCTGATATAAATATCCCGCTGCGGCAATATAGACCCTAAGTTATTCCGGAGGATTTCTTCCCTTGCATAGCGATGGCCAAATGTGTCGGTCGGGACGAAGGACTTATCCATTTTGCTTGACGTTCCCAAGGCCATCCTGATTTGATAAACACGATTCGTATTTGTTGATCTCACTTAATGTTGCTAGTTGCTGCAACTGGATCGGCGTCTTCGCTGTTGCCTCGAGGCTGAGTCCTGTCTCGAGCCCTATTGTCAGAGGACGAATCAAGAGAAGACATACTTTAACGAATCAGACAAGAGTTTGGAGTGTCGCAAACTCGAACCAATTTCACCTGCGGGGTCAAATCCGTGTTGTAGGTATTTGTTTCATGATAGGTGGTTGTTCAACATGCACAAGATACGCACTATCAAATCAAAGTATCTTGGTGGTAAATAAGGACGCTGGACCTGAGCCCTGCTGAGTCGCTTATTACGACGGCGAATCTTGTCGCGGTTTCGGTCTTACTATGGTCTGTTTCTTGACCGATGGCAACAACGTGCTGGTCGTGTTCGTGGGGAGCAACTAGGTCTAATGATGGCGACATAAAAGGCAAGTAGCTAAGTCGGTTCCATAGGTAGGCAGTAGCTGCCGTTCAGACCAGCTATGAAACCAGTGACCGAACTACGGCTTTTTTGGTAGTCAAGATCTTTCCTGTTGATCATGGCACCGTCATCCTTGACTGCCTAGAATATCTATCCCTACTACCTAAGCTTTAATGACATTAGCATCGGCAATGCTGCTTCGACGTACGTCTGGCGTGTCAGCTAACAGTCGAAGATCTGGAGAAGCGACAATTCATTGCTTAACACAACAACGTAAAAATGCCAGAAGACGGTCTCAGAACCTCTCTACGATAGTTCTCCGAGATGATTTCCATAAGATATCAGGGCTGTCAAGTTAATCTCGACAGTAGATTGAGTTGACACCTGGGACTGCAAACCGACTTCAACTGGTATGACTGTCTGTTCATGAGTTTCCATTCAGCCCAATTCGTTTGTGGAAACTGTATGGAGATCTGCTCAATGGGAGTTGGACAATTAGTCGAAAAGATGATAGTGTGATCAATTCAACTGGACCTAAACTGTCATATTGAGCCCGGAAAGACATTACTGCGCGATCACTGTAACCAGAAGACTTCATCTCACTGGTCTGAGAGCCTTCGTGTTCAGGATCTCAATCCTTTGAAACCCCGTTAATATTCTCAGTCAATCAGGGAAGCAAAGTTCACTATTTATGATGATCACTATGCATCTTGATAGAAATGGGTAAGGCAATTATGGGGACGGAAGCCTCGGACGACCTTAGTTCAACACACTACGACAATGAACATGGCACAGAATCCTCATGACAGCAACTAGTTTCCCACTCTATCGTACTAAATTATTCGAGGAAGCGAAATAAGCGTTGAAATTCACGTCTTATTGGCGTGAAGCTCTCAGAAGCATTTACTCTTCATAGAAACCGAGCCGATGGAGGGTGTCAAGGGCTAATGTCCAACCTTGGTTCCGCAAATGGTGTTGCAGGCGGCTGACATCGAAGCCACCTTTCTGGATACCGAAAAGGTCCCAGAACAATATCCGATATCAGATTCTCTTGTAGTAATACTGTATGGTGGCCAGTATATGCAAGCTTGTCACGCTTGAGACCTGGGTTGAGAGCTTCTTTTTTGGCACTTTTGTCCTTGGGGTTTTCAGCCAACCTCTTTTGTATACTAGCTTCTGTCTTTTCACGACATCTCAAATGATGCCTTTTTCTTACTCTTTTTACTCCTCCGCCAGGGTAATAAATGTTCGTCCGGAAAGGGTATCACTACCTCCTCAATAAGGGGTTACTACCGTTGTAGAAGTTGATAGACCCGTAGCCATAGAAAGAATATTCGAGAGCTTAAAGAGTATTACCACTCTCAACGAGTATCGTCACCCTTCAAGAAATAACGTTAATTACCCTGGCGGAGGAGTGCGATAAAACACATGATACTCGCCCTGGCAAGGCAATTGATGGGGATGGCATGCAAGGCATGGATGATCGCAAGGGCGGGGGAGAGGTGACCGACTTTTTGATGCTGGTGGAGCTATGCAAATCCTCGTTCATCGCACGCGCAGCCATGCTCGTGGATCTCGCAAGACTTGCTGTACTGGCCATATTCTCAGTTCATCCCTCTGCCTGAGGAGGACTAGGACTGAGTCAGGAGGGCAGCTGTCCACTTTCTCGTGGGCAACCCCACAGGCGACGACCAACCGGTCGCGCGGTATGGGGCAAGGTGTGGGATCTGTTGCAGATACGCGGCCGGCGATCCTGTGGGCTTGGCTATTTTCAAAGTAGTATCGATCTGAGCTGGAGCGCGATGGCGGGCAGCACGATCGCCTCTGCCGGGAACCAGCGCCGAGGTAGCAGCTCCAGCGAGGGCGCCCACCATGATTTCACGGGACGTTTCTGCTCATTAGTTGACATGATATGCTAAGGTAAGGCGAAGCATGATATGTTATAGGTAGTGTGGTTGGTTGGGGTGCTGGACCCTTTTTCATATGATTGATTCCCTGCTTCCAGGTTTTGCTGGCCTCTTCCCCGCCGAGCGCAATTTATGAACTCATGGTCCATTACCCGGCTCTCTGGAATTGCAGACGGGATGGCGGAACATCCCAGAGCCAGCCAGCACTGCCACACGCCAGTCGATTTCCACGCGATCTGATCTGGCGATGAGATGCTACATGTACAATATGACGTGGGCTGGTGGTTGGCGGCCCGATGTGTCAACTCAGTGTCGGTTACGCCTTGGTTCACACTTATTCAGGATGGACATCCAGACCAAGTGTAGAGCGGTCCTGGCATTGTAGATCTCTAATAGTTGTGGGCATTCTGTCATTGTTTCAGAGCATGATCTCTGTGGCCGCCGTTCAAGGCCTTTTGTCAGCATGCATCGCCCTGTTCCAGCTATCTGTCGGTCTGAAGAAGATGTGCAGCTCCGCAGGCGCGGCTGAAAGCTTGGAATTAGAGACGCGACGGTGGTTTGGAGGCGCGAACATCGTTATTTCAAAATCCAGGGTCACGAATGCTGGGGGCAGCTGGAGCAGTTAGAAGTTAGCGACGCGGTGCCGCTGACGACTGGCAGCATTAGCGAGGAGGGTAGCGCGAGAGGTGTGGTGATATGACGGCCAATTAAGCCCAGATCTGCCAGGGGTCGGCCAAGATGAAACAGGATGCCGGGAAGGCCCAGCGCGGTTTGAGAATTACTGCATAGTAAGTCCCCTCGGTCCCCTGGCGGCGGACGCCTCCCGCCCTGCCAATGCTCTTCTGGCGCTGTTCTGGCGCCCAAGTCTCGGCTGGTGGATGAGGAATTGCACGATGAGGACCCCTGAATTTCGAAAGAATAACATATGTAGTCCACCTTGATTACCTACAGTAGGTACTTTTTAGCCAATTGGTTGGCGAGGTAGGTACCTAAGCCGAGAGAATCAAGATCCAAGATCCTGAGGGCGGCGTGAGTGAAAGAACTGCACAAGCCGTGGACTCTTGCTGGTGGGCCGAGATCGAACATGAGGACGACAAGCCATTACCAGGTACCGGTATCCTGCAGCGTCAGTCTGGCTGGTTTGGTGGAGCAGGCCAACGGCCCACCTGGGCCACTACCGAGTTTTTCTTAGCAACCTCTTGGAATGCACGACGTATCCCTGTCTCCACAGCCTGCCCCTGAGCACTGCACTGGTGGCGCGCTCGATCCCTCCCTCCATGCCCATTGACATACGAACAGTACGTACTCTTGTTCGTTTGGCGATGGTGATTTGCAGTGATTGGAGCTGGGAAGCCAAATCTCCGGGTACCTTGATATGTACTTTATGTATGTAGGTAGCTAGGGAAGGAGCAACAAAGATCGGGAGATCCCATCCATAACGATTGTCTCTTATTCTCTGGCCCCCTCCATCTATCCATCCATCCATCGTAACCCCTCTCTCCCATCTTCTTTCGAACCTCAACACCAACTCCTCCTCCCAACATCACACTCACCGGCATCATATCGCCCCTTTCCTTGAGTCTTTCTGTCGTTTTCTGTCCTCATCCCGAATTACGTACGTCGTGGGCGGCTGCTCCACTCAGAGCATAACGTCACACGCTGGACCCGGCCGTTTAAAAATCTTTAGGTTCGCGCTACCCAGACTCACGCTCGTAACGGACAACACCAACACTCGCTGAGAGTCTTTGTTGCGGTGCGATCGTTGCCACACCCATTCATTGTGCGCTCCAGTTTCTTTCAAAGTCTCCTCCTCAATTAGAAAAGCCAGGAGCTGCCATACAACCCTTACTCTGCATTCCAGCATTCCAACTTCGAGAAGGATTTGATATCCGCTCATCAATCACTTTGTACCGCGCCTTACAGCCCTCTCGTTTCACTCCCAGACATCGCGGCGCACATCGAGACCCCCACCACATTCCTACACGCCGCGAAAACCCTTCGATCGTCACCCACCCCGCGAATTTTGCGTGCCCCTTTAAAGCCCTGCCGCAAGGGCTGACTCCTGGAGGGAGCCACCATTCAAATCGATGTCTTTACGTTCTCCCACGAGGTCACCTGGCAGGATGGGTTTCATGCCACTCAACAACCAGGGGTACCAGGGCAATGCCGACGGCGATATCCCCCTTACCAAAGTCACCACTTCCAGCTCCTCTACAGGCGCCCGCAAGCCCAACCAAGCTCTCCCCGACGACATGGCCGGCGAAGACATGAGCGAGAAGAAAGGCTTCTTCCGCTCTCGTAGCAACAAAGGCCCTGCGGGCAGGCGCAAGGTCCACAAGGACTTGAAGGAGAAGGGCCGACAAGGCAGCTGGGGCTCCAACGACATGTCCCTCAATGCGATGGGCCGTCTATACAACAAGATCATTGGCTTCTCCGTCATCACTCGCTACCTCGTTTACGTCGTTCCGGTCGCCATTCTGCTCGCCATTCCTCTCGTTCTGCTTCCCGTCACTGGCCACAAGGATGACATCCATGTCGGTGGACAGTTGAAGAACTCCGATGGAACACCTGCTACCGATGCCAACGACAAACCCATCATGGGCCCGAGCCTGTTCTACCTCTTTCTTTGGATCGAGATCTCATGGCTGAGTGTTTGGGCCGCCAAGATAGTCGCCCATCTGCTTCCCGGCGTATTTATGTTCTTCTGCGGCGTCGTTAGTTCTGGTACTCGAAAGTATGCGACGGTCCTCAAGAACCTGGAGATTCCGCTCTCTCTATTCATCTGGGCCTTGATTTCCTGGCTGGTATTCAAGAACTTCTTCAAGAACACCTCGTTTGAATGGATTTCAGTCATCACAAATATCCTAGGAGCTCTTTTCGCCTCTTCTGCTGTTTTCCTCGGCGAGAAATTTATTGTCCAACTCATTAGCATCACCTACCACCAGCGATCGTTCGCGAACAGGATCAAGGACTCGAAGCACGAAGTCTTTCTGCTTGGTCTGCTGTATGATGCCTCGAGGACATTGTTTCCCATGTACTGTGACGAGTTCAGCGAGGAGGACTACATCATCAATGATAGCATCGAGATGATGTTAGCGGGCAAGCGTGGCCACAAGAAGTCCGGGTCCGTCACGCCAATGAGATTGATTGGCAACGCTGCGCGAATTGGTGATAAGGTCACATCTGTCTTTGGAAATATTGCCTCTGAGATCACGGGCAAGCAGGTTTTCAACCCCAACTCCGCCCACTCAATTGTCGTCGAGGCTCTGGAGAAGGTACGCACCTCAGAGGCCCTGGCTCGACGAATTTGGATGTCCTTTGTGGTCGAGGGCAAGGACTCACTGTCCTGCGACGACGTTATTGAAGTTCTTGGACCAGCACACAAGCTAGAAGCTGAGGAATGCTTTGAGGCTATTGATTCGGACCAGAACGGAGATATCAGCTTGGACGAGATGATTCGCAAGGTGGTCGAAATTGGCAAGGAGAGGAAAGCCATCGCACATAGCATGAAGGACATCGGCCAAGCACTTCAGGTCTTTGACTCGGTTCTGCTTTTCCTTGTCTTGTTGCTCGTCGTTTTCATTTTCCGTAAGTGCTCGCCTTGCTCAATGGTCTGGATACAATGACTAATCATGTTGCAGTCGCCTTCTTCCAGAGCAGCTTCATCACCACCCTGGCCACCGCTGGTACTGCTCTTCTGTCTCTCTCATTCGTCTTTGCAGTCACTACCCAGGAGTTCCTCGGTTCTTGTATCTTCCTCTTCGTCAAGCACCCGTACGATGTCGGGGATCGAGTCGACATTGTGGGTCCTGAGAAGGAGCAACTCATCGTGGAGAGAATCTCTTTGCTTTATACCGTTTTCACCCGCATTGATAAGATGCAAGTTGTTCAGGTGTGTGATGTCCGTAAATTGTCTGCCAGGCAAAGTCTAATGTGAACGAATAGGTTCCAAACATCATCCTCAACAATCTGTGGATTGAGAACGTATCCCGCAGCAAGGCCATGAAGGAAGTCATTGATGTCAACGTCTCTTATGATACTTCCTTCGAGGATATTGAGCTTCTCCGACTGGAGATGGAGAAGTTTGTTCGCAACTCTGACAACTCTCGCGACTTCATGCCGGATATTGCCATCAGTGTTGGCAGCGTCAACGACTTGGACAAGATGACTCTCAAGATTGCCATCAAGCACAAGTCCAATTGGCATAACGAAGGAGTTCGCGCTTCACGTCGTTCCAAGTTCATGTGTGCTCTGGCATTGGCTCTCAAAAAGATTCCTATCAATGGTCCTGGCGGTGGCGGCGAGCCACTTGGCGGACCCACCAACCCTTCTTACTCCGTTACCGTTTCTGATGCTATTGCTGCCGCGGCTCGTGATAAGGCTGATCGGGACAAGGACGCGGCTCGTATGGTGCCTTCTAAGCCAACTCAAGACGCCTCGGGCAGTCCGACTAAGACTGAACAACAGGCAGTTACAGAGCTTAACATGCGGGACGCCGCTTCAACTGTCGCCGATCAGTATGGCTACAACCGCGATGATGATACTTTGAACGAGCGGGAGGAGTCGCTCGACCGCAAGAGATCGAATGACATCGAAACAGTTCGCCAAGAACTGCTTGCCAAGACCCAGAGTCAGCGCGGCCGAAGAAAGCCTGGTGAAGGTCTCCCTCCAATGCCGCTTGGCGACAACATGCCCGGAGTGTCCGTGAGTCAGTACAACTCTCCCCAGTACAACCCTCGCGTCCGATCATTCGATGTTGAGTCGCAGAACGGAATAGCGCCTCAGCCTCAGACTTTTGCCGGGGTGCCTCTGGGTAATCCTGCCAGCGGTTCTTCTCAGCAAAACTACAGCGTCTTTCCCCCGCCGTCCAGGACATACTCGCCCCCTGGATCAAGCAGCAACAACTTAGCAGCCATTCAAGCTGCGGCGCCCCATCCTCTTCAGAGTGCACCCACTCCCAGCACGACATCGAGGAGCAGGGGACAAAGCATCTCTAGGACTCAGCCAGGACAACAAGGCTATTCCACCACGCGCCAGTATCCTGGCACGTAGGTTATTCCTTAGTATATAATGACTAACGGCCACAACGTTGAGGAGGAAATGGTCGTCATCGCTCAGGAGCGATGGAAATCTTGGTGGATTTACAGCATAGCTGTTGCATGTATCATAGGGTACACATATGATCCGTCCGGGTCTAGCTCACAGAAGCTTACTATGACATCTGTGTCATGATGGAGTTATTTGCTTTGCATATTAGAGATAGTCAAGACGGCTACACACATAGACACAGTCAGTCATGATATCATAGACTACAAATTCTATTTTTTCTACTTTGATCAAGCTCTGGCAGTAGATACCTCCCATTGTCGTGATAAAAATGACATGTCTATCCCCCAGCTACCCAGTCCTCTCACATGGCTTCCAGCCAGCTCAGCAGACGTGCTCCACGGGCGGCAAGCCCTCCCGCGCGCCCAGGTCGACCTTGAGCGTGCGGCCAAACAGCTCGAGCAGAACCTCGAAGCACGCCTTTGTGATGGCCGGGTCGTAGCGGCCCTTGCTCAGCTCGTCGCGGATGAAGGCGTGCTGCGCCCACGCGAACTCGTGCCAGCTGAAGACGACGCCGGCGGCGCGCATCTTGGCGCGGATCAGGTCGCGGCCGGCGTCGGGCACGTGCGTGTCCTTGATGCCGAAGATCATGGCCACCTCGCCCCTGAGCGCGCCCAGGTGGTCGATCGTGTGCTTGGAGCCGGAGGGCCCGGCCGCGGAGGTGTCGGCCGCGGTGTAGGGGCCTAGCGTGCGCGAGTGCACGTCTGTCGCGAAGTAGCAGACTGTTGCGGAGATGCGGGCGTCGAGCTGGGGAGGTTACGTTAGTCAGGGGATGGGTCGGATGGTAGGAATCTTAAAGAAAGGGGTAGGGGCTCTGCATACGCTGGCGCGGAGGGCGAGGTGGCCGCCGAGACACATTCCTGTGGCGCCGATGAGGCCGGTGCAGGTCGGCAGGCTCAGGAGGTAATCCACTGTCTTGTAGGAGTCTGCGTCATAGGATTCGAGTGTCTGTTTAAGGAAAGGAGGTCAGGCTTTCTAGACTCGATATCTTCGGGCGGTGACTAGACGCTTGCCTTCTTGATCTTCCACTCGTTACCTTGATCTGTTCCCGGTCCATCGTACGCGAGCGGCTCGGGCCCGGTGAAGTCGTGATAGCTACTTGGTGCTGCAACGATGTACCCCTGGCCGGCAATCTGGCGAGCAAATCGAGCGACAGGCCCAGTCACTAGGTAGATATCAGTATGTGCTCAATGAGATTGGGGCTTGATGGAGCGTCTTGCCTTGATAGATCTCGCTGAAGAGAACGACTCCTGGGAAACGTCTACGAAAAGTTCTTAGTATAAGGACTCAAGCAAGCCTCGTTGAGAAGACAATTGAGGTATGGCGTACGCATTAGGGTATCCCGGGATAGTCGGATGGAATAGAAATATTCCTAAGACAGTTGTAAGTTTTCATGGTCTTGAGCTTGCATTGATATCTTCATTGATACTCACTCATGGAACTGTCAACGCCATTGGCATTGGTCTGAACATCGGCATGGGATTCCTTGATGAGCATGGCGAACACTTTCTATATGAATAGGGAGGTTAGGGGTGTTGACTCTTTGACTAGACTGTAGATGGAGGCTCTGTAAGGAGCTTTATCGATTTAGGATCAAGGAGTCGTTCAGAGGGACTTGGGAATGTATGTCCTCTTAGTAAGGAGAAGAGCTACCCCGCCAAAAGATGTTGTTCATGATGGTGGGGTTAGATCCACTGGATAGATTAGATAGATCTGTCAAAGTCTTGGAAGTTCATCCAATCCAGTACCTTACATTTGCCACCGTCAAACTGATATAGGAGTTTGAAGGTGTTACCAGAGCTGTTGTGGCAACATTCTTAGAATTGTCTAGGTCCTGGCCAACGAGTCGGCGTCTAGTCCTGAATATATACCAGGCTGCATGGGATTTGTCCGGATATCCAATACTCATAAGTTCAATTAATTAAGAGAGCTACCTACATAAGAGATCTGTCAGTCCTGGTTGACAGGGCTACCTATGTTTACTAAGAAAGAGAAACAGCAATAGCTTGAGTAAATTAGGCAGTTATGATCCTTGTGTCGTGTCTTAAGTTCTACCTTGTCGAAGCATACCTGTGGTTATGGGAAGGCAAGGAGTGTCGTCTCTGGTATCAAGCACCACTGCAGGATGTCTCAAGGAAATCGAAGGTACCGAACTAGAGTCCTTGTTCTGTTTAAAAAATGGTCTCTTTTTGTCATCTACAATACTGGGAATTTAATTTCGGCAAGTCAGGCTGCGAGGGTTTCTACCGCCTGTTTCAGGCTCCTTTTGGTTGATTACTGGTTGGCTGGCGACGGCTGCCTTGTGACCCCGCTGCCTCGTTCACTTGACGACGACTTGGGCAAACCTCACTTAAGTAAATGGTCTTGTACACCGAGCTCGCCGGGATCAAGAAGAAAGAGCTAGAACAAGAAGGTCCACTGCTCCTATCTTTTTCCGGGACTTTGATCTTCTACTCTGGATGCGCCCTTGAATTTTTTTTTTTTTTTTTGGTTTTTTTGTCGTCCGCACTTTCCTAGACAGTCATCGGGAACAAACTTCCCCATAAACCAGGTAGCCTTCCAGAATGCACTTCCATTTATCGTAGGTAACCACCAACTAGACAGACACAGCCTTCATCGCCAAGGCTTGTGAGACTACTATCCCCCTCTGGTGCTATCGACGACGTCCTCTCATGTTGATCCATGCTCGCTTGGTCAGCTATCTTCCTTTAGAGCGCTCGACAATAACACTCTCGGTCTGTTGAGGCGGCGCTCTTGTCCTCACTCTTGTTCCCTATCCTCAAAGGGATTGAAGCGGCTCCCACCCTCACCTTAGGCAACACTCACAGAAGGTGACTAGATTCCTCTACAATCTCCGAGGTACATTTTCCAATCTGTTCACCTGCTCGGCTGCCTCAGGGATTGTGTCGTCATCCGTCTCTCACCTCCATCACCACAGCATTTTCCAGGTTGATTTGCTCAATCTCCCAGGTGACAGCCTTCGTCGTCACTTGCAAGTCACACCTCATTGCCATCCTCAAAGCAATGTTCTACGGAAAGCCCACATTCATCATAATCTGACATAGCCAGGAGTTGAGGATGTCGATTAAGCGCTTTAATGCCGACGTAAGAGCGGCTGTGGTGAAGGTCAAGGAGACAAAGAGCTTCGACGTTACCTCCGTTAGTAGAGGAGATTCTGATGGAGAGTTCACTGCCACCTTTGAACATCCTGCTCTTGCTTCGCCACTGGACATCCGTTTCCTTGCCCAAGGTATGTGTGTCTGCCACGCCCAGTTGTTCATTTGTTGCAGTAGGCGCCCTGCTAACTATATACTGCAGATACCTCGGAATACCCAGATGGAAATCATTTCCTCATATTTACGGATAGTGAAGATGTCCCGTCACATATCGCCAAAGCCCTACAGGAGCTTGGATCGTTCTCGTTTGGACAGACCGTCCTGGAGATGATTATGACTGCAACAAAGCATCTGACTCGAACGTTGGCGTCCAGCTCAGACGAACCCGACATCGATGGCGACAATGATGTTGAAATGACTGACGCAGAAGACGACGACATGTACGATGATGACTTCGATGACGAGGACGGATTTGACTATGACCAGCATTTCGGTCTGTCATCCGCTCGTCTTGAAGCCTCCGTCCCGGTCTCTGCTGCTCAAAAGCTTGGCCTGGCTATGAGCCAACGAGTGAAGCGAGATCTTCGCAAGGTTCGTGAAGCTGGCTTCAAGATCGGAATCCTGTGTGGCCTTGAACCTGATTCCCGGTCAAGCATCATATCCATGTCAATCCGCGCCAGCAAGCTGCTTCTTTCTGAAGAAGCTCTGCAAGCTTGGGATCTCGACAATGCTGACTATGTCATTCTACTCATGAGAATCGACGGAATATATCCCATGTTCGACAGTGTGATTCAGAGACCGGCATCGAGCTTCAATGTGGAGTTTCGCTTTGGAAAGTCGATTAAGTACAAGCCATCACTCCACCAGGCCCTCGCAGCATTTGCAACATCCAAGCGAGTCTTCGACATCCCAGTCTCGCGGAATGTTAGCGATAAGAGCGACAGTCAAGAAAAGTTTAAGAAACTTTTCATTTCCAGCTCGCTCGAGCAATACATGAATGAAGCATTCCTTTCTTTGGCCAAGCTTCGTAACAATAATCAAGGAATGTCGTGGGACCGCGCAAATTCGATGTTTCGGTTTATGAATGGAGGGTTTGACGCCAAAGAGGAGATGGATTCAGTTGAAGTAGACACGAGCCCTAGCGAGACATCCAAGGCTCTCCCGCCTGTCCTGCTCGTGGATCATTTAACAGACACGGGCGAGCGAAGCATGCCTCTGATTGCGATGGAATTTGCGATGCGATACTTCGTCAGATGCAACGAGTTCTGTCTGCGATGCCATTGTCCACTGAAGGAACAATTCGAGGCCCTCAAGCCATATGTCTGCGCAAATCCTCTCTGTCTATTTCAATATATGGCATTGGGTCTTGGTCCTAGCATCGAACATGAGATCCTGACTCAACCCTACGTTGTCGATCTCTTGGTCAGTTTCTGTTATGCTGCCGTCAAGAATCCAGCCCATATGAACCGCCCTTGGCAGCCTGGTCAGCCACAGGCGTTGTCACGCTCTATCCGTGAATATCCCGTCGGTCTTCGGTTCAAGGTTCCACACATGACTTTCGATGAAGATGACAGCTCACTCATCGAAGTCAAGGTTGAGCCCGATTTCGCAAGAGTCAAGGTCGAAAACTTCAAGGACATGGACCGTTTAGCCGGAAAGACATGGGTTGTTTTTCATGAAAAACTTCCTCACCAACTACACCGGATCCATCACGGCTATATCACTAATGTTGATACACGATCAATGACCGTGGAAGTGGAAAAGATGGGGCTATCAGTACTTGACCCCCTGACGATGTCATCTTCACGAGCTGGCCCAGCCGCCGCCGCCGTTTATGGCGTAACAGCAGACCAGCAAACACCCCATGCAAAGGGCCCGCCTGGCCCCAAGATCATGCACATGGCCTTGTACGAGGATGATTTCGATGATCTAGACGAGGATAAAAAGTCGCTGGCGATGTCCCTGGTATTGGATACCTTGCCATCCATCATAGAATCCAGAAGTCATCTTGCTCGCCACCCGCACAGTCGGTTGAGGTCATGGGAGAGGATATCGCCGGCTGCAGCAGCACTGCTCGAGTGGATCGTTGCTTCTAACCGCTCTTGCATTTTCCAAGTCGACTACATTGCCGAAAACGTAAATGGCACGGTTCCCGATGATACTGGATCAACGGCCACCACAGATCTTGCCAATACACCTCCCATCAAGTTCCGCGAGAACGAAAAGATACCAGAGATGGATGGCTGGGTGCAATTTCGCTTTGCGCAGGGCTCGCCGGACAAGGAACTTCGCTTCAGTCATGCATTGACCGAGGTAGCAGCCAGGAAGAATCTCCAATATCCTACATTATTCGCCTGGCACGGAAGTCGTTTATCGAATTGGCATAGTATTCTTCGCCATGGCCTCGACTTCAACGAGGTAATGAACGGTCGAGCATTTGGGAACGGTGTCTACTTCAGTCAAGAATTCCATACCAGCTCTGGTTATGCTGGTGCTGGAGGTGCTGCTACTACGTGGCCGAACGCTTCCCTCAAACTGAACTCGGCTTTGAGTTTGAATGAGATCATCAATGCCCCTGATGAGTATGTGTCTTCAACCCCCCACTTAGTTGTCGCCCAAGTCGACTGGATTCAGTGTCGATATCTCTTCGTCCAGCGGTACGTCGAGTACACAGTAGCCGACTACATGAAACAGGCAAAACAAACGGTTCATCCACAGTTGACTTCACACTCCGGCGTACCACCAAAGGAAGACAAAAAGCCAGAGCCCCAGATGTTGATCCAGGATCCTCATCGTACAGTCAGAGGCCCAAAGGCAACGCAACTCAAAATTCCACTTGCCGCGATTCCCAGTGCTCGAGTGCCTCAGGGGCAAGCGGTAGAGTCCAAACAAGGGAAGGAGCTCGATGACCCCGTTTACTACCAGAGCGATGATGAGGAACCCGAAGATATAAATTTTCTACTTGATTGGGAAGGCACAACGGTCCCTCAAAAGAGGACAATCTCCCGGATTTCCAGCACTGAGCCTATCAAACCATGCGCACGACCGCTAACACCAGCGTATACTGGCCAACCCCTGACCGATTTTCGGCCGGGAACACTTGATCTCAAATCTCTCCCGATACTCCAACCGCCGTCTTGGGCCACCGACCTTGCTAGGAAGCAAATTGGTAAAGAGATCAAGAAATTGGCCGAGGTGCAAGCTCGAACACCACTTCACGAGCTTGGCTGGTACATTGATGTCGACAATATAGAGAATATGTTCCAGTGGATTGTCGAACTACATAGCTTCGATTCTCAGTTACCGCTGGCAAAGGACATGAAGAAGGCAGGAGTCACGTCAATTGTTCTCGAGATTCGTTTCGGCCGCGAGTATCCAATAAGTCCGCCTTTCGTTCGAGTGATCCGGCCCCGATTCCTCCCGTTCATGCAAAATGGAGGCGGCCACGTCTTATCGGGTTTGTGTGAATTAAAATACTGTGTAATGTATGACTTAACTAACATATATGACAGGGGGGTCAATGTGCATGGAGCTCCTTACAACAAACGGGTGGACGCCTGCGAATTCCATGGAAGCCGTGTTACTACAAGTGCGCATGGCGATGTGCTCCGTGGACCCTCGGCCGGCACGACTTGAGAGAACAGACGGTCCGGGAGGTAGCTACGGCATTGGCGAGGCTGCAGATGCCTTCACTCGTGCAGCTGTAACTCATGGATGGACCGTGCCTAACGATCTGAGAGAAACTGCAGGTCAGGTTGGCTTTCCCGGAGTTTGAATCATTCAGATGACAGCAACGATAGGACAGGCGTTCGGACACGGTAAAAAATTCGGCTTTTTTACGAGTAGCTAGGCCATCCATCGTGTCAGACACCATAGGGGGGTAACTTTCCGGTCATGCATGCAAATAGATACCCATAGCTAATACCAACTTGAATTTTCGAGAACTGGTCCTATGACCGTGCCACTGGTGCGAACTTCGACAACATGTTGAATGTTCCCTCTTGCCAGAGCCACCAGATAGCGGTGTAGAACTTCGGCTTGCTGCTTTACAATCTAGAACAGGACCCTCACCGCCGGGTTGCCAGCAGGACACTTCACGATAACTCCACTGAGAAGAAACGGTTAGGGCTTCAATAGCTCGCTACACCTCAGTCTAAGCAGCACGCCGTCACGCACCACTGGCAGCATGCCTTGGCTTGATACGCCGTTGGCAACAACGACATCGGAGAAGGAGAAACAACACATCTGGAGCCACAGTTGACAACAACAAGATCACATTCCCATGAGGAAGTGTAGTCGGGAGTCAGGTGATGTATGAAGCCCCATAGCACCATGCAGGTAACCAGGTAGCCAGCGGTTGCGATGGATGGTGGGAGAAGACAGCCAGCCCTGTGTCAATCGGGCAGGGCTGCATGACGAGCCGAACAAAGAGAAGATGTAGAAAAGGAGGCTCACAATGGAAATAGGAGACGGGCGTGGGGTGGGCCCAGCACGGCCCAGCCCAACCCAACCAACGCAGCCGCCCGCGCGCGCCTCACTGGAGGAGCTGGCGGCCGGCGGCGGACGTTGCGGACCGTTTGACATGGCGACGGAGATGTAGGATGGGGGGCCATGGGTATGTTCGCCCTCTGTTTCCCCCGGGGCGAACCTGCATGAGACAGCAACGCCTTGCAGAAAGCCACCTCACCGGGGCGAAACGCCAGCCAGCAGACGGTGGAAGAAGCACAGAAATGTGCATGAGGGGGTCCCTATGGGGAAGCCTGAAGAAATCCCCCGACGAATACCAGGCTTTTTGGCTGGAGGTCTCATCCGCACGAGAGCACCACCCCCTTTACCGCTTGTGATGTGATGTGTTGGGTCCGCATTGCCTTCCTCATCTCGGACCGGACTCTTCAAGTCACACCCGAACCATGAGAGAGAGAGAAAAAATGCGTCGCAAACAGCGGCAACGGAGCTCGTGAGTATTCTAGCGCAGGTCGAGAAACAAAAAAAAAGGGAGGAAATGAAGGAGGGAAAGATAGAAGAGGGAATAAGGGTCTGGGTTCGTCGAAAATGTGATGTTGGATGGCGATCGTGCCTTAGCGCACGACGACCATTGGCGCCCACACCACAGAAGCGTAAAACTCATCACAATCACGGCCCCCGTTGTGTGTGTGATATCGGTTTTGGCCGACGACTCGGCTTCGGGACGACCCTTTACCCTTTTTCCTCTGCGTGTCGTGTCCTCAGTGAACTATTGGGCGGTGGAAAGCTCTCCGGGGGCGAGTTGTTGCTGATCACAAAAGCTTGTTCGTCTAGCCGCCGGTTGGTGGTCTGTGATGCTGTAATGTGTTGTTGATTTTGAATAAGGCTTGGCAAGTTACGAAGGCAATAAACGCCTTACTACCAGGACAAGAAACTGATCGTCAACCGACGGTCATGCCAGCTTGATTAGGATGGTATTATAGCCGCCTTCCTGAAGCTTGGTATCTCATGAGATTCAACGACCTGAGATGTAAATGTTCTTGATCGGTCAATTTGTGATGAGATTCACTTCGTGGGCTGCAGTCGCTGATTGGCCGGGAAATTGTCGCGCTGTATCCGAAGATTGGCCCAAACCCGTCATCTCAGTGTCTGTTCAGGGCGTGGGGGCCCAACACAATGAGGTTTGGGGGCGTTTAACTGTTGCATTTTCGGTGTTGTCATGACTTGGTCGTTTACTGTTGATGACATAGAAACTACGATATGTTATACGGTGTTGACGAGCCGTTCACGAAGTCACAACTTTCCACTATTCAAGCGTAGTAGTGACTTGTGATTCGCTTATTTGTTAACTAGAGAGCATCTCGCAAAATCCATGGTCCGGTGTGTGAGTTGTCACCAAGGGTTTATAGAGCCTAACTTAGAAGTCCTGATACTCAACGGGACAAATACGTGATTTCGCGTCTTCAAGTTAATAAACCTAGGTCAAGAAGCTTCTTATCTGACGCCACGAGAGCAACAATATTCAAATGAACGTTTCACAGCTTCGTCACAATATCTCACACTATCTTGACGTGGAGACAATGCATTATTCATGTTCACATTGTATGCTAAGAAGGATTTGTGGCTTAGTCAGACACTTGATAGATGTAGGTGATGATACTTAATGATTATAAGTCGCAGAGCCGCTGCAATGAATGTATGCTCAGAACACGACTGTAGCAACACCCAAATCTCAATCATGTAGTAGAGAACAAGTCGCTCAAGAGTTATTAGTGAGCTTTAGAGCATTCGATATCTGAATGGAAACTGTCCTGATAACAAAGCTCAGAATTGATCCGCTTCCTTGATAAGACGAGTGTCTATTTTGCGTCACCAAACGTTGACGTAGCCAAAAGCCCCCGAGGCTGCTCCATCGAGGCCATTTAATTCCCCAGAAGGTCTTTTCTGTGGGATAGCAAGAGCCTGTACTGCTCACTGGAGCTGGCTCAAACTCCCGGAGTATCTTCATATGATCATGAAACGTTGCCTCCCCGCTGGCGCAAGGGCGCCGAGATCTGATCCCGAATGAAGTCCCGCGTGCTCCCCAAAGCTTCGGGTCCATGCCAACCGACGAAGGAAGGAGGAAGACACTGTTCCCCTGTTCCCCGGTGTCCATGTCTCTGGATACCCATGAGGTCTAATTTCCCAGCACGACATCCACGGAATCCACATTGGGGAGAAGGCCCGGTTGCGCCATCATTACCAGCTGTTCGGGCGGACGCTATCTGACCCGAGCCATTTCCTCGGGAGGCCGATGACAGGAAGTTGAGTCCCAAGACTCGTTGATCTCTGCCTCGGGGAAAGCATGGATGACAGATCCGGGAACAGCTCGCTGGGTCCCAGGGAAATGAGATTGCGGATACTTCCAACCTCCTGGGCCATGAAGCTAGCAGCAAACGAAGTTAGCAGCGGAGTCGAGATACCTTGTCCCATAATCTAGAAGGTTTCCAAACTTCCAAAACGGTGTAACTAGGGGCCACTGCGCAGCAGGGGTTAGAACGGGCAACTGGCAACAGTTGCAATTAAACCCCTTGTTAATGAAGCGCTCTGGGATTTCCGCGGGAGTCGGATTGGAATACCGCTTGGTAACACCCCACTCTCCCTCAGAGCCCATGCCTCTAGCCCTTGTAAATCTGTTGACATTGAAGGTACTTCGAGTTTCAGACGGGCTGGGATGAAATGTCGCTCAAGCCTCATGGGTTGCGCGAAATGAAGAAACGGCAGAACATGGTCCCCCACTCCGTTACCGGGGCTAGTAACGAGATGTGGGAAGTTCAGAATGGTGACCAAAGGCGCTCAAGACACGAGTCGCCGACTTGCGGATGTCAAAAGGTGTGACACGACTGGTTGCAAATCCTTCCACATGTGCCGCACGTAACATGCCGTGATTCTCAACGCTCCTTCACCTGAGCTTTTGGTAGCTAGTGAGATATATTGCGCAACCACCGCTTGGTTGTTTATTGCGCATAAATGACGCCCAGAAATAGATTCTTGTAAACTTTGGGGGCATGTGAACGTGGGTGACAAGTCCCATGTGAACGAGTCCTACTTGGCACTTGGGGGTTCAGATATGTGGGAGAACAAGGAGTTGCCCATTGTTCCCCCACCCTCCTCATCCCGCGGCGACCATCCGTGGCTGCTGGTCTGGTTGGGCTCTCTTTGCAAGGTCAGGAATTGGCCTCGTGCTCGACCGACGGCACACCGATGGCTAAAATTCGGTACAACCGTGGGTAGTGGCTCGTGAGATGTCGGGAGATGCTCGTTTTCACGAGTCGTGTTGGGAGGACTCTCTGCTAGCCTCCACCGGGAGAGTGGTGCTCCACCGCTTCAGTCTTGTTAAGTTGTTAGGTCGCTCCCTCCCGACGGGAGCAGCCCGAGTGGGGAGCCCGTAGCCCATGTTAGGAATAGGCCTCACTGCGGGTTTCGCGGGAGATCTGCCGCGAGAAAATCACCATGAAAAAAAAGGGGAGACTCATCACCCGAGGGTCAATGAGTAGGAGGTGAGGAGAGTTTTACCTGCTTGGACAGTAAGGGCAATAGATCTCACGATATGACACCGTGATAGGACCGTGCCAAAAGGCATGGCACCGTCCACACTTTCTTTTGTATGGCGATATGGCCTGCGATAGGCAGGTCACACCTCTAAATCGTCCAAACAAACTCGTCCAGTGCGACGGCCCGGCGAGTCACCGAGTCCACGGCCGACCAATTACCTCGGGTGCAAAACAAGGTGACCGACTGCTTTTTTGCTACAGTCGCCTTTCCAGCTGTCCTAGCTTCGTAATTCCAGCCAAATCAGATGCTTGTGTCTCAGAAATGGAGACACTTGAGATTACGATAGGTAGGAAAATTAATGTGAGAAATGACCACCACCTCGTCAGCGGCGGTTTAGCAACCTGAGCTGGGGCCAAGCTGGGATTATTTGTTTGCTGGGTCGGGGGCGAACGCCACAAAGATTCCAGCGCCGCGGTCGATCCATCACCACACATTAACCCCATGTTTCATCTCCTGTGTCTCACTCGGCCGGAATGGCCTGTGAATAAACGAAAGCGTCTTGACTCGCCAAATGCGGGGAGGCTGCGAAGCGACGTTCCAGTACAGTACGGTGCTTGTGCTGCCCGGTCTGGACACGTTGAGATTGGACCGTGAATACTTGAGTATGATGATAGTCGCTCTGGAAGCATGAAATGGGTGCTCGTAGGGGGCTTATTCCGTTTGCACGGACAAGAGGCCAGAGTGTCGTCCGGCAGAATTATCAGCGAGTTTGACAGG